ACATCGAGGCGCAGGTGCAAGGGTCGAGGCACAATGAACTATAAAAACGAGATGAGGATATATATAAGATATAAAAAAAGCGCAAAGAAAAAATAGAAATATGAAATATATATATACATATATATAAAACATATTTAAAAATAAAAGTTTTTAAGAGAAATATAAAACGAAAGACAAAAAGATACCTTATTAATATACGAGTTATTCAGAACATTAAAATACAATGTCTCTATACGTAATCTAATTATAACAAAATCTACTTAAAAGATTTCTCTCATTTTTCATTATTTATTTAGCAAGATTCATTATATGTTTTATGTCCGATATTTGCAAAATGTGCTTAAAATATTTATTATACTTGCCAAGTTTTTTTTACATTTTTTTTCATTTTTTATAATGTGCAAGATTTGCCTCGTAAAGTAACTCTTCATAAATTATTCCAATTCTGAATTATAATATGCTACATACAAAACACGATGTACATAAGTTGCTTCTCTAATATTTTATTTTTTACTTTCTGCATTATAATATTTTCCGTAAAGAAATAAACGCGAGGAAGATTATATAATATTTATATTCCTGTCTTTCGAAATGCCAAATGCGTGGGCCATGTCTAGAAGTGCATCGCGACGTTTCGTGAACAGATATTTCGTTTGATCGGCACATCATTAGACGGGAGATCGGCAGGCTCTTCCGTTTTACGAAATTGAACGCTCATTTCATTTACTCTCACGGGAAATATCGATCGCAGACAAGCACTGAGTTGCACGCACGATATTTTACGAATCGATTAACTGCGAACGAATCTTTCCATTGCATTAATTTTAAGTGCATTAGGTCAGCGTTCTTGGACAGGTCTCGAGAATGAACGTTTTGATTATTTATCGACGTTATTTGTATTCGCGTTAAAAAAAAATATGAAAATACAGAAAACTACTCCTTTTCGACTAATTTTAATTTTCTTTCAAAGAAGAATAAAAGTTATTTTGAAAATCAAAAGTATTCTCAGACTTCAACGTTTTAAAGTTAGCTAAAAAATTAAATTAAATTTTCTCAAAATGTTGTATTTAAAATTAATTCAACCTTGACGTTCTTTTTATATTTACTGATTTAGCACTTTCTGCGGTTCTTTGACTGTGCAACTTGATTATTTGCGGAGACGTAGTTATTCATTTTCGCTACGTCTGTGAATTAGGAGTTTTATTTGTCTTGTCTTGTTTGTCGAAGATATTCAATTTTTAACGTAAGTGTGTGGAAACAAACAATCGCATTTTGTTAACTCTGCACTACTTATAAACTACGGAGTGTAATATCGCTGAATTAAGTGAAAAAAATTATACTTAGTACGTGTTCTACGGATTTCCGCATCAAACAATGCAGTTCGAATACGACGTTAAGAGTGACGTAACCCTTTTTATGTTTTCGTATCTTTTTTGCAATTCGTGAATACTATGTATGTTATGTTCCAATTATGTAAAATTTGCAAATTGGAGAATATCATTATTTGTTGTTTAAAAAATTGATCTTGAGGATTATTCAAATGAGCCATTAAGTAAATGATCTAATAATACTGAATCCATTCGTGTAATACACGAATATTATATCTCGTTTTGTGTGTAACACGATTCAGAGCGCCAAACGATTTAAAAAAGTCTTTTATGAAAAAGTCAAGCGGATTACACGAATTTCCTTTCTACTTGACTAAGCTCTGTTAAAATTTGTCGCATCATTTTATCAGCATCGCAGAAAAAGAATAAATGAGAGAAATAATGTCATATTATAATATGAATGGTATATTTCGAGATTTATATAAATTAGTTTTTTTGAAAATGTTGATAAAAGAAGAGATATCTTAGATTTCTTTGAAGCAGTTATGAATAATTTAATTTAAAAATGTAGTAACTCAAAGTTTCGAGAAAAGCTCGTTCTGATTTAAGAACTTTTCAAACTTAATTTTCTTTTAAATGTTTTATATAATATACGCTATATTTTAATAATAAAACAAAATTATATCATTATAATAATAATAATTTAATTTTTTATACTTTTTATAAATGATGTAACTTAAATTGACATTGTGTATATTTTAATAGAATTAGAATAATATTAAATATAAATGTAATACATATATTTTATTTATATGTATATGTGTATGTATTAAGTTGAAATGAATTTTGCGAATTAAATCTGTGTCGCACACTGTATTAAATGTACATAGAAATAAGCAGTGTCTTAAAGTGCATACAGTTATTATCAGACTGTATGCAATGACAAGTATTACAAATAGACGAATGGATATTAATTAACGGGATTAAATTCGAGAATGAGCATTAATTAATTCATAAGCTGTCGCATGTATCGCAAAGCCTGATAGCCGACGATTAATTATATACTCTTCTGTCGTAAAATACATTAACGTCAACTCATCGTCGCGTAATATCTCTATAAAATCGATATGCTCACAACTCTCACTTCGGAAGTATTAATATAATAAATAAAAAATATAAATTTGACAGATGCGCGATATATTTTAAAGCTTTCTATGGTATATCAATGCATTTATAATTTATTTTAAACTTTTTAATATTTAATTTATTAAAGTTGAAATAGATTTATAATAATCTCTTCGGACACATTGTAGTCAAATGTTTTACAAATGGAAACCGATGAGATGTGTTTTTTGAATTTTATTTTCGATTGCAGAACTGGGCACACTAAATGAATCATGATTATAATTAAATAGAACCGTATTACGTATTCGGTTTAGGATTAGGTGTGCCGTTTTATGGCTTCTCGTCACATACGAAGAATTGCACAATTCTTACAATATGTAGCATTTTACTAATTTAAGATTAAATAATAATTTGTAAGATACAAAATAGTTGAATAACAAAATATACGTACAAGTTTTCTTTTTCATATGAAATAATTTGTTCTATAAAAATAGATATCGACTTGTATCGCACTTCAGAATAAGATTATTCAATAATGAAATATTGTATTTCATAAATTAAAATTTTGGTGATAAAAAATGTTTGAATTATTTATGCTTATTTACAAAATGCTGGCTTATTATATATTACGTAATGCAAATAATGTATGCATAATGTAATTATGCATATGCTATATACTGCGCGCGCAAGAAGCACGGAAGCTTTATATAGACAAATGATTTTAAATATATATCACGTCACGAACTATTATTATAGCACGTACACTAAATGCGTTGATAGCTCAAGCTAACATACACACAGAGTCAAAAATCAAATCAAAATCGGGTTCAGTGCTTTCTATATAGGTACCATTAAAAGGTATTATACTTTATTTACTATGTATATAGAGACAGCGTGTATCTAAACAAATGTGAAAAATTTTAGATGATTTTTTGTCGAAAATTAAGGGAGCTTTTTACATAAATATACTCTTATATCCCTCCCTGAAGAGTTCCACTTTTCTAAAGAGGGAAGTAAAAATAAAGTTCTTATTTTGTTTCTCAAATTTCAGACAAATTAAAAAAATGAAACTTGGTGGATATGTTCCACTAATAAAAAGGATATTTATTAATATTAAAATAAAAATAAAAAACTTAATTTTTACCTCTCTCTTTAGAAAAGTGTAACTCCTCGAATTGAACATAAAAGGGGGTTGTATTTAGATACTTGGTTTACATCAGCGCTTGAAATATCTTTCCCCGGTGGTTAATGGCGAATCCCTAAGAATATATCTATTTTATGCTTTCAGAGTGCAGTAAGGGCCCGAGCAGGAGCTACATAGATCATGTCAGGGCCAGGGGCGGAGTGGTGACCTAGACCTCATCCCTCGGCTCCGACCCTCGATGCTTACGCTACGGCTGGTGTCGACTCACTTCCTGAAGCAGCCATAGGCAGTGCCCTTCGCCTTAGAGAAAGGGCTCCGTGCGATGTGCCGTGATAGGGACATGAACCCAGAACTACTAGTCGAGTCGCACGATCTTCGCTCAACGGCGTTACCGTCGCCGTCGCCGTCGTCGTAAAAATTAAATTAAAAAGGAAAAAAACGGACTACACGGTCGTTCGAAATTTTCACGCAAGAAGGACTTCTTCTTTTTTCGACGGCCCTTCTATCTCTCTCTCTCTCTGCCGCGGGAATCTTTCTCGCCCTGGCGCACGTACTCACATACACAACACACGCACCCCCACGAATCGTTCCTTGTCCTTCAACTACGTAGACGAACAAGTACGATTCCTCTCTTTTTATGATCTCGAGGTAGATTAAAATCCCGACGAATCTCTTAAACGAGCAAGTGTGTATATATATATATATACGGTATCGCGTTCGGTATTCGCGGTTACTCGCGATATTCGATATAGAAATCCGTGATCCGGCTCGAGCAAATCGGCCGGATCGAAAGAACACGATCAGAAGAGACGACTTCACCAATATATACGACGAATCAAGAAAAAGGACGAAGCGAAGGAGTAAGGGAGGAGCAGGTCGAGGCAGCTGCCACGCTGAACTCGGTATACATCAACCTGTGGAGAGCCGCGAGAGAGTGTATTGTAAGTGTTTCTCTTTAAATATTTTTTTTTTATAATAACATGCACGTCTTTGGCGTTCCTGATAAAAGCGATGTGAATTGTGAACACGATTATTAATAAATTATTAGTAACTTTAATCTATTTATTATAAATCAATATATAAAGAGACACAAGAAAAAGTGGTGTGGTTTTAATTAACTTACAATTAGACACAAAATATATTCGAATAGTCTTATTGTGATTTTATTATTATTTTTCTTGTTACTTATCTATATCTTTTTTAAACAAAAATATCTTATACATTTATTTAAAATATGATACAAAGTATTGTTATTAAGTTTTTGAATATATAAATTCCTTTTATTAAGCACTCTGAAGTTATTTAATATATTGCATTTGCAATGATAAAATTATGATCATCGTGTTTAATTAACACAATATAATTTCTTGTTATTAATTAATTATATTATCTCTATAACGACATAATTTATTAAATATAAATAAATGTTCTCGATTCAAGCGTAGATTACATCACGATTTTCATTTTATCAGAAGAATTCTCTGTATAAAAGCATTGTTATCCGTTAATGGAAAATATCCAAAACTTCGCGATTTAAAGGACGAAACAGTAATTTATGTACTGTACAGTTATTTTCCAATTTTCATCGTAAATTCAGCATGTCGGCGATTAATGCATTAAAGTCGCATATTTATATTAAGCGCACATAAGAATCTTGCACCTGGTCCCTCGATTATGTAACTGCAAAATTTTGGCACAATTTTGGTACATGAATAATCTCGTTGGCGTGGGAAATTTTCCTGTTCGCTGCGATCAGTCGCGAACGAGCACATCATCGGCAATCATTAACCGGCTCATAATAGTTCCTTGAAATTGCGTATCTTTCTCTCTCGCAAGAATATGGGTGACAAGGTAAATTGATCGACCGTATATCGGTTATCGGTGCAATGGTCGGCGAGTTATTTTTGATAACGCTTTGTGTGCGCTTAAGTGAATTTACATCGCAAAGAATTGCATTTATCTTACTTATTTAAAAGAATCGATAGAATCGTTAAACATCTGTTCATTTACGATGAATAATTTTTTCACGAATTTTAATAAATAAAATAAAACCCCAAAGAAATTGTATCAAAATAATATCGCTTTGCAATATAATGTAGAATAATTAACTAAATAGAGCAGGACGTAGGCTACATCAAAGCAATTTTTTTCACAAAGTTTCAAGATATTATTTCTGCGAAATATACTAAAACTTTGCGCACACGCGATTAATATACATTTTCCATGTAGCGACGCAAAAGTTTGCCGACGCGTATTTTTATATCATAATAATTGATGAAGCGAGGACGACGACATTTTACGGTTCATCGATCTATTCGAATCAAGCTTTTCCTGTGTTATGAAATGTGCGTTTCTCGTCGTACATCGCTCATCGATCGTACGCTTGCGAAAATATTGAATTACCTTACGATTGTTCTGTCAATATCGGTACACTGACATGCTATTCGCCACCATAATCGTGCAAATGAGACGACAGTTCCCTCGCGTGATACCGATATGAAGCATCCGATCTTTATCGAAGAAAACTGGTAAATTTTTCTTTATTTTTTCTACGTTTGAAAAAATATATACCTATTTAAATTATATTTAAAAAAAATATACATATTTTTAATTAATATTTATTACTTATTTATATTTTTATTTCTTTAATATACCGAAAAATAATTTGCTAAAAAAATTGATTCGTTCTCCAAAATTTCAACTTCTGATTTTGTTCTACAAAATTGATGTTTTTTTTCTATAATAAACAATTATTTTGTTTTCTCTTTTTTTAACATTAGAAAGTTCAGCATTTCTGTTATTTTTACCGGTATATCTCTTTGTTATTTCATCGCGATATAAACCGCGAGCAAAGTTTTTACTCGGGGTGATAAGAATGATGATAGAGTGAATGACGAAGTTTTGAATGGCTGTCGTCTTTGCACGTTAGTGTATATCCTGCGATTTAAAACAAGTGTACTCGTCGCTTTTGTCAGTGCGGCGGTGGGTCGCAGTGCAGACAAAGTGGGATGAGACGTCCTCAGCAAGAACATCTCCATCATCATCATCACCACCACCACCATCACCACCATCATCATGGATCCTCAACAAGCCCCACGCGCTCTCGTCAAGCACATGATAAGGTAATCTTCCTTTGACACTTTTGCAACTCCACGCAAAATATCTCAATCTTATGTTTCAATATTATCATTATTTTTATTTTGACAACTGTCTAGAAAACATTGAATTTATATTATTTCACACGTACACACATATACATATTATACATATATTTTTGATAGGTAAGAAATTAATTATCAAAAGTTTATTAAATAATTTAATTATGCAAATTGCAATTAATGTGCATTAGGAATAATGGCATGTAACTTTTTATTCGATAGTAATCTCCTTTTTAATCTCATCATGCTTATATATTAATCAATTATATATAATCAATTTATAAGTGATAAGAACTACTGTACTGAAGTTCTTATCTATAACGACTATTGCTTATCTTAATAGATAGGGACAATAGCGTATAGTAGTTCTACATTCTATATAAATACGGTTATAGAAACTTTCTTGTTCTTCTACAACATTGAGTGAGAATGCAGAATCTATATCTACTCGTTACTCCACTTTGCCGATGCACTACCTTTCTAGTTGTAAATCTGGACTGTTCGTCAATTACGCTTTCTTTCTCTCTCTTCACTAATTATTTATTTGATCCATATAAATACATGTGAATATCGGAAATATCAATTATCGTTCTAGACTCGAAATAAATCATGGGACCCTTAAATAAGTAGATAAAGAGTAATAATAAATATGCAAAGGATATACCGAAAATATTTTAATAAGAAAGATTTTTTTACAAGAAAAACAATGAATAAAATCTATTGTAAAATTTTTACACTCTTAAAACACGAAATTGTACATATGTTTTCTACACAATTTGTTCTACAATTTATTTTCGCTATATATTATAGAAGTATTTTTTCTTTATGTATTATACTTCATACATTCTAAATACTTTACAATAATTAGAAATTTTTCGCGTGGTTTTAATAATTTAAAGCATCGTTTTTGATTGACCTAGTATTCATTTAATTATAAGGAAATAATAGTTTAGATTTTGTTTCGATTATGTATATACTTGAATACCCGCTAGGCCCAGGCGGCCTAACGAATCCCACCTCTCCCGTTTCAGGATGAGTCTCGTCTCGCACGCGTGAAGCGCGTCCTGGCGGGCTCGCTGCTCGGCCGCGGCGCCGGATCCAGCAGGATCTTCGGCACCCGGCTGGAGCTGGTCGAGTCGTACCTCGACACAGGGGTGCCGTATGTGGTGCATCGACTATGCAGCTACATCGAGGTGCATGGCTTCCAGAGCGCGGCGGTTTTCCGCCTGTCGGGCGGCAGCCCCCGACTGGCAGAACGGCTGAGAGCTGCCTTCGAACGACGGGGCGACGCCGATCTGGAAGCAGCTGGGTGTCCGCCGACCGCTGCGACTCTTCTCCGTCAGTATCTGAAGGAACTGCCGCAGCCCGTCGTGCCGTCTACCCTCGTCGGCAGACTGCTCAACGTACATGCTCGTAAGAACCACATAATCCTATTTCTTTCTCGAGATAAGGGTTTTGTGTGTTTTCCACCAACGACACAACGTATCATTCTATCTTCTTTCAATACCAGTAAACAACAAAGATAAAATGATACTTTATGACGCTCTGTGTCATTGCTGGAAAGCACCTTTTATTTGGAAATCAAATAAGGGAGAGCCTTATATTTTACAGCGAATTCGATTGAATGCACTAGTGTGCAGTGAGTGCATATAAAGGTTTATCACTCACGAGTTTACAATGATACAAGTAATTAAAAAAGGAAAATAATTAACAGTAAGAGCTATTATTATAGTTGTTCAATATGAATAATGATAATATAATAGCTCTTCCTATTAATATTATTTTACTTTTTTAATTATTTATGTCATTGTAAAATTGTGTGCGATAACCTTTATATGCACTCAGTGCGCACTAGTGCATCCAACCGAATTCGCTATTAGATGCGATTTTTTAATTATTATTTGAAGGAAAAAAATTGTTCTTTCTCATTCTTGATGTTTCTAATAATTCTGCAAAAACATTTTGACGCAGAGAGTTACTCGAACGATCACGACTCGTGGATCGCCTCGACGAAGGAGTTACTGTCAACTCTACCCTCTTCGCATTATCATCTGCTTGGCTATCTGACGATCTACCTTAGCCGCTACGAGGCTCGACACGGACGCAGCGCCGGTGTTTGTGGCGTTTTCGCGCCTGTCATTCTACCGCACGTGCCACCGGCGACCACTCTGCTGCGGGACATTCTTGCCGAGGCGCTGGTGCTGTTCCCCGACTGGTGAGTGATATTTAATGATTCTCTTAGCATGATTACACGAGGTAATTCGCAAAAACACGTAAGGAAGTCGCGTCGCACGAGAGGCTTGCGTAACTCATCGGCAGCAGAGGCAAATGATGTCTATTTGTCTAACTTATTTTGATCGACGAATCCGCTTTTCCTATTTTTGGAACCATTAGATCACGTTCGATATGTTATACAAACAAGAAACGGTAGCTATTGGGTCATCGAAAATAACATACATTTTTATTAATAATAAAATAATAAATAATAGAATTTTTAATTTTTATAAAATTTTGATAAATATACAATTAATTTTTATTTTAATCTTTTTTAAATTTATATATTTTCTGTCGTAAAAAATTTTTTTAATTAAATTTATTTTTAATTAAAGACTATTGTTGGAAAAAGATTTATATGAAAATTAGAGAAATATGTGAAAAAAGCGACTACACAAAAAATGATATGGTGAATACGGACTTGCATCAAATATATAATTTTTTATATCTTTTATCTGGTCTCCATTGAAAGAAATTAAATCAAATATTGTCAATTTGCTGCTGTAATTTCGAATTTATTACTTTTTCATTACTTTGATTAATTAGCAGAAAATTGATTTAAAAATAGTGATATTGATTTAACACCCACATTATACTGGAATACATTTACTTCTGAATAACACACTTGTAGTTAATCATATAAACAATAAATAAATATACTAGAAATAATTGCTAATTAATTGTTGAAAAAGGTTGTAAATAGATTTAAATAATATTATATTTTTATAAATGCACATCAATACTAACTATTATAATTATATAGTAATAAAGTGATCACAAGTAATAAATTAACTATATCATTTTGATATCATATTGTTTCTCAAATTTTTAACCTTTATTAAAATAAAGTAAGATTTAAAAATATTCGAAAACTTTTTAATGAGCAATTATCTAAGTCTAAGCGTAATCTATGATTGATTAATTTTAAATTGTTATAAAACTCGAAATAATACAAAGTGTAGGTCATTACCGAAGATTTCACAGAAAATTAATTTTACAAATAACAAAGAATAAATTTAAAAAATTACAAATTATTTATCCCTTAATTGCTTCGCCATCGTTTGACTGCTTCTTTCTTCTCTCTTGTTTGATTTTTCCTGTTCTTTCATTCGATTCAAGCGATACTTACACGTGAAAATACAGTTAATTATGCATGATTGCGTGTACACTAATTACCAAAATACAAACGCTGAGTTTATAGTACACAGTTTGTTAAATATTAAAATAAAATTGATCATTAATGACTATCATTATTAAATGCTTTGCAATAATGTCCAAATTAATCTGTTTTGTGTCCTATGTTTATCCACTTTATTAATGAAAAATTGAAAATAATATCGGCAATTTATTCCAATATTACACGAGACAATGACTAATTGAGACGCAATAATCGCGCAAATTAATTAATAACATGGGTTGACAATATCTTTAATTATTTATAGAAAATAATCGCGTTTGGCGTCTTTTATTACTTGTCGCGATATCATTGATCGCTATTTATTAAAATATATATTTAGAGCAATTTATACATTTAAAGAAGAAATCCAAATAATAAAAGATAGAGAGAGAGAGAGAGAGAGAGAGAGAGAGAGAGAGAATTATAAAGTATCGTTTTATTATGGGCAGTAATTGTTTTAATGATACTTGTATTTCAATATATTTCTCGTATCAAATTTTGAATTTTTCACTGATTTAAATGTAATTTACACAGTATTTTCATATTGAGGATTAATAATACATGGAATAATAATAATATTATATACATAAACCATAAAATTGAATGATTCACAAGTAATGAAAAGACGTGCTATATTGTAATTATTTAATGAATTAAAAATCAAGGAACGAATATTTCGGTATATTTGTACATTTATTTTATAGTATGTTAAATATTTCGTAACGACAACGAATGTTCCTACATATACGTAAATGTTTTCGGTTTTAATTTTCGCATACCGCGCTATTGTTTATATATACGTATGTCATACAGACGATCGAATTGTTGTCAATCACGCGGCGACACTCGAATGAGAAGGTATAGCAACGTTAGGCGCTTCGTTTATCATCATATTGTCAATCTGCGTAATAACTTTCGCGATTATCGCGTCTCAAGTAATCATTATCTCGCATAATAATGTAGTAATATCGCGCAGTGTCAGGATAAAATTGCTGAATCAGTTTCAAATTTTTCAGTCATCAACCAAACATTGAATTGAACATAATTATTATTGCGACCCATTTAATAATTGGAAAGTCGTTATTAAAATATTAATTTTAATATATTTATTAAATTATAGCGTATTAGTTAAGCGCTTATATTTTAATGATTATTATGCGCGCAATCGTAATTAACTATGTTTTCGCAAGTGAGTGTTTTATAAGTGTCACAAAGGTGCAACAAACGAGATAGAAGGAAAAAGCTCGGAAAGACAGCGACTAATGATGAAGCAACTACGGAGTGAGTTATTTGTAATTTTCTTAATTTATTATTTTATTATTTGTTAAATGAATTGCTTGCTAAACCTTTGCTTGATAACTCACATAATTTTAAGATATATAAGAGCTGATCAATCAGGGATTACGTTTACATTTATTATAAAACATTTTCGATTATTTCGCGAGTATTAAATTTTTGGAACTATTAATATTTTAGTAGCAATTATTTCAAGAAACAATTTGATATGTATCAAACAGATATTATTGATTTTTTATTTTTGTCTATTTTTTATTATCTTATATAGTTATAATATTCCTTATACATATATTAGTAGTTTTATATAAAAATATAATAGTTGTAAAATATATTTGCAGTGTTGCTTAGCAATTAATTTAATATTATTTAGAAATAGTGGTGTTAAATTAGCATTCCAATTTTTAATATAAATTTTCTATTAATTGATATACTAAGCAGCAATAAATTTAAAATTAGAGTGATAAATTAATAATAAATTGACCTTTAATTATGCTATACATCTAAATTTGATTTGGCTCCAAGTGATGCCAAGTTAACGGAGGTTTTTGCGGATATTCTTGAAATCGTGAAAAAGACATTGATGTGAAATCACGATAAATTACAACTTAACTATGCTCACATGCCTAACTATTCATGCATCATTAGATAACACGCTGCTCCTTCAGTTGTTCGCGGTTTTTGCAACTGAAGCAATGAAATTTATCAACATAAAAATCTCACTTAAGTTTTTCCGCTCGATAAAACACGGAAGGACTATTATAATCGTCGGATAAAAACGCCTTAATTTTAGAATATAAAATAAATCACTATTACAAGGGAATTTTTCATATTAGATATCAGTTTGCGTTTACTTGAAAACAATAAATATTTATGATTTCTGTTATTAAGTCCTAAATAATTTTGGAACAGAAATACTTTAATATTTATTGTTTAGATGTATAATTTAATATAATTTTATCTTTTTTTATTGTTAATCTTGTTATTATTTTAATTTAAAAAATTTTACGTACGTTTTGAATTTGAATGATTTTAACACTTAAAATTTGAATAAACCGGTAATCTAAAATTCTCGACAGAGAATTGCTTTAATTCTTCGTTGTTTTTTCAACAAGAATTGTCAACAATTTACGGTTGTATAACATTTGCCTAAGCCGAATAAACCCCGGCCAAAGTGGCGGACTTTGTTAATTAATCTCGAAATCCGATCCAGTCTCCCTGTGGTACATTAACCACATTGTGAATTACAATGTATTTGAATGTAGTCGACCGCCAACAACTACTCTGCGAAATAAATTATAAAGCACATTTTGCAGAAAATGCTCCGCAACTGCGTCGAGCTCACATGTCTAACTAAATAGTTGTTCGCGTTTCAATTTTCTCGCACCGTCTCATCTCGTAATATCGCTTACATTTCCAACAATTATTCAACCCGACCGACAGATCTATATTATCTTGATAAACCGTTTCTCCTCAAAATCACAAACGAAGTAAATTTTCCGCGAATGTCTGTCCCTCGACAATCAACCGTCTAATTGGACACCCTTTTACTTACATTCAAGAAAATCTCTTCTTCGCAAGAGAGTCGGACCTTGCTTATTATTTCTTAACCCGGGGCACTCTCTTTGTGTCCGTTTTTTTTCTCCTCGATTGCGTTTCGACCACTTGGACAGTCTCGATGGAAGGGTTTTAATGCACTTGCAATTTCATCTTAATTGCTGCATTCTCAGTAGCATATTGGATGGGCTAAAAATAGAAAAAATTCATTGATTTCTCATTAAATCTAATGTCGAATATTTTTTCTGTACATTTTATATTATAAAATTCCATGCATCTCATTAACACGGTTTTTTTTATAAAAGAGTTCTTGATTAAAAATAATTATGCTAAATTAAATTGGTATAAATTAATAATTGAAAGAGATATACATATAAATAAATGAAATAACCGTTATCGCGTTCTGCTTCGCACGTATTATACTTGGATCGATAGATTCGGTCAAATTTCTCTTCACGTACAACGTATGCGAGAGAACTAGTCGTTTCCCGGATTCTCGTGCATATATGAAGGATTTTTCTCCTGGTTCCACGTACAAGCGGGTACGATTTCATCGCGCGTAAAAGCTTCCAAATCACGCAAAAAGGATATTAAACCGCATCGATGATCGATTCGGATCACGCGATACGAATGCAGACATCTGAATACAAACGAATATCGCCAAGTCTTTCGCGTCCGAAATTATTTACATATCAATATATACGCTTTCAATGTCAGTATTTAGTTTTTTTTTTTTTTTTTTTTTTTTTTTTTTTTTTTTAGCTACAAGTAGTTAATGGCATATCGAATTGTACGACTAATAATGAAATAATGTGTAATAAAATATAAATATATTATATTTATAAATATAATAATAATAAATTGTAAATACGCGTTTTTTCTCTCAATATTCATTTTAATTGCGTGCATTAAAACAATGAGAAGTTAATGATATTCAAATTTATTCTCATTTCAGCAAAATTTCCCGCAAATTTTGTTCGAATTTCACGCACGAATTATTTCGGCGAAAGCTAAACGAACGCTGCTTCGGACCGAGTTATTTTCGCACGCGTGCGAATTAGCTTTTAAGCGGAAAAGTCACGGACGAAATTTGTAAATTACCGGCGCAGCGTCAGATCGCAGGCGTAGGCGAAAACTGCGAGAATATTCGCGACCTTCTCCACGATTAATTTCGTTGGTTGTGCCGTACCACTGAGGCAATGAAATACTCGGACACTAATAAAAATTGCGGTCCTTGGCCTTGTCGCGAAATCACTCGTCATTGACGCGCATACTTGAATGCACGCTTGATGCACACACTTCCTTTTTTCTCTCTCTCTCTCTCTCTCTCTCCCTTTCACTTTTTATCCAATTGAATTTTTTGACGAGAGTGTAGCCTTTCTCATGTACACTAATTTAAACGTGACATGTTTCTTTATAATTTGTTTCACAGTATTTTCGAAAAAAAACTCATGGTGTAATGAGACAATTTAAATACTTTCCAAGGTTGACAAAAAATTAAGAGATAAATTGATATACATAATGATCGGTCCTTAATAAAAATATATAAACTATTGTGTTATATAATATCGATTAATTATTGGCTGTGTATGTGCGCCGATATGAATTAGTGTTTCTTAACTATATTAAGAAATTTATCGAGAATATTTGAGTGCACTCAAAATAATTATTTGAATATCGTGAAAATTCAGATATGAGATATTTGTGGGAGAGTCAAATAAATTAATATTATATAAAAAAATGGTTATAAGAAAATAAAACTATAAATAAATTATAAAATATCTCTAAATTAAAAGGAGAGATATACGTGATGTGCAAAGTCGATTTAATTCTCGAAGTGCATTAGGTATTAAGTGATTAGGAAGTCATGGACCTTCCAGAAAAATTGCAACAATTCACCTTCTTGAAAGTTGTTAAGCCGAGAAGTTTCTCTCTACTTAATCTTACGCGCGTAATGAATTATTAATGCGTGTCTCCTGTCTGATATATATAATAGCAGTTATATTTTCCTCGCTGTATATTGATTACAGCTTTCTGCGTATCTAACTAAAAATAAAATCAAGAGCGACGTAAAATTGCTCATTGTTGGATATTAATATACTTCTACAGTTTAAATTACAGAACCGTGCGATATAAATTTTTAATTCGGAGAAAAAAATATCTTCTGAGTTTATAATATTTTATCTTATTATATTTGATTGATAGTTCGGACATTTTCGTCTTGTAGAAAATTCACTTTATTATAAATACAGTTAAGAATTTAAATTAAAATTACATCAAATAAAAATTCAAATATAAATTGATTAAAAAGATTTTATAATTTTATATATAAAATTACTATTATTAGATACATCTCTTACATAATACAAACATTGCTCGGTATTACGTATTTTTTTCCACTTTTTATAAAAGATGATAGAAATTATTTTTATCAAGGAAATAACTTGCAGAATGAATAAATAGTAATATATATATATTTAACTTTTTTTTGCATTTTTCACACATATATACAAGCGGTGCATTAAAACTCCTCCATTATAGTTAGATGAGGCTGAAAGCGAACGATTAATCTTAGCTCGTAAAATACCTAAGCGTATCGTGCTGGAAAAAAAAAGATCGCCGCTTTACTCACATGAACGGCACGTGACGGTTAAAGCGTGATGCGATAATCGTTTTTAAGGGAGGACGGTGCTCTTTTTCCTGGAAAAACCAGCATCCACAAAAGATTGATCGCTCTTACCGAGATCACCGCGGTCACGCGAGATTGGCGAACTATATACCGCGTTTATGCAAGACACAATAGCGATGTAGAATAATAAAAATGTGAAGGTACGCGTATACTCTCTTTTGCAAAGTCCAGGACTACATATGTGCGTGTGTTTTGTAAAACTATATGTATATGAGTATGTTTTATATTTAAAAATTAAAAAGGTATTGATGAGATTCCGTGATCGTTAGTTTGATTAATGATTCAATTTATTAAAGTGATTATAACTACACACATTTTTATTGGTGTAAATTATTATTCAAACTTTATATTATAGTATTTATTAATCATAATTAGGGTTCTAAATTATTTGAATATTTTTTATGTATGGGCATATTGAAGATGATTGAAGTAAAGAGAGAAGTTTCAGAATAGAACAACACATGGAAAGTATAAGTATAAAAGAGCAATGAATTTAGAATTTATTATTGAATTTTATTATAATATTATTTAAATTAATCTGATAACATTATTTAAATAAATCTGATAATATATAACAAAGATAAAAATTGACATTAATTATTTTGTTTTCTGCGGCCACTGGCAAATTCATTCATTTGTAAAAAATTTTGTCACATACAATCGCATAAATTAAATTGACAGATCGAGTAAATCGATTAAACACTGACTGAAAAAAATTGTAAACTTAATATAACTTACAACACATTAAAATTGATTTCAATCATATAATAAAATCAAAAGGTATAATAAATTTTAATCATTTTTTACACGTACTTACACATTACTATTTTTATATGATATATAGTAACTTTATAGAAATTTTTTTATTTTATTAAAATGCACACTTCGCTTTCAACCATTTTCAATATGCCGTACACGTGATTGTAAAAAAGAAAAAACATTCGAATAATTTATATCCTAAATACGGAGAAAAATACGTTGATAGTATCCAAGTTAATTAAAATAATATTTAACTCGGGTTTGAGTTTCGACTTAACTCAGTTATCAATGGTCAATAATAGAACTACCCTACATAAACAGAAATTGTTTGAAACGTGCTACATTTTACGCTAAAGATAGCAATGATAAAGTAAATATTGATAAATAAGTAAATTACTGAGGAAAGAGAGAGAGACAAGAGATTGCGCTGTGCGTTCTCAATCGATCAAGACCTCGTTTTAGGGTATTAGCTTAAGATAATCGACGTTATGCACGGTCATGTGTTTTCATGGATCTTGCGTCATCGCCGCCGACGCTGAGACGAGCAGCGTCCGTGAATATTGCATCGTATGCATGAATATTTCACGCTGTCTCCGCTGTCTGCGTTTGGTCTGCGTCCAAAAATCTTTCGACTTTTTCGAAAACGGTAGACGCGTTATATAAAACTGCAATTAGTTTTGGCGCGAAATCCGCGGATATAATGCAATGATATTATGTGTGAAAAATCGATTTAGAAATGTAACATTTTATCGCGATTTTAGCTGCGTGTTACATTCCACGAAGCTCAATTTTATGCAAGAAAAAAATTAAAAATTTACAATGTATTTTACTTACTTAAAAAAATGTTAAGTAACATACGTGTGCATTTGTGCAGTATATATATATATATATATATATATACTTTTAGCAGTTTCACGGCAACGCAGAATTTAATTAACATTTGATAAAGCCGAGAGAAGTTTAACTTATTACACTTATTTTAAAAAGAAGATCCTTGTAGTTAACATGCGTATAGTAATATTGAAGAAGTTTTACGATTTCCATCAAAGACTCCAATTGGTGTTTTAAAGTAAACGATTGGAAGCACAAGGTACAACTATAAACCGGTTAAAACAGGTTCCTTCAATGAGACTCCGATAAAAGATTTTCACCCGGTTCGAAGTTTCTTCTAAAGATTTACAGACTAATATATGCAAACACAATCGAGCTGCTGGATAACTCGTGAATATTCATAATGCGATGGGTTGTTCTCTGTGTGTTCGCTTTATCTATCTCAGTCGATCGCTTTGAACGAGCCAAGCCGAGACCGAAACCGTTCTCCCAATCGCATCTAATCGATAACGCAATACGCATTGATTATATAGCCGATGCAATATGAATACATTGTTCGTATCTCGATCGGCAGCGAGACGACGAGACAATCGAATTTCTCGGCGATATAAACTATAAGCGCTGTTAATAATCTCGAGCGGCAAAAGAAATAAGAATAAAATAACCTTTCGCGCGCGAATAAAAATTTCCGCTACGTCGACACGTTTTAACAACATATTGCGACAGTCGCGAATTATTCAATTTTTCAAACAGGACAACTACATAAATATATTGCGAACGCGACTTTAAACGAAAAACTGCGCGCGTTTAAAAATACGTCCACCGGCAATCTAAATAAGTTTTTAGATCAAACAACTATTAATAATTGGCAATAATTCTTGCATCGATCACGCGTACAAAGTTTTGTATTAGCTGCGTATCAATTAAAAGAGTCTGCAAAAATTTTCAGAATTTATGCGACGCGGGATGATAAATGTGCTGATTTGTAAGAGAAATTGCGTGTTCGTCGGTTCATATCGTCACACGTGGCGCATTAATTAGGTAGGTTCGATTAATAAAAGTTCACGTCTGGCTATTCTGAAATGACAACAAATCATGCGCACATACGTCGAATGCAAGTTGCATCGTCGAACATTTCGAACACACGTGTTCAGCTCATGACGAAAGGCATGCAATTACATTCCGCTCACGTGTTGCTCAAATGACCTTTTACACTTCTTCGTATTATTGTCCCTGGCACGCTGCTGAAAAATGGAGCCAAAAATATGGGCAACTTCTTCAATCTCAGTTTGGCAAGTAGCATAAAAGAAAGCGTATATATCATAGAAGAAGTTTGGACAGATTTATGTCCCGGATTATTAAGATATTCTTCCTTTTTAATATATGAAATTAAGTATTGTATTATAAGACACAAAGAGATATTGCATACATAAAAAATATATAGCAAGTGTATTTTTTTATAAAGCATGCAGCAAAAATAAATACAGCATAAATAATAGTATATTTCTGAGTTAATATCATAATTATCGCACTTTTTTTAATTCATTTGAAGCATAAATAGACGCATGATGAAATAACGTACAAGAAAATATGTACACACATATTATCTTGAGAGAAATCAATATGCAATTCTGCATGCAAACCGCTGCATAAAATAATCGCGCCAAAGGATTATTAAGGAAATAGATTTGTTTCACTTTCATAAATCATTCTTAAAACATATATTACTTCTTTATTATCTTTAATTTTCAATTTTCCTATATACGTGAAGTAGACTTTTAGTCTGTCTAAAAATTTCTCGTGATGAAATATGGAGTGCGAATTAAATTTTCATCCCGCGGTTCAGTCTAGATAAGGAATAGGATGAATAATCACAACGAATCAGTCTCTTCATTATTACGCGATAAGATAAGACGAAAATTACAGCCAGAGTGACTCGGGGAGAGAATTTGTCGCGATGGGGAGAGTAAAAATTCGGTAAATTTTTTTTTCGTTTTTTTTTTTGCGCACTCAACACGCTCGATCGCTTTTTTAGCTTTTACAATCGGAGTTGATTTTGCATTCGACGCGTAAACAAAAGGCTACAATAAAAAATCGTTAGAGCATCACCTCGCGGCCAAAATTATCTCGTTCGCGGGATTCGTGACGCGTTTTATTACAATATCTGCGAGCGTGTGATCGAAATGTGACGCACTCCGATTTCTCTCTCAGATTCGATCGCCAACAATGACGTGACACGCGATACATGGGAATCGGATAGTGTCGTCGATTAATTGGAAGCCGCGGATCGATTACGTGTATCATCAATCGGAGAGAGATAGAAGAAATAGAGAGAGAGAGAGAGAGAGAGAGAGAGAGAGAAGGGTGAATATAACGAGCTCATTGATGACACGCGATATCATGAATTTTCCACGCATTGGTCGCAATAATCATCAGCTAATTAAAGCAGATGTAACGAATGAATGTTTCAAAATCATGCGTAATGTTCCACACACACATACATAGTGATGAAATATATTTTTGTTATTATACAAAACTTTAATTGCATAGTAAAGTTAAATTAAAATTATAGAACTCAAGATTTAAATTATTTTTTGCTATTTTTTCAACTACTCCTAATTTCGAGTTCTTTGCTAAACTCTTTCATAAGATATTATTGTGGTATAATGAAAGAAAAATGTTATTTAAAAATTGTGATCTAGACTTTTCGAATGATCGAAAGGTTGTTGGAAAAATCGTATCTGGTGGATGTTGCAGGACGAAAATAAATATTGGCAGAAAAATCCCAACATTGTATCGGCTCGCAGTATAAAGGCTATTATTATTGACAACAGTGTTGATAGCAGGGTTATTTATAACGGAGTCGTAACCTCATAAAACGAACCTCCAGCGACTTTTAAAAATATTTTTCTTTTCCATCGCAGTTAGAATTGCTTTTGTTCTTGGTAAATTTCTTCGTTGCACGATTACGCGCGTCAGAGAATAATCGGTGAGATTTAATTTTAATAAAGCTTATAGAAGCTTATAAAGTTAAATGTAATGTAATAAGTAGTTTACATATCGCGAAGGGGATGATATTAATGACAAATAGCTGTTGGAAGCTTTCGCATGCGAGAAAGTTTTACAATTCATCTGATATCACGAAGTGATATCAGATCTAATCTGATTGTGTACCTGAAATTTAAAATAGCATTTATCGATCTTATGTAATAAAAAGAAATATGCACAGGCGCATTAGTAATAAGAGAAATAAATTTAAGAGAAAACTATTTTTCTTCTCCAATACTTTTTAACTTAAAATTTATTTTTAACATTCTTCGACATCTTAAAATAAAAATGTAAAAGAAAACAAACGTTATTTTAAAATATTTTTAATATACGAAGAATGCGACAATTTGAGCGGCTGCAAGCTGGTCCATTTGTCGATATGACCGCGATAATCTAAGATTACCTTGGTGAAGAGAGAACTGCGCAGTTTTCTTCGGTTCGATGTATGAGTCGTCGCGGGAATCTCTCTTTCTCGCACAACTCTGTGAATATGATCCTGGCAGCTGACCAGGATTTCATTTTAAGCATCGACGGTCTCCGGTCACATTCCATAGCATATTTCCGCAGCGATTCCTTCACAAAGACACGCGGTGTCTTCCTATTGCCATAGTAATGAGAAAATTTTTTTACCTTTTTTATCATTTCAAAATACTTCTTTTGGCTCGAAAGAATTTTTTGCAAGAGCATTCGAGTACTTGCAATTGCAAAAAACTAATTGATTTGGAAACATGATTGTAGATGAAAAGTTAATATTTTAATTTAACTTAATTTTTTTAAATATGTGTGTCCATTAATTTATAAATTTACTATTTTGATATTTACTATTTTAAATTTACTAACTTATTATTTTGGATAGATTATTCCAAACAAATCATTATTATTTTTAAAGGAGAAACCAATAATCTTTTCTTGCAAATTGTTATTAATACTTAAATAAAAGTATCATAATGTAAAAAGAAAATTTTTGTCACTTAAAACTAATTCTTTTGGCTCGAAAGAGCTTTTTGCAAGAGTATTCGAGTACTTGCAATATTTTAATTTAATTTTTTTAAAGATACGTATCCATTAATTTATAAATTTATAAAAACAATTTTGGATAGATTATTCCAAACAAATCATTGTTACTTTCAAAGGCGAAAATGATCTCTTCTTGCAAATTGCTATTAATACTAATGAAAGTATCATAACGATGTCTTTTTGACGTAAGCGCAAATCTATCTATCGAACTCACCGTGAACTAGACGATCGTGTGTAAACTCCGATAGAAATAACTGCTACGGTCCGGAAATAGAGCCGAGTTTGCAGGGGCGAGACCCTGATTTCGTGTTGACACGAGTCGATAAGACGTCGACTGATACGAGGGAAAATAAAGCGGGAGACACGCAGACGGGGGAGTCTGTCAGGGAACCTTCACCCGTAACTGCTCCTTTCCGGTTTTGACGAGCTGAAAACAAGCGTGTGTCACCTTGTTGTTAACGTATGATACATTTTACGATACGCATATCTCGCTCTTTTATTGCAATACTCGAAATATCTGATTCTCACCGAATATTGTGTAAATAATAAGACGCGCGCGAAATGTTGACAGGAAATTTTTCACGTGACGCTTCGCAACGTTTCTCGCACATTTCTCAATCTTTTTATTTCGACTGTTTTGAAAGAAATTAATTTTAGAGATCTAAAAAGAGATGTCTTTTTATTACGGAATTAATATATTTTATTTTGTACAGTTATATATGTTATAGATATTTTATATTACTTCTCGTATATCTAATATTTAATATTTTTTATTTGATTCTCCCTCTCTCTTGACAGCATGCAAATTTATTTTGTTATATAATTATTTTTTTATTTTAAATCTTTCGAAAATACGTGTTCTTGAAACTCGAGATGTAATATCTAATATGAAAAAAACATGTTTCTTCATATATCATATGTTAAAAAATAAAGATTTATCACGTTTAAAAGAGAATCAAATATAGAAGAGATCAAAGATTTGAAGAGTATACAAAGGAATAGTTTCGAAGGCTTCTTGTCAGAGTGTCGTATTCATTGCTCGATGACTGAAAGATAAATACATAACTATAGAGAGGAGAAAAAGCGAGACAAAAATATTATAAAGAAAGAAAGAGATGTACATTGTTCGGTTTACTGATCCATAATGATAAAGAATTAGAATCATTACTTGATAAGGCTGATAAGCCAACATCTTTAGGAACGCGAGTAAATGTTTTTATTGCGCGATTACAAATCGCATAATTATCGCGCGGAATATATTACTGCTACGATATTAATTACATCATTTACGCAATACGTGTCTGCAACTTATCTGACAGGACAACTTTATCTTGTGATTATCGTTATATTTTAAAATTAAATTTTAAATGACATTAGGATTTTCGAGAGGTGGTACACTGCAGTGCTAAAATAGATTACTAATCTTTCTAATAATAATAATTACATGAATACTCTTTGCTGTTGAATTTTTACGAGGTTTAACAGCTATTACATTGACGATAATTGCCGTGACAAAATTTTCAACAAAGTCTTCGAGTAAGAGACGATCATAGACAGGTTGGTTGTATAAGTTATGAGTTAATAATAGATTCGACGGAGTGTTTTTTCCGCAAAATTTACATTTTGACGTAAACGTATATTTTGATTTGAGGATGGGATTTAAAACTTTCAAATTCTTTCTTCATTAATAATGTTTAAAAATATCTTACAATAATTTTAAATAACTGCATATAGATTTTATAATTATATATTTTAATATTTGTATACCTTTTATAAATTATGTTTTGCGTATAATTATTTATTATAAATGTTATATGCACACGCACACACAGATAAATATTGATATATGTATATATATTTATTTATTTATTTATTTATTTATTTGCTATATTCATAATTTTTAAGAGATTTCTACGATATAAGAGGAGCATAATCTTACACTGAAATTTAAGATCTTTTTTGGTCGTTTTGACACTAGCCAAAACAAAATTTCTTTGTATGGTATTCCTTATCAAATTTCTGTCATCCTATTCTTAGTTTAAAATTACTTTTGAAATGAGAATATCTAATCTTTGTGTTGTAGCTTTAAAATTATACAATAAGCAGTACTCTGTAACAAACTTCAAAATAATATCACTTTCAATTTCACAATATTATTTAGATATATTGAAATTGTTAAAAATAGACATAAATTAAACAATTTTTTAAGTATTAATTTTATTAATCTTTATTATTATCTAGACGCGTCAAAGTTTCTCATTTGAGGTATGCAATCAATCTCTTCAGTTTGATCGCGTTTGAAACTACTCGTATTTCTACGTGAAAGTTTCACGAATAAGGAACTAGAAAATACGAAACCTCATTATCTTGGATGTGTTATATCGATAAACAATTAAGAAAATGATTCTGTTACTAATCATCCTTTTTTTCTCGCATTTGTAATTTTTTAGAGATGTGTTATTTCGTTTATTTTTACAAATGTGTCATAGAAGATTCACGCGTGTACATTTTCCCTCGACCTTGAATACACGCCTACACCCTGAACTGGATGATGATATATTCCCTGGGAAATAGTAAGAGTTCTCACACCTTCATCCAATCATAAAAATTCTGATCCAGTATACGAAATATCCTGAACTTATCAAATATTGCTTTAGTATTATCAGAAAATAGATTGAAAAAAAAAAATGATATCGATATACGAGAGTAAATATTCTCGATATAAAAATCGAAAAATAATTAAAATTTTTAAAATATATATTAATACTGAGCAATTTTTGTTTCTCAGTTAATCTCATAATTGAATTTTAATTTACCTTAATTCTTCATTGTTACAAAATATTTGATGCTAGAGAATTTTGCGATTTTCAAAATTTTAACTAACGAATCATTTTCACGATTTTTGCATATTCTCAAAAATAACATTTTTCAAAAAATGATACTTTACGTTATGTATTTAATCAATTAATCTCTTTTGACATTATAACTTGTTTTTAGTACAAGTGCTCAATTACAGCATTTACAATTACCACACAGTCAGTAATATCGTATTAATGTTCATCGCGTATTACTTTAATCAACCATCTGCCAAGATGTCCATTTACGTAATCTCTACAATTAAATTTGATGTTCTTGCTAATTGAGGATTATTTTCTATTCATTCCCGCTAAACATTTGCTCCAAGTCTATTATTCTCTTAATATTCTTTATTTATTAATTTGCTCATATATTTATTTGTATTTATGTGTGTGCGTGTAATTAAATAATTTAGCAATAAGATTTCAAGTAAAGTTTAGAAAAATCAAACGTAAATTACAATTAATGATCAAGGTTAAAAAATCTATAATCTTAGAATCGCAAGATTCTTTTTTTGGAAGAAATAGTTATATAGGAAGCACAAAATGACAAGTCAGTGCATATGATTGTGTATCTTTGCCTGTCGGTTATCCACTTTCGTCTTAGGCAGAAATCCAAGAATGACGTAACGTTTCCTAATAGATTTCGTCGAAACTTTAACAACCTGGTACAAGTGGCCAGAAGAACACGTTTCGCTTAGTAGAAAAAACTGGTTTTGATGCGAGACACGCGTCTGGCAACGAAATAGTTCAACCGCTTTTCCGACTCTATAGAGACTGAAAGAGGCTGAAAGATCGATATCATAAATCATTGCAAGCATAAAATTTATATATTTCGGTTTCGATATCGTGCTGCAGAGCAGCTGTAATCTTACAAAAATAATATATGTATTTACTTATTCGTGACAAATATACATAGTATAACATTGATTTCTAAAGGAAAAATGTTTACATTTTGAGAAATATATGTGATTTAATTACTACTACCAATAAAATAAAATAATTATTAATTACTATGAAGAAAAAATATAATTCTCTAATTATATATATTTTTTTTTAAATTATACATATATTATGAAATTATATAGTTTACTATGCTCTATATTGAACTTTTTTCAATATTATAATTAAAATATTTATAGAGTTCAGTTTTTGAATTTTGACGCAAATTATTCGATATTGTTTCGAAAACTTAAAGCTGTTGGATTTGAGAAAACGGTGTCATTTGCAAATTTCCGCATGAAAATGGAGCATATATAAATCGCATACGTTAACCATCTTGTAACGCGTGCCTAAACGCTCGGGAATTTTGATCGCAATTTTTTATCGTCGATAATAACTATGTTGCACGATGAAGTGGAAATTCCCCAGTCGTTTCGTTCGTGATTGTGATTCGAAATACAGAGAGACTACGGGGTGAGATCAGAACATAAGTACCATTGAGATCTCTGCTGCACTTGTTCCATTTCCTTTGAAAATGTCAGGAATTAACTTATTACAGGGTTCGAAGTACGCGATCATAAATCACGCAATCAAAACAGATTTTTTTTCTACTCGTTGAGATACACTGATTTTTCAAACGTGGCCTGCAAAAATAATTTATATTTGATATGCACACACGATGACGTGTGTCTTTTGAAGTTTCGCTGCAACAAATATAGCATGTTTCTTCTTTTTCATCGGCGACCTTTTCTTTTTATTAACCGCAAATTTACGATTATTTTTTGTGTCCTTGCAGACGATACAAAAATCGTTCAACTTTCTGTCAATTTTCAACTTTCGTCATGCAATTAGCGTATTATCACTTTCATATAAATAAGGACTGTTCATATTTCTTGTAACAAAACGAAGCATTTGTTTGATTAATGTACAATTTGTTAAATATTGAACACAAGTAAACTGTTTTATGTTTAAAAGAAACAAAAATTATTGATAACAACCAATGAACAGAAAGGATAACGAAGAAGAAATTTCAATACTCAAAATTTTTTTGTAAAAGAAAAACAAAAATATTAGAATCAAGATTGTTCATCTGCATAAAATCATCAATAATGATAGTATCTTGAGTACATTATAGATTAATCATTAAAATCCTATAATTCTAATCATAATCTCACGCATAAAAAGTTTAATATTATATATTATCAGAACTATTATTTTTATAAACTACTAATGATAGCTAGAAGAATTTTATAATTTAAGGAGACTTCGTTATGGAAACGAAGAAAGCTCTATGTCTATGAAGTGCAATTTAATTACGAATACACAGCTCGTCAAGTTCAATCGTTGTAGATTTTACGATGTACACTCAGCGCTCTGAATGTACGCCGACGACAACCGAAATAGAGCCGTTGACGTCAAAGACACGAATGCGTGCGCGAAATCGCGAAACATACAGACATAATGATCGATTCGGCACGACGAGGCACCACTATATACCCTGTGCATGTCGCATAAACGTGCTAAAAACGAGCGCCGCACCGTAAGGTGGATCGTCCTTCCGGCAACTCTTGCGACATATCGATCGCAAATAATATTGTAAGTCTTTGAGACGGTAACAAAAGATGGTATATTATAATGATAATGCAGCATGTTCATTATTATAATAAGTAAATTATTATAAGGGAAAAACAAGCTCTACAAAAGTCAATAAGTACAATAAAATCATAATTCAATGAGACATTTATAAAATAATTAATTTGTCGGAAATGTATGTGTATGTGTGTGTATGTCACGCTAATCTAATGAGATTGTACACGCGAGGTATTTTATCTATTTAATCTGCAAGAGCAGTTTAGTTTTTATAGTCTTTAATCATTGTTTAAACGGTTTATCAATATTTGTGATCAACATCTTAGATCAAAATAAATATTTAGAATCATAAAACCATGAATGATGTTAACATACGATTAGGATTCAGTAACAGTCAGGAAATGCTTACAATTATTTTTAATTTCTAATTAAATGAATTTCTAGATACGTTACAATTTGTGTGATAATTTCTTAACTGATAGATTTTTAATCGTTTCAATTTCTTCAGATTTTTTTTACGCTATTATTATAATCGCGTTATTATAAATTTTTATCGCGGATAGTAGAAGAAGATTATTTGGAAATTAATTATCCAGATATAATGAATTATGAATTCGTATTACTTGTTAAATCGCGCAGAGCACTCTTAATTTTTTTTCACACTTTACTGCATCATAATTGGTATCTCTGAAAATTTCTAAAGATATTGCCAGTCGGCATAGCAAATGTTTGGTTGTGTAATTATTTTGTCGTAAACCGATAATTATACACAATTGAATATATACACTTACACTCACATGCTCGCTGATGATTGACGCAAACGAGCTTGATCTTTCCTTTTGAACCGCCAGACTTTTCTGCGACGAGCTTGCAACTGCATCGCTCTTTTCTTCGAGTGTTTCTTTCAAATGACGTAATTTTGCAACGTAATTTCACAGAAGGAAATAATCGAGTGGCTTCGCGATATCCGATCTATTTTTCATTTCCCTTTGATAAAACACACTTACATCTGAATTGAGAATTATTGATTGACTGAATGTGGATAAATAATAACTAATACGTTGCTATACGAATGATTGATTGACGTGAAATAGTTTGATTTATTATTCTCTTGTGCTACGGAATCAATATATCTAATTTTTATCTGTCAAATAAATCTCTCTTTTCATTTAAACGATATCAGTTAAGTAGACATAATTTATTTAAAGGAGCTATATAAAAATCTTTCATGCGGAATCACATTTTGCAGGAAAATAACATGATGATACTTAATATTTTATGGTATGTGTCTTGATAAATATTATTTATTTACTGACAATTGGGGAGGATAATTCCAATAATATAATTTACTATTATTTGTAAAATTGATTTTACAATTTTATGGTCATATCATACAAAGAGTTAATATTTTTTTTAAAAGAATATTCGATAATTTGGGAAAATTAAAAAGTGCATTTACGTGAACATCCCGAGCTTCTCGAGTGCAGTACGTCAAAGGTGGTGCATTGAGATTCTGAGACTTACTTCTTTAGCGTAAAGCTTATCGGCCAACGGGGACGAGCTTCGAAAACCGGTTTCGAGACATTTGTGTTTCTCTCGATGCATACACATCGCACGCGTATAGGAAACTACTACAACTTGGCCGTCAACCGGCTATAAAAAGGAGAAGGACGTCGATTCTCCTCGCGATTTGCAGTCCATTGTCAAAATTCATTAATTCGATTGCATCTCACAACCGAAAGAATCCTGCGCACGATTCTGTCCGACATATATGATTTCCGAAATTTCCGCAATTCCTATCACATTTATCAGCGTTTCCTTCGGTCAGCTCGACTCGAAAATCGTTAGCGATCTAACCGAGCCGATATTATATAATCTTCGCGACAAACAATTTTTATACTCATCAATGCAAAAGGTTCCGGATGGATGCCGCGTGGTTTAACAGCGTAATGCCGACGTTTCGCAAACGTTGCAGTTTGCATCTTTAGGGCTGAGAGCTCCGATATTGAGCTTTCTTGGGTTGTGGTCCTTATATATATTATGAGAGATTTTTCATCTAAAAGTATTCCGTTATGACACCGCCTAGTGGTGTGAATGTATATTAAGGGCAGTGTGCCAATTTTTATACTCGCTCTTATACGTCATAAATATGAATAATAAATTGAATAAGAAAAATTTAATTTGAAAGATGAAGAGGAGAAGAAAGAACTAAGCCTTACGCATAATACGCAGCATATAGCAGATTACACAATATGAATGCCGCTGTAATATTATACATCTTTTATTTCGGGAGCCGATTGGTCCAATTAATTGAAGATTAGTTCCGAATTCATCTCTGGGAGTGTTGCAACACGGAGAAAGGATAAAAAGTCCGCGTGCACGGACGCATCTGTCACGTGCACGCACAGGGCGACGGCGCGCACACGCGCGGGCGGATATAGACGAGGATCGAGCGACGAAGCGGCGCAGTCGCTTCTCCGCCAGCATCGCGCGTACATACATTATACGTGAGAGAAAGAGAGAGATAGGCATCGACATCGCGTCCGTGAACGTGAAAGCTAAACGCGAAAATCGTCCTTGACGTATATCTATATACATCTTCTCTTCTCTTCGGAGCAGCAAGTCTGAAAAACGTAACAAGTGTTAAAGTTTGCGATCTGTTTTTAATCAATCGCGCTCCTGGTGATTAGGAAGATCGTCAATTAAGGAACCGGCGAAATTTGTTCGCGGTTACAACCCTAATTCTGCTTGGCCGAATTTTCTCTGTTCGACTGGGTAAGATTGTATTTCGAGTAATTGGAGCTATCGTTAATTATCGAGTTTGATGGATTGATGGCGTATCGATCCATGAATGTTAAGTTGCTTAAAAATTAAAATGACAGACGTTACTGAAGATTTGCGTGCTTAAGTATTTTTACATATCTTAGAATTCAAATTTATTTATAAATTTTAAATCGAAATCGAAGTCGAGTCTAAATTGGAGCTTCTGTGACAGTTGTATATTTTGGAGCAATGCTTTCTGGTTCACAATTTTTTCCGGGATTTCGGGATTAATTTGATGATGAGATTTTCGTGTGAAATTTTTGTTATTTATTTGTGATCATTGATGGTTTAAAGAACAAAAAAAAAGATAAATTGATCCTTGAATTTCTGAGCAGGTTTTGCGAGTATAACATTCATAGCTCGATACTCGCAGCTGTAACATCCATACAATCAATACGTTATTGCAATGTCATTAGCTATCGTTGATGACGAACAATCTGCATTCTACAAAGTGTTGTCTATTTTATTCAATTTTTTATAATTACATACAGAGAGAATTTTCTTTTAGAATTTATTTATTTATGAAAATTATGGTAATTGTGAGACAATATGATGTTGGAAGAATTTTATAAGAGTTTCTCTGATTAATATTTACCACGATAAGATATAAAATATGTTTGATTAATTTTACTATGTACATATATATTCATATTTTTTGTGCTAAATATTAATCAGAAGAACTCTTATAAAATTCTTCCAATACCATATTTTGTTTCACGATAAATTTCAGAGTAAATTCTAAGAGAAAAATCTCTCTCCGTACACAATTAAATAATTTTCTATGATTATTAAATAAATATTGAATAGAAATGAAGAATAGAAATCTAGAGCAAAAAAGCTCGCTCATCTGAAATAATAATTACGTTTGTATAAAAATAAAATATAAAATATTTTATTTGTGTGCATTGATAAAGTTTCCAATAGTATATCAATCTTGATAGAGAAACGGAGTTCCTTTCAATTCAAAGAAAACTTACTTCGAAAGTCGTCATGTTTATATACATGAAAACTTCCATTAAGTTCTGTGTGTCATTGTACTCTATTGATGCTTCAATTCAGTCATCTAGTTGTATACGTATTCGAAAGTTAGTGTCAATTGGCGAGTTAGTTCGGCTATGGGCAAATCACTTTGTATTGACAGCTGCGGACGTCATCGGCGGAATGTCAGTGACTAAATAATCGCGCAGCGATATCGACCGGCGTGTAAAGACGATGCTTTACCGTCTCTTTCTGTGTTACTATGCAGTTGCTGGCAGACTGTCGACAAGCGGAAAAAAGGCACGAGAGCCGCTATTCTCGATAAGAGAGTGCGTTCCTCCAAGGGAAAGCGCCGAAGTAAAAGATATAGGGGCATTACATCGTCAATCAAGGCGCACATCGTTCGTCGTCCTTCTTCCTGATCGTATACTTACATATGATCGGATTATCATCATCATTACCATCACCATCATCATTGCCCGTGCGCGCATCTCTGTCTCGGTCCGGTCTGTCTTTTCACCTGTGCACAGTCCCACGTGCGGGCGAACATAAATGTTTCATCGAATCGCCGACAGACTCGTCTTCGCTTCTTCAGTTGTTCTGCTCTGTCGTTGGAAAAGAAAGCTGCTGCTCGCGATTACATGAGCGCAAGTCGCGACAGCGGGGGACCCGCTGAGTATCCGTGAGTTGCACATTTAGCATAATTTTGCGTAGCGATGCAGCCTCGTCGCGATCGGCTCCGATTTATCTTGCGCGCTCGAGAATGATCGAGGGCGAGGAGCAATCGGAAGCAAAGTGATCACGAGACTTGAAATTGTTATAATTTCGTTTCGTGTGTTCTTCCTCAATTCTCGATATATTACACCGAAAAAAAATTATTGATTTGAATGAGTATTTATTTCAATACTGCCAAAATCATTTATTGAAACTGATAATATTGATTTGATGTGAAAAATATTTATTTGATATATGAAAATCTTTTTCAAATTAAATAAATATTATTTGTTTTAAATAAATTATTTATTAAACAGTATTGAAATAAATATTTATTAATTTAATACTTTTTTTCAGTGTACGAATACAGAGAAATTACATTTGTTACGCGCTTTCATCGTTAGAAATAAACGTAGAGAGAATTTTCCTTGAGAATTTATCTTGAAAATCATATGGTAATCGTGGAACAATATGATACCGGAAGAATTTTATAAAAGTTTCTCTGATTAAATATTTACCACAATACAAAATATTAATATCTACACAATAAGATATAAAACATGTTCGATTAATTTTACTATGTACATATTTAATATCTTTTATCGTGGTAAATCTTAATCAGAGAAACTCTTACCATATTACTCCACGATTACCATGATTTTCAGGGTAAATTCTAAGTGAAAATTCTCTCCGTGTAGTATATTGAGATTATTCCGGCTTGAAATCTTTTGAATATAAGAGACTTTCTAAGACTTTATCATGAGTTTCTCTATCAAGAGGTATATGAAAATATACCTCATAAAAAGTAATAGATTTGAATTATACAAAATCTGTCTTTGAATCAATGAACATTATTCATTTCTATTACAATAAATGTTGAAAGATATCTATTTTATGTCACATTAAAGCAGAAGTAAGAAAATTGGTTTTATAATATTTTATGAATGCTATAGTTTCAACTCATAATGTTCTTTACATAGTATCTAACTAATTCTAGGACACTCGATATCGAAAACTACTTGTGAAAAGCATAAAATTAACTTATCGTGCATATTAAATGAACAGCGTAGTTAGTATTTTATCATAATTAAAATACAAATTGCAAAAAATTTTAATAGTTAGCATTCAAAGAATGACTTATCGTAGCCTTCAGTATAATAATAAAAGTAAAATAAATGCACACATTAAATATAGCTACTATATGAACTTTATGAAATCTCAATAATTTTTACGCTTTGTATGAGTTGATACATTTTATATAAAATTTTTAATGTCTAATATTTAACTCTAATTTTAATAGCACAAGAATGATTTTTCGAAGTTCTTAATATTATTTTATGACTTGATTTTCTTATTTTATCATTTTGCATGTTTCCATGATATTTTTATCTTTATGTTTTATAACCATATATCAGATTTTAGATTGAATTTTTATTAATAATTTAAATTGCAAGATAATTAAAATTCTAAAAATATTTCCCAAAGACCAATATAGTTCTGCGAAATAAATTGTTCTATTTTTTACGAGATCACAGTGTCAAGTAAAAGAACAATTAGTATTTCTTTTTCGCATCACGATGCGTTAAAGTGCAATTGATTGCCCGATGCATCATCTCGTCACGCGGTATACCGTAAATCCGCGATATTTCGTGAAAGAGTCAAGTCTCGTTAGAATGTGCGGAGAGTAGATTTCCACGTCTCTCTTAATCGAAATTTATTAACCATGGTGCAAGTGTAAGCGCCACGCGAAATTGTATCGGATTGGATGACGTTCGCGTTTATTATGCACCTTAATGTCACTCACGCCGAGAAATTCTTATGTAAGAGATAGACGACAGTAATCATTAACGCGATAAATGACCGATTATTTTTAGAAGCTGTATTATAAACAAGTATGCAAACATTGTGCGTGTGTGTGCGTATATATATGTTGTTGGAATCTTTCCTTGATAATATTATAATTTGATACTCATAAATAGTTTCAATGCAATAATAAATGCGCGAAAAATTTAATGTTTTTTTTTTAAATATATTACAATATTATATTAGAAAAACAATTATAAATATTTCGAAATTTTAATATCTATTTCATTTTTTAAATATTTTTTTATAAATAAAAGATTTTTAGTTTAAATACGCACATGATTAATTTTGCGCTAAAGATTGCGCTCTTTCGAGGTAAACTAGTCGCATGGAAATTATTTCCAAAGATACATTTGTTCATAGTAAACACTGTCACGAGCCCCCGGTTTACTTTAATTGACATTAATCTGCGCGGAACAAAGTTGACAGACGCACAAGTCGCTGTATCCGTCCGCCGCGCCGGTGAATTAATCGAATTATCTCGTGCGAGTCTGCCCGGCAATTTATTAGATCTATTCACATGACAATGCATCATCATCATCATCATCCTCGCGTCACCTCGATTGCCCTCAATGCACTTCTTCATGAGCGACGTGCTCCGCTTTGTCACGTACTTTCGTTCATCCTCTCGTGATCGGAAGAGTACCGCATGCAAATTATGACGCGATCCATCCGTTGATTCATCATCAGTATGTATTCATTTCGAGAAATGAAGAACTCATTTTATCGCGATCGCGAAAGGACCGAGAGACTTAGCGAGATAAAGAAAGTTGTCAAGAATTTTTGCGCGGATGCTGATAATGATTATTTTTGATATTCTATAGAGAAAATAAAAAAAGGGAGAGAAATATGATATGTGTCTTTATTATTACATCAATTTAAATGATATCAATTTCTCGATTGCAATGATGCGATTGTACAAATTTGTTCACATTTGTATTTACAAGCTATCAGTATTCGTGTAAGATTATTCTATCGCTTTCCATTGACATTTCGTATCTATTCGTATTTGCATAAATGTCCAAGCTAACGTCACGGCGGCGTTTGCGAGTATCGACCAAATTATGTGTGCCTCATTAAAGATTAATCATCCGGCAATTAACGACCTGTTACCGGCGAGGATGACGGTGTAATTGGCTCGTCTCGCATTGATATTTCTGCGATTAACTTTCTGTAGTCACAGAAAGCGCGTTGCAATAATGGTCAGCAGCGTAACAGCATCGTCGGAATTTTCCAAACGTTCGAAAGATCTCGAGTACAAATAGCATACATGCATGTACATATATATACATTACATATATTTATAGATCCTAATGGAAAAACGAGACGCGATGAATCTGGTCTCGGCGCGTTTCTAATTCAGGAAATTAAGTCTGATTGATGTTTAATCAAGATTTTCTATTCTCGTTGATTATTGTGCACGCTTCATAAGATTTTATCTCGATATTTACATATTACTATTAATATTTCTTTAATATTTTTGAGCATATTACATAAATGTTGTCTATTGAGGAAATCTTTTAATTATTATTATAGTAATTAATTAATTGTATTTTATTGTGTTAAGAAGATTTTTTTTATATTATCTGTTATCTGTTCCACTAGTTTTTCTACTTTTTATAATGTTGTAAATTAATACACATATTTGTAAATACATGAAAGATTTATTATTTTTGCATTATTTTTTACAAAAATGTTAGTTTGTCTATTAATTGATAATAAATTAGTAAATAATTGAAAATCGAACAAATTAATTTTTTTAAATTATAAATCATGTAAAAATGAAAGAAATTTTTAAAAAATTACGTAAAAATTTATAAAATAATTAAATTTTGATTTGTATTTTTATTGAAATTATACGAGCGTTCCATTAGCGAAAAAAACTGAAAATTGGAGCATACGCCATTGCGTCACATCTTTATTTCCGCAAGTTTCATTTCTGCACGAAGTGAAGCGCTATCACGCGGTCTGGTGACTCATGATGAAAGTATTTACGCCTCGCGATTCATTTATGCGCCACTACTCGTGACATAAGATCAAATCAAGCGTCGAGGACAACCTGAATTAGCAGGGTAAGAAAAAAATCCATTATAGCAAAATTCAAGAGTACTATCGTGTAGTAAAAGTCAACATTTTTATCGTTGATTGCTATTTATAATGAAAGAAAATAATTGCAAACTAAGGCGAACAAATTTAATTTTGCACGTAAGAGAAAAAAAATAATTACCTGGCGGGATTAGATTCACGAGATATGAACTTAAATCCTGACTATACCTTCAAGATGATAATATGATTTTACTGACAACGATAATACTTTTTGCGCGCAACCTTTATAGAACATGAGAGGCTTTTTGCCGTTGGGAAAAGAATATCTAAATTAAAGTGCAATAAAGCAAGCATATTTTTTGTAATTTCTTATCACGAAGAAAAAATATTGCTCTTATATGTTCGAAGAAAAAATTAAAGCAAATATATTTTATGTATATATTTTTTACACAATTATTGTCAGACGAAATCATGTTTTTTTAATTTTAAATATAGAGTTTTAATTGCAAGGAAAATAAATATAAAGATTTTCAAATCACGTGATTTGTATTCATCTAATTAGAACCATTCAATAACTCCGTGTCACACACATATTTTATAGAGCGAGAAATAAATATTTCATAACTCTTATTAGCGGCATTATGATTTAATAGCACACAATTAGTCGCGTGCGTTCTTTTTCCTATATCGAAAAAATAATTTCTAAGGAAAACTACCCTTCGCACACTCGAAACTGTAATTAGGCATTGCGTTATTACAGCGATAATATCATAATAGCAAATCCAAGATTTTTTTTTATGTACGCGAATAAACTATTTATAAACCGGTTAAAAGCAGTTCATAAACAGAGTGATAAGAAAACGCGATAATAGCTCGTCTCCATTGAAGCTCGATGCTTGACGCCGTTTCGCAATTACTATGTTCATTCTTGTTTGAATGCCAAACAAACGTTCTCCACCTGCCGCATCATTTTTAATTACCGTACGTGTCTCGCATTATTCTCTCTATTTTGTCAATGATTATTTGTTACGACGCATTTTTCGAGTTTTATATGTATGTCATCTTCTCACGACAGACATGATAAATTACTTCGTCCGAAAAAAAAACAGAAAAGTCTTATGCAATATCTTAGTCATCGTGCAAAAGTCATCCTGACAATCGCAAACAAATTTCATTCATTACGTCATATCTTAATCGCCGTGAAAAATTGAACTCGCGAATCTTTTCCGTATTCGTGATTTGACCGTATGTTAATCGCTCAATGTCTTGCTCGTAATTCCGCATTCGTATGTCCGCGAATTGCATTTTTACGCGACCAATTGAGTCGCAGTTGTCGATTAAATTTGAAGGTTGACACGTCAAGACCGTCTCTCGTCGCGCTTCGTTTCTACGATATGACCTAATTTCTTTTTTCTTTTCTGTCTCTGTATGGCTTTAGTATCCGGGAGAATACGGTGAACGGCGTGATAGCTGCCGGCGATTGCAAGATCTGCAAGGATACGAGGGACGAGTCGAAGGACTCCGAAGGTGCGTCTCTCCTTTGCGCGCTGAAACCGCGTAAACGCAAGGAACGTCGCGAATCCTGCTGTCAAGAACGAAAGCTAATAAGGTATTATTGAATTTTCACAGTACATTTTGATCTTATCGAAGTGTTAATTATATGCTTTAAATAGCTCGAATCAAATTATTATTTAACGATCAAATAAATCGCACGTATGAATATTACTGCATGACATATTATCTCTGTATAATTTTATTATTAAAATATTTTCTAAAATATATTAACTTATTATCTATTTATTAATTATGTAAAAGTGTACGTAATACTGCTGCAAAATGTTATCGATAAAATCCATATTCCAAGTGAACGTAGTTTTGATTTTTCTCATTTGTTAAACTTGCATTAGTATCAAGAATATTTTTCTATGTAAAAATGCGGAATATATAGAGAATGTCTGCTTGTTATATTTTTACATGATCTAATTAATTACTTTATTGAATTTTTATTTATTGGATATCTAAAAGAAATCATCTTAAAAAATTGATATCTGACGCTACTATGTTTTTTAGGAGCAATAGTGAGGAACGTGTTCTTGACAGTCCCACTGACGTCGCAGATACGATTAGACGTGTGAGTAGCCACGAAGATTTCAACAGCCAGGAACATCTGCATATTTTATCGCAGCTCGGTCAAGACATGGGTCACGGCGTGGTAAGTGTAATCACAGCAATAATCTTCAAAATATTGCGCAGCGAAACATAAGATGTTTACATTTAATTTATACATATATAATTCCAGAAACATTATTCACAGTCTTTATTTGTCATTTATTAACGAACACACACATACACGTCTTTATAAAAATTATATAAAGCTTCAAGATTCCAAAAACATTTTAAAATCAAAGATTTCATAAAACATTGCTCGTTCAATTTTTAAATAATTAAAAAAAATATTTTAAATAAAAATTTTAAAACGGAATATCTCTGGTTATTTTATAAGACGAAAAATAATTAAATATCTTAAACGTTAAATTATTAATTAATGCAAGCTCGATTGCTAATCGATTCGTTTATATGCAGAGGTGCGGTGGATTACCGCTTCACGAGAGGACCAACGTTTCGCCTGTCTTGAAGAAATCAGTATCAGTACCGTCACCATGTGAGGTAGTAGTAGCGACCGAGAAATATGATTGCGACGCCGAGAAACTGAGAAGTAGCGAACGCTTCAGCAGAAGCATCACCCCGAGAGGCAGAAGACAAGCGCGTAGGAGAAGAGTGCACAGAGTTCAAGATACAGACCAGAGTTCCAGCAAGGTAGACACAGCAAAATTTTTACGAGAAGTGTTGATATTATATATTAGCTTTACGAGTTATTTTTATAAAATATCTATATCTTAATCATCGATAATAATTTTAATGATAAAATTAATTTTAACGCGAATGAATTCTAGTTAATATAATTAAAAAATTTTTTTTTCTTAGGAAAACGAAGAAGAATCCGAAAATATGTATATCTCCAATGTGTCACCAAGCCCTACCAGCCATAATGGTTCGCCAGCTCAAAGTTTTTAGAGATGTTAAGCAGCGGACCTAGCAGGTCACCCTCACCAGCTCGTCCACCTACCGTCGATCACGAGGATGTAAATAAACCCAGTTTGACTAATTGGGGCTTTCAGCATTTGGAAGGAAACGTGAGTAAGAAAATTTAATTAAAAAATTCAAAATACATTTAATTATCTTTAAAAGTTATTTATACAAAATTATATACATATAAAGCAGTTAAATTTCAATTAAAATATTAAAAATAATGTATAGAAAATATGTACACAGAAAATTAATAATATATATTAATTAAATTAAAAGATCAACAATTAATATGATAAATAATTATTTGGATCTTTGTAGGAAGAAGCCGTGGATGCTCGAGTGGAAGCCATGCTTTCGCCCAGGAACTCCCTGTTGGAACCTAGGAGATTTTACTCCGAGGAGGAGATACAACCCAGCACGCCTAATCCATCGGATATGGGACTCAAAAACTTAGCAAAACACATTAATGGCCTGAAAAAGAAGATTAAGAAGTACGAGGACGAGTTTGAAGAAAATTTCGGCTATCGGCCGAGTCATTCTGACAAAATGAGTAATCGCGACATCAAGCGGCTGTGCACAGAGCTAAATAAGTTACGAAAGGAACACAAGTTATTGAAGGAAGATCCGATAGGCGCACTTCTGGCCAATGCCAACAATCGACTGAACAATGGTAGTCCAATAAACAACAACAATGGCCATGAAAAATCACGCGTGACATCGATGGAAGAGATGGTGAAAGAAGCAGAAAAGAAGCTCAGTGAGAAACGAATTAAGTACAATCGGCCCGATAACATGGAAGAACTCAGCTACGAGCAATTGCTGGACGAAAAGACGGCCGTACAAAAAGCGTTACTTCATATCGAGAACACTTTCGGTAGGCCGGTTTCGAAGGAAGATAGAGCGGTTGTGCGACCGCTATACGACCGATATAGAACCTTGAAGAGACTTCTCATTAGAGCAGGCGTGGTAAGAATGAATAATTATTATTAATTAAACATGATCAAAACTAGTTTCAGAGGAAAATCTTAACGATACGTTTTATACATGTTGCAGAACAAAAATAAGGACAGCGTCTCGGAACTAGCTACAATTTTGGAGCATGAAACAATGGATTTTACATCGTCAAGTCTGCCTGGAAATCCTGCGGAAACTGAAAGGAGAGCCAGCGAGCCTGACATGTCTCATCGAGGTATTTTAGATTGTATCGACACCACGGATCAATTACCAACCGATAGCGATAGTCAACATAGTAGCAGTGAAGGCAGTCGCGGCGCCGGTGAAAGTTTGCACGCTCTTCCTCAGTAAGTTTAAATTAAAATAAAATTTCTTAAATTGTCAGCTTTAAAGAATTTTATATTTTTTTTATATTTTACTTTTGTATTATTTCGAATTTTTTTCTTAATTTATTCTGTTTATTGTTGAAGAGCGCCCTAAAAAAGAAGTTTTTCTTAAATAAAAATTTACTATATACGACGAAGTATATTGACACGTATTTATTGAATATCGAATACCTTTTTCTTTTTTAGAGAGGAATTATTAATGCAACAACAAGCTACTCGAGAAGAAAAGAAACGGCTTCGCAGAGCGTTGAAAGAGTTGGAAGCACAATTTGAAGCCCGAGCCGGCCGTCGCATGCAACGCGAGGATCGCGGACCACAAGTCACCACCGTGTACGAATCCTACAAGCAAGCAAAGGCGAAACTTAGACTGATCGACGCTCTTATAGCTAAGAAGGCTTGACGCAGTATTTAATTTACGAGTAACGAAGATCTGACGTGAAACAATACTGTGGAAATCTTCGAAGAGGCTTTAAATGTTTGTAATAAGACACAATTGTCGCATCACGAATGCAATACAACTCATTCGTCGTCTGCAATTTTTGCATCATGAAGTCATAATTAAAAAGGCCTGAAAAAGCAGTTCAACTGAGCGAAGTCTTCTGAAACAAAGAACGGTAACGTAATGAGAATTTATTGTCCAGAATCAAAAGATTTTTAAAGTAAAAATGAGAAAGCTGGTAATATTTGCAAATATAGGATTTTCTTCACTTTCTAGTTTATGCGTATTGATACTGAATCTTTTTCTAATTGTAGATTCTGTTATAACTCGAAAAATAATATCAAATATTTTCAACGTTAATATAACATTTTAAGTATTTGCAATACTATTGTTTTAATCAACATAATCAATATGTTAAAAGTACGCATGAACGGACAAGTTATAGTGGTATCGAAATAGCACGTTTGAGCTCTTTAAACACTAATGATTCTAGAACATAAAATTACTACAAAACATCTTAACGATGTAACGGCGCGATGAAATAATTGTACATCTTGTTCATTGATACACTTTCTTATCATATTTAATATTTGTTTATTTATGATGGGAAATTTTTACTTAATTGTCCTCCATTTATTTATCCTACATGCAGGATTAGGATAAACTTTTTTGCACTGGGAAGAAACTGGATGATTGTTTTGGAATATATTTACAGTTTATAAATTTTTAATTAATTTGTTACAAATATAAAGCATATTTATAATTTTTATATATATCTTGTTGCACAGGATCTGTAAACTTTGTTTGTATTTAAAATGTCAAGTTTTACAGATGAATGCACAAGGACAGATATTAATGATTGAGATTAAAAATGGATTTATCAATTTAAATCGTTAATGCAAATCTACAGATCAAGATTTTTCCAACGTAGAAAAAGAAGACTTGTATCACAATTTACAAAGAATACATCAAGTAACATTTTTATTTCACAGTTAAATATATAATTTTATATGCTTAATATTTACATTTGTTTGCAGAGAAACAGAGTTTATTTGATATAATTTTATCATGTTTTTGATATTCGTGTATGTGTGTATATACATATATAAATCCAGTTGACATAATGAATTATCTCACAATGATACGTGTTGTCGATTAATAAGACTTAAAAAAATGATAGAAAAGAGAGAGAGAGAGAGCGAATATTCTCATATAATGACTAATGTTTATAGTAAACCCGATATTTATTTTATCATCTTAAAATAATCGCTGAAGTCTAACGCTGAGAGAATAAAGAACGAATCCGTGGGGTTACTCGTAATATAAGTACCTTGTAAGAGATATCACATGTTGTAATATTGTAGAGTATTATAAAATGTTACGATCTTAATAACGTATTAAAAAAAGAAAAGAATATTCACTAAAAGAAGCTCGTTGATTTTTGCGTTTATATTTTTGTACAAGTACGATTTTAAGGCCGTTCGCAATGTATACACACAGCCGACTAGGGACTATCGCAAAAAAAAAAAACGCCTTAAAATTCCACTTGGATCGATTTTTTCACACAGAGTCTCGAGGGTGCTAATAAATAATCTAATGGCTTGAGTTTTACAGCGTGCTGATAATACAAAAGAAATGCTTTGCGAGTCTCATACTAAGTTACAATTGCGAACCGAAGAATTTTTTGTTTTTTTATATCACAGCAATGAAATCAAATACCATCTTGGAACCGGAAATTTCAATATGTAATCGAGACGCAAAAATTCCCTTTTAAATTTTATGAGACGTTAACCATTTTTTTCTTTCATCAGCAGTAACTTTTATAAGAAAAAATAATTAGTTAAAATATTTCTTTTTTTAGTAGGATAATTAATTTTTTTTTTAAGAATTATAATATAAAATGCTTTAACAAATTAAATTTTGCACACTCGTTATGTATTGTTATTTCTACATCAATATCGGATATAATACACGAAAATTGACGAACAGCTCCGTTTTTCGCACTGATTAGGTAAAATTAATATTTTCAGAAATAAAAAAATGATATATCGGCGCTGATGAAGTCAATCGCGAACATGTAAATGCCAAAACGCGTATATGTTCTAATTAAAAAAAAGAAAAGAGTAACAAAAAAGAAAAAGAGAAAAAATGAAACAATTGTTTAGACCAAAGCATTTTTTAGTCTGTGATATAATGAGAGATATATTTGCGTTAAGATGAGAAAGTGTGTATGTGGAGTACTCGGTTCCATTTCTTTTTCCTTTTTTCTTTGTGAAAGCAATTTTTCAAAAGATCGAGGTAAAAAAGAACGATTTTTCCGCGTCTCCTCCGCAGGAGATGATTGAAGTTGACGATCACTTTAGAAGATCTTACAGCGATGACGATAATTTAAATAAAGCATCGTCCTTTTTTCCGGAAGAACGGTTGGAGGTAGGATAATTATAGTGAGGAAAAAACGGATTTATTATAGACACATTGTAATGATTAAAAAGATTATAATAAAATAAAAACTATTCCAATTATAATATTAAACAAATTAGTTAGAATATATTGCTTTGTTAATCGATCCTTAAAATTAATTAATTTGTCATCTGAGATTATTTCTTTTTCATTCCACGTGCAGAAATAAATCTAGGTGACATTGAAAATATTTTATCGTCATAAAATCCGTTTATCGCTTTCCTCAAAATTATCGTCCTCCATCCGTACTATCAAAAGGACTTTGTTCACAAGAAAAATTAATTTTATATTCGAGATGCCACAGGAATGTTTTTATTTGCTGCGGGTGTATTTAAGCGCCCTTCTGTAGTAAGAAAGAGAGAGAGAAAAAATTAACATTATCGTAGACCTAAGATAACATTTTATATTAACGTTATAATTAAGATACATTTTGTAGCGCATAGTGTATGCTTTACGCATAAGAACAGATCGCGTGATTCTGTGTAGATGCTTTGAAAGAGAGAGAGAGAAAGAAAAGCAGAGAGGAATATTTGAAAATAGAAACAGAATGCAAGAAAGGAGCAAGAAAATTTTATTTAGCTGAAAAGCAGAATCGGATAGATTATGAATCGTTAAATTAGTACTTAAAGAAAAGAGAGGAATGATATATATAAATAAATATTCCACGCGGATCACATAATTCTTCGACGAACATATCTAGAGAGATTAGAATCTTGCGATGGGGAAGCAAAAAAAAACAAGAAATCAATAACATGTAACAATCGATTTCTCTCGGATATATCGTCGTATGTAGTTGCAACTGACAATTGCATTCGACCGTGAGAGTTACGACGATAAAGAATATCTGTCTCTAGCAGGATTCTTAAAGAAAAAGAAATAAAATAACCATCTTCGGCGTTTATACACAAATGTTGATTATGTATAGAGATACACACAGACAAAAGAAAGTTGCGCATACATAAATTACATACAATCGTACATGCATACAAATTAATATTACACATTATTATGGGGTAGCACGCAGAATAAAATGGAATATGATCTGCTAGAAATGTTCGTTTATTGCAAAAGACAAAAGAAAACACCTTAAAAATCCCTCCTTAGGAAACCGTGCGAAATAGCTGTTACAATCGTTTAGTAACATCTTTTTTTTATATATTATCTAATGGAAGAAGAAATTAATTAATAGCTTCGTCGTAATAATTTCTTTTTATTTTATGTGTTTATTGCATGGGTGAACGATTTGAGAAGAATAATTTTGATTTTTTACCATAATTCCATGTAGTTAGAATACGAGTTGCATTTGCTTATAAAAAGTTTGTATCTGCCGTAATAATGCGGCCAGTTGCATAGAAGTGGGCGGTTCTCGTGTTGCATTATTAAATTTTCTTCGACCAAAAATCTGTGTCGGATTCATCGAATGAGACTTACCAGGCAAAATAGCAAAAGAATTTTTATGAGATCCTTTGACCGACTCGGTCGTAATGCAAACAAGACTATTTTTCTCGTGCAACATTTTCATTTGCTGTTTCAGCGTCATTACCTGTTTTCGTAATATATTATTATTATTATTAATGTAAAAAATGTGTGAAATGCATTAAGTTATTTATATAGCTCTCACTTCTTTGTAAAGGCCAATAACAGCGTTGATTTCTTCTTCTTTGATATTAAGTTCCTTTTCCAAGACAGATAATTCCTTCCCTAGAGATTTATCATTAGATTTTTCCACTTCTGATTGCAATTTTTCATATTTTCTATAAATCACGAATATGACTATATATATGTTTACAAATGATGCGGATTTTTAAATTTAATACTGCCAATACTCACGTGTTCATTTCTTCAAATTGATCGTGAAGATTAATTAAAATTTCGCGTATTTCCTTGGAATTATGCGCGCCACTAATTGTATGCGTTTTATAATCACCGATATTAATCTGCAACATTAACATGTCATATAATATGTTTACACAAACTGCTAAAATGTGATTTACCTCCTTATTCGACGATATTTTTGCTATTCCTTGCTGACTTCTCATATTTATTGACATGTTGTTTTTATTTACGACAGGAGACTGCAGTTTAATTTTATGATCATTGAAATCAATCTTTTCTTTATTAAATTGTTTAGCGGCATCGTTATCTTTTTCAGGAATCATTTTTACGCTGCCAGATAAATTTGACGTACGAGAATTCTCCACGTGTCGTAAATCATATACAGATAATTTTTTATCTCGCTTGATATTTGAACTCTTGCTATTATTGAACACAGATAGATGCGAGTTTATGTTGAGAGCCGATTTTTGGGAATAATCATTCATCTGTTCCAGAAGAATCGACATCGGTTTTATACCTCTACTGACTTTACGAATTAATAACGGAGTGATGTCGTTTGCAATTGGCTGTCTCGTTTTCATTATACTTAATACCTGTTTTTTTTTTTTTTTTTTTTACAGAAGACCTTTTAAACATTCAATGCTCTTATAAATTTCGAGAAACTCACTTGCTGAATGTTCAATCCGAGATTATGGCTAGGTGTCACCGAAGTCCCTACCACGAATGGTATGTTTCGGAAGTTAAATCTATTGAAGTACGATCTGTTGGAACGTTTCAAACTCGACGCCAAGGTCGGCATTTCATAGTTAGGAATGAACATTGGGTCGTTGCATTTGTTAAAAGTATTGTGTTCGCATTGATGCATTTTATTATTGCACTGCGCCGATGGATAGAAATCCTTGGAATGCTTTTCCGATATGTCATGTTCTTGAACCCTCTCAGGAATCACTCTGAAAAAAATCAATTTGCACGATGAAAAAATTAGTTTTATATTTATTATATTGTCGAAAAATAATAATGCATTTAACTGAATAATAATGATATTATTATAGCTGTAAATTACCTCGAATCGCATTGATAATTCAATGACTGATGCTGCTCATTCTCCTTGTTGTCAATTTGGTATTCATGATTAACACGTTCGGGACAAGGTGTTTCTTGGATCTTTCGATTAGCAGTTTGAATAGGATGTCTTTTTACACGTTTTGTTTGTTTATCAAATTTAGAATGCTTACTATTAGATATTCCAGAATTGCTACTCTTCAATGTAATATTATGAAAAATTTCCACGATGTCGTTGGACCTTTTTAAATTTTTTGGAGGGTTTGACAGTTGATGAATAATGCCATGGCCTGCGGTAAAATATTTTTACATAACAGATTCGACGTAGAGATATCTATATATTTTTAATATTATATTTACGGAAAAAAATGATATGCAAGAATTCGATTCTACCTTTATGTCTGCGCTTCTTCGCTTCTTTTCTACCGATGAGACTTGTATCTTTAGTGGCAACTGTACTCTTGGAAACGGAATTACGTAATCTTCCTTTCTTCTTGCGTACTTTAGATAACGTATGGCTCGTTTTATTATAAATGGAATTTGATTCGCTTCTCTCCATTCTCGAGGCACGTTTACTCTTTTCCGCTCGTCTAACTTTCGTTTCCGGAATATTCAAATTTAATTTCGCGGTTCTATCTTTTTGCTGAATTCAGCGGAATTACGTGGAAATAATTCTCCTCGTCTACTTTCGATGTTATCTCTTCGACAGAATTTTCTACGCTCAGCATCGATTGGAAATGTTCCCGCACATATTCCGGAAAGGACAGCGAATTTTCGTATTCACCACTCGCCTATTTGTATTTCGAGAATTTCTAAGTATGGTAATTTTATTTACAGTATAACAAAAATATATAAAAATTATACAATTGTACGTTTCTGTGTATGATTTATAATATACGCAGAATTGTGTAATATTGCCTACTTTCAGGGTTTCGCTCTGCCTCATCGTCATCGTGATAGGAAGCTTTTTATCTAATTGAGTTCTCGGTGTAATTGTAACATTCAATAATCCATTTTGCTTTTGTTGTTCCAAGCTTTCGAATTCTTCATTAGCATCGTCATTGTCGACGATTCTTCTAGGTGACAATTGGATAGATTTTGGACTTAAATGTAAAGTATCTACAAAAATATAAATATATTGATTGATTTTGACGAAAAAACATTTTACAAAAATTTTCAGTCTTATGTGTGCAATGTTGTAAATTTTTGGAGATAATAATTTGGGATTTTTTATTGATATAACCAGAATTTCACTATTACAATCGTACGATCATCTGATTAAAAATTTTAAGCTTAAATTTTTAGGTGATAATTTTAGAGTTCCTACAAAGTATTAGATTTTTCTTGCCTTTCATTTCCGTTTTGACTTTTTGACAAACTCCCATCACATAATTTAATTCGGACTTTAACGTAAAGCATTTTGTTTCCGCTTCATCCAGTTCTTGTCCCATTTCTAAATGAGGCAATAATGTCAATTAAAATATAAACATTATATAAAATATATTTTAACATATAATAATATTAACATTAAAATATTTTTAATCTTGTTAAAGTATTTTCGAAAACGGAATATTATCGACGACTTTGAAAACCCAATATAGCGTTATTATATAAAATAATATTAATATAATAATAAGAAAAATTAGATTTTTATAAACGAGATAATACTTTTTAACGTGATATCTGGTCTGCTTTCCGATTCATCTAATTTACATGATTGCATTTCAGATTGAGTCTTTGAAGATGATTCTGTGGAAGCAAAATTATATAGTGTATTAAAATAACATTCTAGAATTTTTGAAAGTGCTTTTAATTATGAAGATTTTTCATTTAAATAATTACCAAAAATTCCGCTTTTGCTATCATAAATATTCATGTTGATTATGTCAGATTCTTTAATAATTTCCATAATGTCTTGTGTGTTTACATGATGCAGCGAGATTTAACGTGTATTATTCTGAATTTAAATTAAAGTACAACTTGTAAAAAAATAATTTATTCTTCAAAACAAAACATACAAATAGACATACAAAATTCAAAAAATAACTCATAGGTTACAGTTAACACGTTGGACGATTACATCATTCTCTTGTCGCAGCCATAACTCTTTCTTTGTTTTGAAAAATTACACAGACAAATTCATAATAAAAGTGCTTCGACATTTCCCGCGATGACGTCATTCCACAGTCGGTAGAAACTGCTGTAAATTCCTATTTTACCGACCGCGATTGAGCGGCAATTAATACCTGCTTTAGCCGCCAGGTGGCGCCTCGGATTCACTTCTCCGCAGAAACTCATCACGTATATTTTAGGAGCGCTCGCAAATTTTCTCAAACGGCAGTAGCGTGTTGCAAATGGTGGATGGTGTGCGATCGTCGTTGCGTTAACATCAGGTAAGCCAGTCCAGTTATCAACCTGGAGGTTGTCAGGACGCCTATCGCGACGCATCTCGAGGCGTTAATCTCTCGTAAACGGGGCGGCGCGTTTGATCGTCGCCGATCAGCTGTTTCATTCCGCGACGATCGGGGTTATATCCAGAGGTTACTGTCGCGCTCGATTACGTAAAATCGGCCGTGCAAAATCAACAAACGAGGAAAAACATCGGCCGGATATTTTGCGCGACACGTCGCGAGGCCCCAGCGGCTCCCGCGCGTGTCCTTATCTCGAGAGAGAAAGAATACGCAAAAGGCGACAAATTCCGGTGTGCGTAATCGCTATTTGTGCGCGCGCGCGCACGCTGCCTCGTGACGACGAGATCGAATTCGCAGTCAAAGTTTCAAGAAATCGAGAAATTCGCGTCAGACGTCGAGATTTACGACGTCAATATTTGACAAATGTCGCGTTTTATCCATGCGTCATTAGCGTCTTGTTAACAATCTGTTAACGATTTATCAGTCGTTAGCGGTTTTACTCTGTCTACCGGCGGCCTCGAGCACGTGAGTCAAATAAGTGTTGCGTTTCACGTGTGATTTGAATATACAATATATGTGCATACACATGTATAGATGAGTGGTTGGTCATTTCAATTGTACTTTTTTGCGATTCATTCTGTGTTTCCAAACTCGAATTTACAGAATCGTCATTAAATTTTGCACGATTGCAGTTTTCTATGTAATTTTTTTGGTTCTTTTTTTCTTGCGAAAAATATTTTGAGCGTGTTAAAAATAAAATAAATACGATGAATATATTTCACATATTTTAAAAATTGTAATTTAAAGCGTAGAAAATGTGCAATTAAAGAATAAAAGAATACTCATGTTTCGAATTTTTAGAAATCTCGAAAAATTCTAAATATCTACGCATATACATAGGCTGCGCTGCAGTCATTCCTATCTTTATTAAAAAGGACAGAGCACAAGGTACGTGCTTTTGACGTCGAACGACGTCATTAAATATCAAAATGACATCATTTTTAATAACATCAATTTACTACTTGGGAAGCTTCTTCGTGGTTCCCGAATACAGCCACCCATACATACGTATATGCACATACATTTGTGATTTAGAATAAATACATAAAAGATTTTAATTACAGAAAATACATCTAAATAGAAAAAGAAAGCGATTTTTTTATTATAATTCTGAGTTTTTTTTTTTTTTTTTTTTTTTTTTATTACCTTATTTCGCAGAAAGTGTATCGTTATTATACAACTGATAAAGAAACGGACGTAGAATAATTGCGGCTCAGTTGTATAATCTAGACTCGCCGATATATATACATATTATATAGCGGCCTGGCCTGTCATCCCGACGTGTGACATTCAAGTAACGGCGCGGCCGCGTTCTCGACGTATAGATACACACTACATACATAACTTCGTCGTATTTGACGTAACGAGAAGCAGCCAGGTCTTCTTCTCCCACTCTCCTCGATCGCGCGGAGATTTCCTTCGGAGACTTGGGAAGTCCGCAATTTTTCCTGGACCCGGTAACGTCACACGTGCTTGAGTGAGGTCGAGCGATCGAGACGTCTCGGAAATTATTTTATTATATCGGTGCGAATCGGTGATTGATATGTCTCTGTTACCTCATTAATTGTCTACACTTCTCTGCACATTGGATATATATAAAAAATTGTAAAAGTAATCAAGGTAAACGTGATACCTGCATCTCTTTCTTTTGCAATAGCGCAATCAAGGTTGTACGTTTCGTACGATTTTTGCAATCGCTAAGGAAAAAGAATGATATACTATAATTACATAATTTTTATTATTTAAAGATTATTGCTTATATATATAATTTTGATATAAAAACAATGTAGAATTTTATTTCTTTTATCATTTGTCTAATGTTGTCAGGATCCTGTCAATTAATCTTCAGAAAATTAAAAGAAATTTAAATCGCCGAAATCATTCACTAGATTGTGAGTCATCGTTTAATATTGTTGCATCATTAAACAAAATGATTATAATGATGGAAAATTTGAAAACTATTAATAAATATTCCAGTGTCACAATTATCTTGATTAATGCTGTTGTTAAAATATTTTTAGAATTTTTGGTTTATTGTCTTGAACTGCCTATAAATATTCGGTACAGTTGTTGTAATTTTAGTTCGGATGTCGTTGTCATAATTTTTCTCTAAAAAATATTGCTTTTTTTTACTAAAGATTAGAATAATGTTGCAAAGAGTTGCAAAGAACTTTATCCTCTTAGAAATTATAAATTATTGTATGTTTCTGGCATGACATCTGTCAAAGCTTATCAGGATCTATTCCATTGGCTCGTGATAATATAAAACTTCAATCGTTTTATCTATTCATTATATTTTTTAGCCTTTGTATTTTTTATTGCTGGGGAAATACTTGAGATAGTAAAAAATTATATATTATTACATTAAAAGATTTTCAGAGTAACCGATGTATTTTACGAATCATGAAATACATCAATTATTCCGAAAATCTTTTAATGTAATATATTATTTTTTTATATTTACATAAAAATAAATAGATAAATATATATTCTCACTGAGAGATTGTTTGCAACTTTCTATGTCTGATGTTTATTACATATTTTTTTCTAGAACCACGTTACGCAATCTGGTAACTAGCCAGAGTTTGTAAAAATAGAATTCTCTCTCTCTCTCTCTCTCTGTTTCAATATTTATAGGCATTAAAGCGCAGTAAGATATAAAAAGAGCTTTTTGCCGGTATAAACAAATAAATATCAAAATCAATTGTTGCGTATATCGATAACATAACTGCGACTCTTCCTCAAATAATTTTAGACGGTGAGATTTTACTCCTATGCAGAAAATATACAATAATTACGCGTCATTTTTGTTTAATTATACGCGGATATTGATTTATTTTATCGTATATTTCTATTGAATTTGACATTACATTATATTACATTTTATTATGATATGCAATTACGGTCTCTTTGTGTCGAAAATGAGGTTCATAATTAATTCTGTAAACAGTTATAAAATGACTGAATTTTTATTTGGCTTATGTATAAATACACACGTGTACAAGTAAACACATGAATATCTAGATATATATGTTGTTTACACAATTCTATAATTAATAATTAATGAATATGGTATGCACAAAATTTTAAAAACTTCAATGATGCAAAGAGGGCAGTGATAAGAAAATACAAACAGTATAGCAGATAAAGTCAGATAAATCAGATTCTGATTGTGCTTGCAAGATGGGCTTAACATACATCAGCATTATATTTATCTTAAATTTGTCTTCTCATTAGTCTCATGATTGGCTGGAGCACTCGAAACATTTAATCTAAATGTAGGCGCGGTTTTCAGTGAATAAACAACTGTTTAATCATTTTAGGCATTTAAATGACGACATTAGATATTAAATACACCTTATCTGCGACTGCATTTACGTTTCATTAGCTTATCTACATCTCTTCCTCATGTCAAGTGAATAAAACTTCGTTTCACTCATGTTTCATATTTTTTCAGGTAAAAATGTACAAGGCGAGGACAGTATTTAATACGCTGGCCCCGTTGGCGCCGCGTATATGCGGACCCGAAAGATACGCATCCTGGGTCGTCCGCAGTCATCCTTTGACCAGGACCAGTCAAGTGATCTTCACGAAGACCGCGCGCAAATATAACAGTAGTGTGACAACAGAACCCTTCCTAAATGGCAGTACGAGTTCTTACGTGGAGAATATGTACAATGCGTGGCTACAGGATCCGCACAGCGTGCACATAGTAAATAAATTTTAATATATATGTATATTGCAATGGTGTATATAGTCCTGGAAAAGCTTTAAAAACCTGATATCCTTAAGAAATTTTGTTCTACCTTGAAAAATCGTGGAAATCAGGGATTTTTTTTAAATTGCCTCTTTAATAATATTACTCTTATTTAATATTTAAAAAACATGCCTAACATATCTTTGCAATATCTGAGTTTTCATTAAAATTTCAAGTGATTTTTTTCTATTAAGGATCTGTTTTTATTATCAAGATCTTATGTAAGTGTCATAGAAAATTGTTCAATTTTTTAATAGATAATAATTTAAATTTAAATTAATATTTTTATTTATTTAATAATTAAATAATTTAATAAATAATTGTAATAAATTAGTCCTTAAGAACGTTTATAATAAATTATTTTCTGTTTTATATTTTATCTTTATATTTTTGCATATACTATATTTTTAGCGTATAGATATATATATATTCAACTGTTATTTTTTCTTATTTTATTTGAAATACTTGAAATTTTAAATGAAAATATTTAGAAGAATAGAAAGTTCTCAGGAAATATATATTTTCACAAGATTTGAATAGACATACTGTACACAGATTTTTGTGTGAAAATACTTTTCTTAAATTTATTATTTTTTGTTTATTCTTAGTCATGGGATTCCTTCTTTCGAAACAGCACCGCTGGAGCTGCACCAGGGCTTGCATATCAGGCACCACCATCCCTTGCTCCAAGCTACAATCAAGTACCGCTCGGAGCTTTGTTGCCCCTGGGTGGCGGACCGCAACTCGGCCAGGCACCCGTCAACGAAAAAATTATCGATGATCATCTAGCGGTGCAAGCTATTATTCGTTCTTATCAGGTATGATATCGAAATTTTGTTTGTTTCCAGTAACAACTATATTCAATGTGTTGCTCTCTTGCAAACAAATTATATACTATCAGACATTCTATTTGTGTTATGCAGTTCTGTGATGTGTCAGTGAGATGATAATTTTTAGTTAATTTTATTACTTTGTTTGCAAAAGAAATGACACTTTATTTTCTCTCAGCCACTTATAATTCACTTGTGTAACAAAGTGAATTATAAATTGATGCATTAAATGTATATAAAAAATATTATCATAATACTTTAATCACATAGATGGAGATTGCAACAAGTGGTTCATATTTGGTTTGTTAATATTTTCTGCTCCTAACTCTTAATATAAAAACATAATATTCTTCTTGAATGTTTTTAACGTTTAATTCTTAACAAATCTAATAAATTAAAAGAGAGTCTTGAAAGTCTGCTTCTAAGTTATAACAAATTTTAAAAAAATTATTTTTTAATATGATAAAGAATTTTTATAAATTCAACTCTCTGTTATTCTTTTAAACGAAAACTATAATATATTGTTATTACATCAATTTTTGTAATATATTCCTTCAGAAATGACTACGGCATGCATCAATACATTATACAGACTTCAATATATTTGTATGCATGTGAAATACATTGAAAGAAATCTATTGTTCTTGGTATCCCAGTTTCATTTATATGAATTAAAATATGTGATGTGAAGACAATATATATAAACTTTATATTTATATATTATACATATAAGTTTTATACATATACAGTCTAAATGAATGAACCTGGAACATAAGATATTATGTATTACACTTGATGCTTATTGTTAGGGGCTATCATGTGTGTTCCCAAATTTTTTAATATTTGTGTTTGTTTCATATGCTGCATCAATATAATTATATGATAAATGCACAAATAAGAAACATAATGAAAATATTGCATAATAGCCTCATTTTGTATAATTAATATAGTTTTCCAATTTCAAGCATGTCTTGCATCTCCACATTTTTTTCCAACAAGAATGAAGTTTTTTAAATTATGATCTTGATTTATATCACTCTTTTCTGGGCAAAAATTATATTTATATTAGAGATTATATTTTTATCGAGGAAGAAACAGTAGCATACTATTTCTAATTGGTTCATTAAAATAATAATTATTTGATAAGAGAGTCACAATAAATTGATCGTAATTTCTTTTGCCTTTTACATGAAAAATGTAAAGAATTAGCATTAATTCCTGCAATATAATTTTTAGTACATGATACACTATAAATATTTGTTGTAAAACATGTAAATATATACATTATACATCTATGTTTGTCAATTCAGCTGTATCTAGCCGTTATATTGCTTCTTTTTTCTTTTATTGTAATTATGTGTAGTGCAGTTGTAAAAGTAGATACAGTTATATAAATGTGAGGTTTTTTCGGGATTATTCGGCGTGTAGGCCCGAGGTCACTTAGTTGCCGATCTGGACCCACTGGGTATTATGCAAACAGACCTGATACACACGCATTATGCAGCTCGCAAGGGGTCACCAGAACAAGTGCTGCGACAGTACATGCTTGGTAAGGCTTTTCTTCTAGAGCATTTTTCGCAGGCTTTTTTTTTATATATATAAACATGTTTTTTCTCATAATCGCGCATTATACTAATTTAGACTCTTGTGTTGTATAAATTCATATACGAATTACAGATTTATTGTGTTTTTTGCAATTTTATTTATCGTCAAAACATCTTTTCTTAATTTTCACATTTGATATCATCATTTCATATAATCATTTTTACATCTCGACACATTTTATTTTTATTTTACGAAAAGAGAGCAAATTTCTATTTACTTTCTCATAAATTCTTTATTTGCTTAAAATCTTGAATTCTATAAATAATAATTTTCTATAAATAAAAATTGTTTATAATTTTATTTATGATATAATGTGCAACCTTAGATGCAACAATTTTAAAGCGCAACAACGTATTTGAAAATTCCGTTACCGTAATAATCCGTAATAATACCGAATCAAATCAAGTATAAGAAATAGCAATTTATTTTTATACATTTTTTAATAATGCATTCCTAAATTTTTGTTACTTTTTAAACTTTTTACTGTTAAAAAAATACTCTACAATTAGATCATTTTTAACGAGGTAACTAGGAAAGAGTTATGTAAAATTGTTAGGAAGTGTGCAAAAGGGAGATGTTTAATGATGCATTTATACATACACTGATACTGAAAATGTTGGAATAAGCATTACATTCATTTTGAGAATCATAGAAACGATACGCCTCATCTTTTCATAATAATTGATAATTGAATCAGCTTTTTCGCGATTTGATTATTCGTGCATATGTAGGCATATAAAACTGTTGAATATATTATAGTTCAACATTATGCATTCATTGCATTTATATATACATCTAACAGAGAGTAAAAATTGATAATGTACATTGTATGCGAGTATGCGAGTGTAAAATATCAAAGGTAAGAATTAAGAAATTTCTGTGGACTTTTGTGCATGTACAGTTTATCTGTGTTATTATATACTATGCTTTTGAACACTTTTGTATACAACATTTAACGTCCAGCATGCCTGTGTCTTTCCAAAATTTATGTACTAACGTACTGTTATTTTTTCCTACGTGAAACGCATTAAATAAGGGGATTTTTGAGCAGCACTTTCATCATTCCTTTAACTTATATAAAATAATATCGCAAAGTATTAATAATAGGGAAGCTAAAAGGAGCAGATAACACATTCACAAAATAAAAATGGAATTAAAATATAACTTGATGTTTTAATATGTATTTCGAATGTTAATTACTGTGACATGATGTTTTTTATTACAAAGTGTAACAACACAGCTTATGTGCATTAAACATCCATGTTTTGTCTTTGTTGCGATTTTTTTTAAGAATATTTTTCGAAAAAAATGGGACATCAAACACAGTAATTTATATTTTAATTAAATATATTAGATCACGCAAAATCAAAAGTGAACTATTTGGTTCGCATGAATGTAACATTAAATTGACAGATTCGTGGCCATCATATCGCTAAATTGGATCCACTCGGCATCAACAGCGCTGATCTGGATGATAGACATCCGCAAGAATTACTCTATACCCATTATTCATTCGGTAAGCCTAAACGAACATAAATAGAAAGGAGTAAAATATGAAAAAATTTTTTTCTTGAACGAAAAACGCATCTCTTGATGCACTCGAAGGCTACTAATCAATTTGACTAGCACGATACCATTCAATCTTCAAACATATAATTCCAACTATTTATCCTATTTACATACTACATAAAAATTATGCGTAACTTCTTCTCTTGTTTAATTTAAATATAAACAAAACATTTTCTCTTTTAAATAGCTCGTACACGTCTATAAAGCTTCGCTCTGTTCTTAATTCACTTTATTTAGTTCTCTCGATGTAATTCAGCTATTTCAGTATCTTATTATTGTAGCACTTTCTTAAATAATTTTACTTATTTTTTCTCATTTATTCTCATTCTGTTAATAACTATTACATTAATCGTATCAATATTAATATAGAGATGCCAATGTGAAAGATAAAATGTGCAACACGTTGCTAACATAATCATAAAGATTCTTGATCTAGGACTAATTTATCCTTCGACTCGTTTTACCGAGCAAATGGAGTAAAATTCTTTGAAGATCAGTGTTTTGTACGATTGTTGAGTTTGAGTGTAATGTCCACAGGGAAGATACAACGTACTACTTTCTCACAGGATCTACAATATCGGGTAGCTGTCCTAATGCAAAGTATGTAATAATCGTTGTTGTAATCAAGGAAATTGCCTGAAGTAAAGCTCTGTCTTTTACTCGCGCTAGCATATTATTGGGCGGTACTGGTTTCGGCTTTTCCTCGGAAATTAAAAAGAATTTTCTATCAAAAGCATCTGTAAAAGTTGGGTTCTTCTGTTGGGTTTTTCTTCTATTCTTCTATATACTATGTAAAAGTGCTCGCACGCAAAAGGTAGCTCTCGAACGTTTCTTGTGAAGGAATTGGAGGAGGGACATATCTCTATGTTACAAATATTTCGATACATTTGATATTTTCTAATTCGAATCGAATCGAATTTGCAAAAAAAACAACTCGAATCGAATCACCCATATTTCGAATCGAATCAACGCGTATAGAATTAAACGATAGAATTAAACGGATTTTAAGTCTTACGCGGTTCTTTGATTCGAATTCGAATTGCAGTGATTCGACGTTATCGAATCTTTCGATTTGGAACTACGTCGATTCGAATTCGAATAATTCGCATATCTCTAATATATACCCAGATAGCCACAGTAATTATTATGACATTATTTTGATGTCAAAATACATCATTTGCCATCAAAATGATGTCATAATAATTACTGTGGCTATCTGGGTGTATATATAAATATATATAATGAAAATACTTATTTAGTCAGCTCTTTTAATTTTTAAAGCCACAATCTCCACTTGATTCCTCTCGACCAATAGAGCCAAACGCGATGTTATTGCGACAATTAAGAAAGAAAGAAAATTTGGAAACTAAGGAATTTGAATCCTATGGTTGGGATCTCAGAAATTCCCCTTGTTCCTCGGTCCCGACCGATTCAGCCGACTTTCGGACCAATATTTTTCTCGCCTATTTCTTTACAGGGGATGTTAAGAGAAGGAACAGGGGGAATTTTTGAGATCCCAACCACAGGATTCAAATTCCTTTTCAAATGTTCTTTCTTTCATAATTGTCGCAATAACATCGCGTTTGGCTCTATTGGTCGAGAGGAATCAAGTGGAGATTGTGGCTTTATAAATATATATATATATATATAAAACTTGGCTATAAAAATTAATTCTGTTCCTCTTTTACTTCCGAGTATCTTGTTTTGCTGCCAAATTGAAGTGTTGCGTATATTATCTCTGATAATATTCTAATAACACATCTGTATCTTTTTCTTTTGTCTATTTTGTGTATATCTCTTTTGCTGTATTTTATATTTTATATGTTTTTCCTTTACAGTATTACTCTTTTAAACATTTTCGATGGTTGTTGTTTAAATTGCTTTATTTGAGCTTACAATTTTTCGTTTTTAACAGAGGATTTTATTTTTTCTTCAAGTTTGGTATTTATTTGCACTGTCACGCATATTGTAATATATTGTGGTAAACACAGAGTACACTTACATTCTCTCTGAAAAATATAATGCATGTTTACGTAAGCAAATACTTCACATTGTGTGAATATCAGATTTATATTGTTGTTGAAAGAAAGAAATTACACATATGCAATGTATATTAAATATAACTTATTAAATTGAAATTAATAGAGTAAATATTGGATTGTATCGAAGAAAGTAATTGTAAATCGAAAGTAAAATTTTTGAGTATTTAAAAGACACATTTTCAGTATCAGTTTTAACCGAAACAAATAGGGAAAAAAGTACACTTAACACTTTCCAACAGTTTCCTTTTTTTATATATACAATTTTATATATTATATTTAAACAGTCTATTTTATAATTAAGTATACGAAATAAATGCTGCAGTTACAAACATTGTTGTAAGTGTTAAAATTTGCTCAAATGTGCATAAATATCTGTAATATAATTATACGTGTGTATGAACTGCAACATTTTTTTTAAACATATCTATCGATTGTGGATGCTTCGGAGTACTTGTAAAATACGCGTGTTTTTTTTAAATGCTTAAAATAGAGGAGTCAGACATGGATCGCGTTTTTAAATTGCCATCGACCACGTTTATCGGTGGCAAGGAGAAATCGTTGCCGCTACGCGACATCCTGAAACGGCTTGAGGCCGCTTACTGCGGCCACATCGGTGTCGAGTTCATGTTCATCAACTCCTTGGAACAGTGCAACTGGATCAGGCAGAAGATGGAGACACCCGGAATCATGGAAATGACCAACGATGAGAAAAGGCTTATTTTAGCAAGATTGACACGCGCAACTGGGTAATGGCAGTGATGTCAATCGAGTGTCAAAATTCCAATTTTGTTACAAATTACAAATTTTCAGAAAAAAATACTATACATTTGTTTTCATTTTTTTGGTCTTTTTATATTTTATTTTATTATAATGTTAATATATGTATTTTAAAAGATATATTTATCAAGATACATTTTGCTTAATTATTTCTGTAATTATATTTAATAAAATGTCTAGTAAATATCTTAATCACTTAATCACAGATTCGAAGCGTTTTTGGCGCGCAAATGGTCCTCGGAGAAGAGATTCGGCCTGGAGGGTTGTGAAATTTTGATTCCAGCTATGAAACAAGTGATCGACAAATCCACGGAATTGGGTGTCGAATCGATTGTTATGGGTATGCCTCACCGTGGTCGTCTTAATGTTCTCGCTAACGTCTGTCGCAAACCGTTGAGCCAGATATTCACCCAATTTGCTGCTCTTGAAGCCGCCGATGATGTAAGTATTTAAAACGGTGCGATGTTTTTCTTAGCTGCATAGTAAGTAGAAAGTGTAATACGCTCATTTTTTTGCGCAATTTTTTCGCACATTCCTAGTAACGATGAAATAATTTTCAGGGTTCTGGTGATGTGAAATATCACTTGGGTACATACATCGAGCGGCTGAATCGCGTAACGAATAAGAACATTCGTCTCGCCGTGGTTGCGAATCCATCGCACTTGGAGGCTGTAGATCCGGTGGTTCAAGGCAAAACGCGCGCCGAACAATTTTATCGTGGCGATGGCGAAGGGAAGAAGGTAAGTTATTACATAAATCAGAGTTCTACATATAGCAAGGAATTTTATAAAATTAAAAAAAAACAGTTCAAAAATCTTATCAGATTTAAACTAATAAAATTAAAATATTAACTGAATATCTAATAATTGATGCAATTTTGCAATATTTTAATGAATAAAAAAATCACTTTGCTAAGTATAATAATATTTCCAGGTGATGTCCATTCTTCTTCACGGAGATGCAGCGTTCTGCGGTCAAGGCATTGTCTTCGAGACAATGCATCTATCCGACCTCCCTGATTACACCACTCACGGTACTATTCACATTGTCGTGAATAATCAAATTGGATTCACCACGGATCCAAGGCATTCACGATCATCGCCATATTGTACTGGTTGGTATTCACAGTCTTAGCTTTTAATGACATCATTAATTAATAATGTAAACCAACTTATACATTATTTTGTGTCATTAGACGTAGCTCGAGTGGTGAACGCGCCCATCTTCCACGTGAACTCCGACGATCCCGAGGCCGTGATGCATGTGTGTAAAGTAGCGGCGGAATGGAGGGCCACCTTCCACAAGGATGTTGTGATCGATCTAGTTTCCTATAGACGTAACGGTCACAACGAGATCGACGAGCCGATGTTTACGCAACCTCTGATGTACCGCAAGATCAAGGATACTCCGCCAGCTCTCGACAAATACGCTAATTCGCTCATTACCGATGGCGTCGTTACTCCTGAGGAAGTAAAGGTATGAAGATATACGCATAAAATTGTACTTTATATGACTGCTCCTATGTTAAAAATTTATATTTATTGTAGGATGTTAAGGCTAAATACGAAAAGATTTGCGAAGAAGCGTATAATAACGCCAGGCAGGAAACAAACATCAAGTACAAGGACTGGTTGGACTCGCCATGGTCTGGTTTCTTCGAAGGAAAAGATCCATTGAAGGCATCACCCACTGGTATTAAAGAAGACACACTCGTACACATTGGCAAAAAATTCTCGTCGCCACCGCCGAATGCCGCTGAGTTTATCATCCACAAAGGTAAATTAAGTGACATTAGAAAATATTAAATGACTAAAGATATTGAAAGAAAGAGATTAAAGATAAAATGTGATTAAAATTTTATATATAAATATATAATATGTGTAAGAAAAAATTATATAATAAATATAATTTTAAAATATGTTAATTTTTAATTTTTAATATATTTTACAGGTATCGAGCGTATTTTAAAGGCTCGCATGGAAATGATCGAGGCTAGAACTGTTGATTGGGCTCTCGGCGAAGCTATGGCTTTTGGATCTCTCCTTAAAGAAGGTATCCACGTCCGTTTGTCAGGCCAGGATGTGGAGAGAGGCACATTCTCACACAGACATAACGTACTACATCATCAGAAAGTCGACAAAGCAACTTACAGGCCACTCTGCTATCTGTATCCCGATCAGGCACCTTACACAGTGTGCAACAGCTCCTTATCCGAATTTGGCGTCCTTGGTAAGACTGGAAACTATTATGTAACACAATTATTATTACTCTTTAATTTTTACTTATATTAAAGTAACTTTATTGTAATCATAGGATTCGAGTTAGGCTATTCTATGACAAATCCTAACGCATTGGTATGCTGGGAAGCTCAATTCGGAGATTTCAACAATACAGCGCAATGTATAATCGATCAGTTTATCAGCAGCGGTCAAGCCAAGTGGGTTAGGCAATCCGGTTTGGTCATGTTACAACCTCACGGTCTCGAAGGAATGGTAAATCTATAAAGTCAAGCTTGTGAATAAAGTTGGATTGTTTGTAAAATTTGTCAATTTTAAGTTTGCTTTTCATCTTTTTGTCATAGGGTCCTGAACACTCTAGTGCTCGTCTAGAACGTTTCCTTCAAATGTCTGCTGATGATCCGGATTACTTCCCACCTGAAAGCGAAGAGTTTGCCGTGCGTCAGCTGCATGATATCAACTGGATCGTTGCAAATTGCAGCACACCGGCCAATTACTTCCACATTCTGAGACGGCAGATCGCGCTGCCGTTCAGGAAGCCATTGGTCCTAATGACACCAAAGTCGCTGCTCCGTCATCCGGAGGCCAAGTCCAGCTTTGATTTGATGTTAGAAGATACTCACTTCCTCAGAGTGATACCGGAAGAGGGTACGGCAGCCCAGAATCCCAACAACGTCAAGAAGCTGCTGTTCTGCTCTGGAAAGGTTTATTACGATCTGAAGAAAGCTCGCGCTGAACGGAATTTGGATGACAAGATTGCGATTGCCAGAGTGGAACAGGTCAGGCATTATATTTAAATAAGTTCATAAAATCAAATATCTTCTTTATAATCAATTTTTTTCATTTATTCCTTATAATCACTTTATAATTAATTGTAAAAATTACAATATTCTGCAGATATTTGATTCGATTTATTTTTATAGATTTCGCCCTTCCCGTACGATCTTGTCAAGAAAGAAGCTGCAAAGTATCCCAATGCAGAATTGTTGTGGTCTCAGGAAGAACATAAGAATCAAGGCGGGTGGACTTACGTGCAGCCAAGATTCCACACGGCGCTCAATGGCACCCGAAGTGTAACGTAAGTATCGAAATAATAAAATCGACATAATATAACTCCAACTGTGAAATGTAAAAGTAAGTTGTATGTATGAACTTTATGTTCACTATGTGTTACACTGTTTCTTTTTTTTTCTTTTCTTTTTTTCCTGTTTCACACGGCCCACATTTTTTATTTTGACGCGGTAATACAAGTATATTAATGCGACGTGTCATAATTTTATATTAAAAATTTCAAATTTTATTTTATTGTTTATATTCGAAGTATCATGTGTATATGTGTTTTTTTATCGCAATAAGTTATCACAAGTTATTCAGGCAGATCTCTGCTTTTCTGGTTTGTATCTATTTCACGAAAATAAAATGAAGAATCTGGGCCGCGTGTTACAGCGGTGCGTCAGAAAGTGAGAGTGATCGAGGATGGTTAGCTGATTTGTTTTCGTCACCAAAACCGAAAAAAACCACAATTGTGTCAGAGCAGTCAACAGAACCTACTGAACCAAAGCAGAGAACAGTGAGGTAACGTCGAAACTATAAAAAATAATTATTATTTTCATATATAATGAAAAATTATGGATTATAAATTAGTTTTCATGTTTAATGTTAACTATTTATCCTAAAAATAGCATGAAAAAAATATTGCTATTTTTAATTACAATGATAATGTGATATGAAATTATTATATCATATTTTATATTTTATAAAAATATTGCATTTATATTAAAAACATATTATAATATTTAAAAAATAATTAGTAATTAAATTATTAATGACGCAATTGTGTGTATGTGTGTATAATTGTAGTAATATTGTTAGTTGAGTTTCTCAAAAATCAAAAATAATACTCAGTAGGGATCATTGACTTATTACTCACTATTGTTAGTAACTATAAATCGCTTTTTAAAAGTATGCACTATATGTAACAATATTAATGTTTTAGCTATGCTGGACGTCCTACATCGTCATCACCCGCAACTGGCAGTAAAGTGCAACATCTCAAGGAACTCAAGCAACTACTTGACGACTCCCTTAATTTTTAATGATTTTTTTTAGCGCTATATGTAGAAAACTGAAGATTTATTTATTTTTCTCATAATGTATGCATTACAATATCTTTGTGTCCTGCTCGTCATATAACATACAACAGAGATTATACCGTAGTCGTTTAAACAACTTCTTCATAGTGGCGTCTCTTACATTTAAGTTTGCATGCGCACGAATGTATCATGTTCGTTCGTTAAAAAAATCTGCGTTTTTATAACTCTACACAATATATGGGCAGTATAAACTTAACTAAATATGGTAGTCTTCAGTTACTACTTACTATCCGATAATTGATCGTTAGGTTTTTCTTATTTTTAAGAATATCTTTTAGCTATTTATACTACTGATTTATGATGAGCAACTTTTATCTATATATGCATTTCTTATTTATATGTGTTATAATCTGCACATTTTGTTCTTAATAAACAACTCGATTACGCATATGTATGCTGCTTGATGTGCACGATTGAAAAAGCAGTAGAACTTTTAATCAGTATCTCGTCGTCAGTTAATTTTACAGATATATATATCTATCAAAATATCTTTGGTTTATATATACACATATAATGCCTTTTTGTTTATATATACATACATATGGATAAAAGAGAAATACTTGCTAGTCGATTGATCTTTACATAACATGAGACATTCGTGCGTCAGTCATCCTCAGTACTTCATTTTATTTGTACTTTATTGAATTAATCTCTTGTGTAAAATTGATAAGTTATAAAAGGAAAAAAGTATTATTAATTTATAACGATGTTACGTAGCGCGTACATTTTAACGAATAGCAATTATTCTGAAGCATACTTTCACAAAATAACTGTCCATGGCAAAAGGCTATGAGAAAACACATGGCAATTTTTTTTTCTTTTAGTAATTTATGCCATGGAAATAGTTGCCAATTACTTTAACTTTTTATTCTTACTGTATTCTTGTAAAAGGTTAAATAATTGGCGGTTTTGCAGTGCGTTTTTGACGCAGACGTGTGACGTAGCACTATTACTCGAGTTATCTCGCAGTTTCAGTTACACTAACGCAATATTAAATTGAAGGGTGTTTCAATTTTCAATGTTGTGTAAGCTTAAAAAAAGTGTGTCAACCGAAATCTTAGTGCTACCCCATGGACAGTATCAGTGAATGCTTCAGTAAAAGGTTGAGAATAAAGGATTGAGAGTAGAAGACAAATTAGTAATACTTAAATAGCATCTTTAGGGATTAATTTTAATAATTATTATTTAACCGGGGCATCTATGGCTCGTATGGGTCGCTGTGCGTAGTATGCAAAGATGTGCATATGCACGGTATATTTATATTCTTCTATCTGTACTATTTAAAGATGAGACGCGAAGGTATTTTGAGAAGTATCGTTACACACCTTATTGACTGGAAGAAAGTATTGTTACTTGACGCGTAATATTTGTTTTATGATGCGCGGGGATGAATCAGTCTTATTTTGCTTGATGCATATGGAGTGATATTTATGTGACATCTCACGATCTAGCACGATATTATTATTTAGACGGCCCAATGAAAGTTGCAGTACCTATCGTTACACTTGTTCCTACTCGTTACATCATCGTGTGCGTTTATAACGATTAGTACGAGAGCACACGTGGGTGAAAATGTTAAACAGAAACAGATTTCCTCCCTCCCAAGTAAGTATCTGACACTTTAAAATTTGGTTTGGCGCAAACCGCTGATATTATTCCCGATATTGTAGCATTTTATTGCTGATTTAATTAAATTGTCTCACACATCTGATTGCGTATATTATTCCCTCGTAATATTTACTAATCTTCTCGTACACGTAATACTACGTTAAAAAATAATTAGAAGAAAATATATAACTTTTTCTTTTATTGCATGCTTTTTCGTGATATGTGAAGTTAATATGTTATGTACATATGTATATATTTTTTATTTATTTAAATTTACCATAATCTATATTTAATTTTATACGAAATTAATTAGGATTGAATTTGGAAAGAAAGATCTTTTCTGATTTTGAATTTAAACGAAAATCTGGGAAAGAGTAAAATAAGACAAAATATATTTTGTGAAAATTAATTTTTCATTGTGCATAACGTTAAAAGTATAATACAGTGTGTAAATAGATCGTCAAAAAATAGATACATCGAGATGCGGCGAGAAGAGAATAAGCTATCTTAGTGCAGGCTAGCAAAAAATATTAATCTTGAGTAAAATATATATGATTGCAAGCCCCGCGTACTCTAACAATGATGCGTTTTAAAATAACTATATATTTATAATTACTACGCTTAAAAATACATGGCATTGTTTTATCCTGTCAAGCAATGAATGTCGAATGCAATTCGTTAATTAACGCAGACTTTCCGTAGACTCTTTACTTTCTATATGCACTTAATATAAACTTGCTTCTTTAAAAATCCAATAGCTAATCTCAGTTAAAAGAGATTCTGTTCGACATTCGTTCTCATGCGTAATTCGTTTATTGCGTAGTACAATAAATAAAATATAGATTTATTTAACATAAATAAATGATGATATATTTATAGCGTCAGTTCGGCTTTTAGTAATCGGTCTGTCCCAGCACACTGTACATGATCCTCTTGAAACTATTACTCTGATGGATCTTCTCGCCTTCGTCGTCGAGCACGTTTATCTGAAAATTTAATTATTCACTGTCATTCTATATCGTCGAACTGTAAAAACGGTATACATAAATGATCTAAGTTTAATTTATGCTATGAACAAGACAATTTTATATCTCGTGAAATGGCATGCCGTGAGATTATAACACCTTAACGTGCCTTACACAAGAGAAAAAAACCAAACACCCGACAATGCAGCATAATGAAACAGCATCTGTCCTATGAATTAATTTCTCTATGCGAAAGCACTTTATGCAAAAGTAATAGAAAACGCACGTACAAGTTTCTGCAAAAATTTTAATAGTCGGTGGTGAAATCCTTAACAAAAGGAAGAGGGAAGGGACGTCTATATCCACCCTTAATAAAACAGAGGCCGAAAATTAGATTACATCTCCGATCGCGCGACGATTAAATGACAGATCTGCATTGAAATTAATATGTTTGTATGTGATGATAATTATATTAATGTGAAATAATCGCGTCATATTATAAATAATCGAACGATTCGAGATCTTTCTTTTTTAGAAAAGATAAGCGGGTCGGATCTATCATGATCTTCCAATGGTGAAATGCAACGGTCGATTATTACTAGGAGATGGTTTGGCACGACGCTTCGGTAGACGAAAAAGAAAGAAGCACAAGAGAAGTAACACCTCGTGCCAAGTTACTTATATAATCCAGTGCCGTTTCATCGTCCGGCTGTGTTCGGTAACGTTATAAGAATATTCATACGTAGTCAATAAATGTTTTTTGGTGGCAAATGATAAACACGTGAATAATTAAAAATTGTGTGATTAAGTTATTTTAAATGGCATGTTTAAATAAAATTTCATAGTATTTTAAATATGCGTTTTATGAATATATAATGATACAATATAGAGAATCTTAAGTTCAGCTCTGAGATAATATAGTCTATGCAGCAGTTGATAATAAATATATTCTTGCATAGAATCCATGCGATAACATGCGAATGAAAACTGCGTTGCTAAAATGCGTATTTCAGCCTGACAAATTTTCTTTAAAATTGTGTGGCTTAAATTAATTATTGATCAAAACGAAAAAAACGCAGATACTCACGTATGCAGGACTTTTCGGTGGAGTATGGTATATCTGTACAACAAATATCGTATTGTTTAACGCAATTCTTATGTCTTACAATACGTGTAAATACATTTAAATATATTTAAATATATATATATATATATATATATATATATTCTTATTTATTTAATATATTTAAATATATTTAATATATATTAATATAATATATATTTATAAATATAAATATATAATATTGGAAAAATAAGACATTGAAGAGAAAAAAAATCAATTTTGATTAGACGTATTATTTTATTATATCTCTTGAAAATGTAAAAAAAAAGAATGTATACCTTGTTCGATTTTTGCGGCGAAAAGACAGCGGTGCGGACCGGTTGCCTGACCTCCTGCACCTGGTCCCCGAGTTGCTCTTCTTGCAGGGCCTTGTACGCCTCGCTCTTACTCGGGTCGTACTTCACCGGCTTCTTCAAGCTGCATGTATCGCATGTGTACACAGGGATGATTTTTAATTTTTCTTTCTCTCGCTCATGCGGCTTTTATCTTTCTCTCTATCTGGATCGGTTAGCAGCGGCCGGGATTGCGATTTGCCAATTACGCAACCACGTTTTTCTTATTATTAATTTGTTCGAGAACAACTTTCAGACGCGTCCTCCAGCCGAGTTTAATCGAGAGAAATCGGTAATTCCTCATCGTGCAAATTCCATGTACATATCCGATCAGGAAGAACGCGTTCGTCGGACATTTAAAAAATTACGCTTTTTGAGAAAAAAAATTTCGCAAAAAATTGGAAAAATTAAAAAGAAAAGATTTTCTTATTGTCAAGATTCAATAAAATCTAAGAAAAAAATGTTGCAGATTTCTGAAAGGCTTATTTTCTGACACTTATTGATTTTCTAATACACTTGTGCATAGGGCAAAAAATTAAATTATATATTAAAAAGAAAAATTGATGTAAAAATTTTCAGATTGTTTTAATTTTCAAATATTAAAATTCTATGGTTAAAAAATATTTAAAAACATGTTTAAAAAATTTGTTCTCAAAAGCGTAATTTTCGAAAGTCGTCTCGAGCTATTCGTGCACGGTATCTACGATGCAAGCATACGAACACTCATCGAAGTTAGTAGATATTCTCACGTATTTTTCAACTATTGTATTGTTTATTGATTATTTACTACTCTACCACATGCAAGAGTTTATTCACTATCGTTAAAGAAAAAGCTTTTTGCGCGGATTCGCGAAAGCAGCGCGAAATTCTTAATTTCGTCTAACGTAAGTAACGCGCCTATATGACTTTCATCACTATGCAATATGAACGACAAGCTAATTTGAAATAATAATCACACATATTTTTCAAAATATTGAAACTCAGTGGTCACGTTCGTTATATCGCAATTCAATATTTTATATAAATTCAAATATCGATATTATCTATAAAAAATATTTGTGTCTACTGTTTGAAACAAATAATTTAATTTTAAGACAATCAAATAATTTCTAATTTTAAGACAAATCAGTAGTTTACGAGATACCGTAAATTAAAAAAAAACGAATACCTATATTTTTCTAACAATTTTGTACTATAATTATTTTTCAAATTTATCAACAATTTTTCTCATTGTAACGTTTTATGATAAATTTCTTTAACAATTTAGAAATAATTTATTTAATAATCTGCGTGTATATGTATATGATTAATATACAATAATACTTCAGTAAAATAAAGGAACGTGCCCAATGAATCACGTGAAAATCGGAAAACTGCCGTCGTAGATCCGACGTGTGAGAAGCATCGGAAAACGTCTCGAACGTCTTTTACAATAATTTTTAATTTGGCTTATTGAATTGTGGCCAGACGTTCTTCGAGGAGGCAGCCTTGGCCTGCTCTTTCAAGATTTTCGCTTGCTCCTGTATTTCCTGTTTCTGTTTCAGGAAGGAAAAGTCTATGAAAATGCTGGAAAACAAACAAACCGCTACGTAAGTAATGAATCATCAGGAGAATCCGAGAGCCGCATAGGAAAAAGAAAGGAGCCAGAATGTCCTTTCTCTTTTGAACGATGGAAGATCGACGATTGCGCAATCTCGAACGAAGTAAGTCCAATTTAATTCCCCAATTGGTAATCTTTTCCGAATTAGCCTTCGTGAAAATATCCAAAAAAAAGATCATTTTTTTCACTTGCATAAATCTCTAAAAAAAACTCAGAAAATATATCTGAAAATGATTAACATTTCAAACAATATATCTAATTATATGGCTATATAAAAATTAATAGATAGAAATTGATAAAAATTTATATATATGTATATATAGTACATAAAAATTATAATTTTGCTATTTAAAAATGTCCAAATCAGTCTCCGGTTTTGAAGATATTACTGAGAGTAATAATCAAGTTTTTAAACTCATCTTTTACGACGTCATGAATTGTGTGAATTGATAATTTGTTAATTTCAATTAAGACGAAAAATCGAATTTTTTATTATCTTTATTATATGACAGATATTTGTCAAAATGTGTGAGCGGCATTCAGCGGAAAAGCCAATCTTTATTAATTGTTTATTAATTTTACCCTGTGATTGCTGCAAGCTTTACTGCGTATTAGCGATTCGTTAAATATATATATGTATATATAATTCGGTTTAAGTAGTTAAAAAATGCTAGTTAGGAGAGCTTAGTGCAATCATAAATAATGATTGATTACTTACGGGACGGCAGATGCTTGACATTTGATGGTGTCCGCGATGTTTTGTTCCGAATAGAGACCAATCGGCGAGTTGAATTGCTTATGGACAACCTAAAATAGCGAAATTTCGCGTTTACGATAGTTGTACAATACAATTCGCCGTATTATCGCACAAAACTCAAAATACAATAATTGTGGCTTGAGATCAAAACGATCGAGTTATTATTTTGTAAGCAGAAGCGTAAATGAGATTTATTTCAATCTTCTTCCTTTATTTCAATATTTATTTTTAAAACACAATTAAAATTTTAAAAAATATATGTAGTTATAATATTTTATTTATAATTTATTTTATTTATTTTGAAATTTTTGTGCAACATAAGCAGATAGATATTAATAACGCTTTATTGTGCAAAACGTCCACTGAATGTGTATTATTGTTACAATTTGTCATCAAGTTGTGTCACTTGTGACTGCGATATTACATTATGACAATTTTAGTGCTGCAAAAAAATAACCGTATATTTAGTATGTTGGCATTGGACACAATAAATGTTTAGCTAATGCCAAGTTTCCGTTTTATGTCGAAAATATACGTAAAAAAAAGTTTGATTTACAGATATAATTTATATAATTCCGTTACTACAAAAAAATAATATTTGTCATAATGTAATTAATCGTTATGCTCAAATATATTTTTAGATCGGCTCATTCGAAATTACATTTTGAACCATTCACAAAACAATCAATAATAATCAAACAATACGAAGTAAATGTTATTCAAAAGGTGTAGATTTACTTTAATAATCAAATAATTCAAAATTTTTTACACATTACATTAAATTTAATTTAATTTAATTTAATCATTGAAATAAAAAATTCAATTACTTAATTTAAGTAAGTTACTTTAGTGACTTAATCGAAATCGGGAGATAGTGCAAGATATATCGATTTGCAATGAAATCGATTACGTATCAATATTATTTCGGATTATAGAATTATATTACACGGACGGAAGAGTTCAGGATTTCCTGTATTAATTAATCCTGTAATAATCTCTTTACAAGTCATATATCATTATTATTAGTTATTAGTTATAGCAGAAAAAAAATCGTGTAAGAACAGAGTTCTCGTAAGATGAAACTTCCGCAAAACTCAAGTTTCTTGCGGACATATCGGATATCCAAAGAGCGTAAGCGTCGTTTCTCAAAGCGGAAGCGGCTTACGAAAGAAAGCAAAAAACGGAAGTGTGTGATCCAAACCTTTGGAACTTCATTAGGTCCCAAGACACGCTGAAGTACCGTTTCCGCCACCTGCTCAGACGACGTTTAATGAGAGATACAATTTAAGAGGACCGATTTACACGCGACCGATCCCGATTCGACAAAAACGTGTCTCTGAGGAAACGAACTTATTTCCGTATTATGACGTCGAAATCGAAAGATATATAACGGAGAATGACTCTCCATGGCGGATCATTACCTTTTGCTTCATAGCGACTTCAGGGTGAGCCGGCTCGTAATGATGGGGTGCCGCCCTGATCATCGGATTCGGATGATGTCGCAGATAGCATTCGCCGAGAGGGGCATCCTTCTTGACCTTAGCACCTGGCAAGACCAAAGGAGTCGTACGGTAGGGCTAGAAGACAGATCGTAATTGCGATATTTCGTTATTTTTTATTTTTTATTCAATTATTCATTTATGATCAAATTTAATAAAAGAGAATTTTTTGTGTGAAAAAAAATCTTTGATCTGTCATAAAAGTCTTCAATCGATGACATTATTTGTCTATATAAATGATTTAAAAATATTTTTTGAAATATATATCTTAAAAATATAAAATCGCGATGTCTCACTATATATTATTTTAGTTTAATATTTTATTAATACATAATATTTCCCTCATTGTATGATTACTTACAATGGCTGTTATTAATATTGATAAATTAACATTGTGAAAATAATATACCGATAATAATGTGAGTAATGGGGTAGTTGATGGCATAAATTATATATATATAAGACAATATCCTGTCGAAGCGATGCCAATTAGCTAACGAGATCTAAAATAAACTATATAATAGAGGCCATGGCGATTAGATGGCTCGTTATAATCTTTGGTGCTTCTTATGTCGCCATAATTCCGAGCAACGACGAAAATAAATCGATGATGATGATATCGCATCTTAAATTAATTGATCCCGTTTCGTAACATTAATGAGGCGAGGTATGACTTAAAGAATGACGAGTTACAACAAAGTGAGACATCGTGATTTTATATTTTTAAGATATATATTTGAAAGATATTTTAAAATAATTTAGTCCAATAATGTCATTGATTGGAGACTTTTATGACAGATCAAAGATTTTTTCAAAAGTATTCTTTTTTATTCATTTCCATCGTAAACTATGTAAAAAAATTAACGCTTTTCACTAATGATAATATTCTGTTTTTGCATATGCAAATAATTCCCAGCTAGTATCAATACATTGATCGATATTTTTGGCGCGACACCGTGAACCGGAAGTGATATCATCAGACGATGACCGATTGCTTCTAAAGAAGCAAAAATTCTGCCTAGCTGGCACACACAATGAGAAAATTACATAAAGCATTCTCGTACCACGAGCGAACTTATCTTGGCAAGTTACGGATCATTACATCACATACCGTCGTTTTTGCATGACATTATGAAATTACGCGATTCGATATCGCGCATCGTCGATTCGTCATGCGACTCTTGTCTGTTTACAAGTTTGAGTTGCTGAAACATCCGTGAAAATAAGTGCAAGACGGAATCTCGTAATCTTTCGTCGTGCAAATTCCACGGGGGTTTTCGCCAAATCGCGAATTGAAAAAATAAAGTATAGTCATATAAAGAAAAAGAAATATTTCGTGAAATTTGCTCGCGGACAAACAAGCTGTCGTTTTATTTTCTGTTCTGCAAAAATAGTCATTTTTGAAGGGCAGCTCGGGATTTACGGGCAATTAATTGACCGTGATGACGCATTGTTGGCTTCAGAATTATTGCGCGTCAAGTTAGCGAAATATATAACGGAAAAATACTAAACATTATTCAATCTGAGCGATTTGTCAGTACAATATTTTTATTAACTCTTCTATACTTTTTTTCGTAGCTCTTTCTCGAAATCTAAAATTTTAGAAACATAATTATCGCATTATCAGCTGAGATCGTGACAACTAAATAATAAATTGAATAAATTGACGAATCGAGGCCTCTGTTAAATGAACAAATTTATATTTCCAAAATACATATATAAACCAAATGTTTATATGAAACGTAAGGAGTTTGACCTCTCTTATGCCCACTGCCATTCGACGTTGGTGCTCTAATGTGCATGCTGCAACATGCATGCTGCAATGTGCATATTTTACAATTTTAGAACCGCGGTCGCGGTCGTAACAAGTTCGCGCGCGAGTTTTGCGTTTCACGTTCACGGCGTGAAATCACGCGATTACGATGATTATAAATGGGTCAGGAACGTCATTATATGTTGGAGGGTGAGCCGTTAGTGACTCTCTCGAAATAGATGAAGGCCCCGGCTAGCAAAAATAACGCGCACACCCCGAATCGCGTTACACGAGAGAACCTCTCTCTCTTTCTCTCTCTTTTTTCCTCTCCATGTTTCTTTTTAATTCGCAATTTTTTTTAACCAGGAAACATTTCTTCTCCGAGAATGAAGGAATGAGAAATGTCCCTCGCTAAAGCGTTGACAAGGTCACGGAAAAGGGAGTAGTAAAATCGTTCAGCTAAAAATGTCTAAAGGGCATTTTACTTCTATTCTGTTTCGATGACGTATGCCTCGATGTAGTGTATTTCAAACTGCATCGTAAAAATATTTAGAATAGATCTTGAAAAGACTGATTTGCTCAAAGAATATTAGTCAAAAAAATTTTATCATCTCGTCTTATAAAATTAAAGATGAATAAAAAAATATGTTCTTTCTTCTTTTTTTATATAAAGAAAATGAAATAATGAGAATATCTTTTAAACGTTAATAACTAATATTTCTGAATCAAATTAAATCTTCTTCCGAAAATGATAGAATAGTTTATTAATTGAGTTTAGTTTTGACTGATTTATCTCGTTGTTTTTTATAAAATTCTTGTTTATTTTAAGATTCTTTTTTTTATAGAATTTTCGTGTGCGCATTTTCATGCTTCGTTTTGTAAAAGGTCTCCCGCGAACTATATTCAGACGAGAGCAAAACAGCTGTTTCGCAGAGTGTTTATTACTTGGCGGCGGCGAGATGAAACTTGAACTCTTTGGAAACCGATTGGAGCAGGTTGGCAAGAGACACATTAACGAACAGACGTTTCGGTTTCATTAACTATACGCATAAAATAAAAAATTCCAATCAAGTTGAATACGTGATTACGTGACTAATAAATTCCGATTTATTCAATTTTTGACGTGAAAATTAAGTTTATATTAAAATCGCCAATCACTTTCTAACTAAAAAAAACATTGTCACATTAAGGATAAACAAATTGATTAAGAAATATCATATAGACAGAGTTTAATATATGCAAAGATATTTTATATTATTTATTTTATATATTTTAAATTCTCAATTTGCAAATGTGTGTGTGTTTCATTTGCTCGCGAAGAAAATAATAAAGTGATAAAACCTTCCAGTTGTAATACATGATATATACGTTTCTCTTGCATGAGTTTTATCGCTGCTTACTCATATATCCAAAAATAATCGTATATAATTCCTCGCTGGAGTGTTGTTCAGTAAACAAAATTTCAAAAGTTATCTCTAATTTCGACATTTTCGCGGATCAACCCTTAATAGACGTAAGGCATCACGTTCAGGACGTCGCTCTTTTTTTCTAATTAATTTTTTGGCCTTCTACATTTTTTTCGAACAAAAGGTGCGTTCGAAAAACACGAGATGTGGGTGTGTCTTTGTACATATGACGGCCTTTCGTGCTTGCGAGTAACCCAGATCCCGTTCACGAAAATAGAACGCGATACCGATGAACGGCATCTGCGATGTGCCTACGTGTGTTTTATTGCATCGCGCGTTATTAATGCACATCGCTTTAGCGTTCGCGCAATTTCGTTCTTTCATCTCGATTACGTATATCTTTCAACTCCGACCGATCGCGACGAAATCATCGGACTCTTTTTCGATACATTTCCAAGTATAATTAATTAATTTTTTCTCGAGAAATTGTTCTATATAGACACAATTATGTGTCAAGGTAAATAACGCGAAATCCAGATCGTCTGGTGATCTCATTATTCGATATCGATGTCGATGCTGAAGTTGAGCTTGCGTCTTTATCGAGTTTTATTTTAGGGTGACATGGCGAGACATAAGCGATTTTGTGCGTTTTTATATTCTGTCGTAAGCAAACCCACGCATAAATGCTATTCGGACGGAAAAAATGAATTTTAAAATCGATAATATTGTTCTAATAAACGCGTGACTCAGAAATAATAATTTTTATTTGAATAAGAAGAAATTAAAAAAAAGATAAAAAGTCAATCTAATAAAATGAAAAGAATAATTAATAAGTACTAGAAAAATTGATACATTATTATATATTTAATTATAAAACTTTATATTATTAATTAAATAATCGAATAAATTATTTTATAAATTACAGCTTTATCTAAAATAATATACTCAGTATGTAATTATTCAGTTAATTACCGATCGGAAATTAATTAAGAAGAATGAAAGAAAAATTAAATTCTAAATCTTGACACACATATTACGTAAATACATTTTTCACTCTAAATAAATATATATATCTGTCGGGAAAAATTTGTCTGTGCAAAGATAAAAAAATGAACATATTCGTCGGATATTTGAAATGAATACTTTTGCGATGACAATTTAATCTCTCATCACTCGCACGCGACAGAATCCGCGAGCACATTTTGGCCGCGTTCTCGAGGAAGGTCCACGTTCAAGGGCAAGGGAGATTCGCCTTGCAATTACACGGTCGCCTACGTGGGTTTTCGCTATAATTTGATCGTCTCTTTTCTAACAAACCGACGAAATGTTTCTCTTGCTTCTTTCGTACCCAGTAAACGGCCGCCTCCTCCTCCTTCGGTTGATGCTCGATGTTGTAACGATAGACGGTTGTGTAAGCGGGCATCTTCTCGTCCCGTCGAGAGGCGTCCCGCGGGAACTTCCTCGCGATTTCTACGATTCTTTTCCCTCGGAAAAACTTGTCACCCTTTCTCGCGCGGCAACCCCTTTCGCGAGCCACGTAATATCGCTCGCGTCGTCCCTCGTTCGCGACTCTCGCCGGATTATTCGCGCTTAAGCACTACTGGCTCGACGAGAGCGCGGGCGGCACTAACTCTGGCCTTTTCCACGCGACTCTTCTCTCTCTCTTTCCGGAGAGGAGACCTCTCTCGAATACCCTCGCTTTCGTTTCACATACTTAACTCTTTGACACTGGAAGCTTGTCTTTCAACTGTCATTAGTCGGATACTTTTCGGAACTTTTAGAGATTCGATGGCAATTATAATCGATTTATCCCATTGAGAAACCAGATAAATCATCAAAATCGCCTGAACAATCGAAATCTTTTCTCTTTCTCTTTGATAAGAAAAAGGAAAATGTATAGATAACATTGTGTAAAAAATATTACATAAAGAGAGAGAGATTTATAAAACATTTTTTTAGATATTCCTAAAAATTTAGATCATTTTATTTATTCAGTTTTATTTATCATAGTTCAGAGCTTCTAAGGTTTATTCCTATACAAATAATTGATTATTGCTACAAGATGATCGCGTAAAATGTTTTTATTGGCAACGGACTTTCGCGATGAGAGATTAACAAGAGAGTTACTCCAATTGCCAAGATTTACTAGTAAATCTTTCTTTTCCTTTTGTCATGTATTTATAGAAATGCATACAAAATATTTTGGACATCGTGCATTCTTTCTCGCAATCAGACATTTCCAAAATTCGACGGTCGTGATATTTTTAAAACAGGCAAAAAAGTGTTCATAAATTTTTTTAAGTAAATTTTTAGAAAATTAACATATTGTCTTCTCTCTAAGTTTATGTGATCTTGAAAAAAGAAAAATCAAGTAAACTATTTTCAATTTAAATATTATTAACGTGCATTGCGTTTTTTTGTCTGATGTGTCACGGGAGAGGAAGAGATTTGATGAATTTTCCATTTAGGATCCCAATAGAATGAGATGAAATAGTGACTAGGCGAATATAGGAGGCCAAAGTATAGAAGACGACGACGTCCTGAATCCGCGGGATGTATATCGGATCGGGGCAGGCAGAGGCGGGTTTCGATGCAAAAGCGATATTTATAGCGTGTGGCAACCGGCTCTACCGACGTACTTTCCGGCATCGTGGCGGGCCAACAAAAATATATTCACACTTCGGACTTCCCACGAATAAAGGCCCCTTCGTGCCTCCGTTTCGCGCTAAGCCGCGGCGATGCACGGTGCATCCTGTTGCAGCTGGCGAATAGTAATAGCAATACGATTAGCGACGTAAACACGAAGATATGAAGACGACTTCCCTTTCCGAAGTTTCGTCGGTATCGTTTTCGCGAAACGAGTGAGAAATACTCCGTCAAACGACATCTAGACTCAAAAGTGTCGCATTGCAAATCATTGCCATCGCCGTTAAAATCGTTAATCAAAATTTTGCGTACTTGTTTGTCTTTATAAATTATTCGATCAATTAGTCAATTTCGTAGTGTTATTTGTTCTCTTGAAAATCTTTGATTTTAGAAAAATTATGGATAAGAACTCTATATATATATATATATATATATATATATATATATATATATATATATATATATATTATACTTTAATATACGATTATTAATTGGAAAAAGTATTTAATTTTATAATTTTGTGTTTCCACATAATTATATATTTACGGTTTTATTTTCTATATATTATCTTGTAAATAAATTCATTTGTATTAAATTTTTCTATACGCTCCATTATGCGATAGCTTAATGCAATAATCAGGCCAGAAGCTTTCGTTGGCTTAAATAACTATTTCAAAACAAGCAAGATAGACGAGTTAAACGTGACAAATGTCCTGTCACACTATACCATTAGTATGATCTAACGATGAGTTATTGGATTTCAAAGTGAAGAAGGAATTATTTCGGAACCGATTCAAGCTTGCCAGACACTTTCATACAGACTTAAGAAATCGGAATAAACATTGTTGTTTATTATTTATAATAATTTATGTTTCTAAATCATACCTACGTCAAACAGTTCAATATATATATTAATATTATATTTTATAATTACCATTGCAATCTATTTTTTTATAATCCAAATTATTATTTTATATATTTTTAGATACGTAGTGTATAAGAATGGTTTTGTCATATGGATTCATATTTACAACAGCGTTCTGGCCGTTCTTCTATAAACGCGCAAAGCATTGAAAAACAAATAGAAAAAGGACATTTATGACTTAACGATAGAGACAAGAATTTATGACGGGACAGTTTCTATACTTAGTATTTTAGTATCTACTTTTAGTGCCCGCTTGCATAATTCCGCATGAAACTGTCAGTCATAGCCGAACACTGGCGCCTGCTAGTATATAATGCAATAATGCATAATCATTATTTAAATAACACTTAAAATATTTATAAATTAAATAACTCTACCATTTAAATATTTTAAAATATTTTTATATACCGCGGGATATCTGTTTAGATCATTATATATGAGGCCTGAGATATGTGAATATTTTTCGATATCAATGCCACGTTTCTGCTCGTCCAAATTATTTCAATCCGATATAAGAAAGAAAAATAAATATCGCGATTGGACCTTAATTTATACGCAAGAAAACAAAGTCGATTATTTCTTCGCGCGGATCAATGAACTTTCTAGCGAGTTTGCATTGTCGACATATGTTCGGAAATTTCAATTCAATCTGTTCTAACTATAAAATGCATTTTGTTCAATCACAATTGTTCCTATGGAACATTATCGATCTGTTGTAATAGATAGATTTAGACAAATTCATCAATGAATAACAAAAATTAATAGTTTTTAATATAATCATTAGGATTTCGTTTAAGATAAAGAAAGTTTTTATTATTTTATAAATTTAACGAAATTGTCTTATTTTTATCTTATTTTATACAAATAAATTTCATTATTCTCATTTCTATATATATGTGTGATTTATAATCATGTATTTCAATACATATTTTCATTTAAACAAGAAAATCTTTTTTGTTATTTCAATAAGAATAATTTCGTATAATTCGTATAAAAAATGCACATTTGAAATACCTGCGACAAATGAACTCTCTCTTCGCGGATCTCATCACGATGATCATGTGGCAAAACGATCGTGCTACGAAGACTGCATTCGGGGCTCGGTATCGGTATGTATTCTTCGACTGAAGGCGGTGGTATCGGGCTCTTCGGTAATTCTTGAGGATACTCCTTTTGCTGTTTGTACCTACGTAAAAAATTTGCAAAAGATATTAGTAACATACAATAAATAATGCATTTTATGTTGCAAAATACAGGGAGTTGTGCAGTTTTTCGACGATTACCTTCAAGTATAAAAATAAATTAATATATTTCGATTTTAAAAAAAAATGCAATTAAATATATAAATAATTTTAATAAGATAAATGAGAGAAATAAATTTATAAGTTTATAATATAATGTAAAATTAAAATATACAGACTGCAATTTTTGAAACAAAAAAAGTTAGAGATAGTTTAACGTGTAAAATTGAGAATTCTAGAGTAAAATATATGATATATATAATATATAATACGTATGTAAAATTCATATTATGTGTAAAACAAAATTAAAATTGTATGCAGGAAAATGAATTTTAATTTTATATTCGATGATAAAAGTTACTGTTTCATTAGATATTTAAAAAAGGGTTAAAGGCGATCGTTGATGTAAGAGCGAAGTAGTATAAGTCAATGTAATAGCGGGCAAAAATGTCAATTGTGTTTTGTACGAAGAAGGAAACTATAATTAATCGAGGAAGCGAATTAATCAGCGGCGGCGTTACGTAGTGGCGAATGCGATATTGTGCAAGAGCAACAATGAATAACATTACAACGGCATTATCAATCAAAAAACGCGTAATAATGGAGATAATATTGCATTCTGACAGACTAGTGACCGCAGCCCCGTCGCCAAATCTGGACTTGAAAACTGTGGATGGTAGAGGTGACACGGTGATAGTAGTGTCGGTGGTAATACGTGATGATGTCGTGGCTCTCGACGACTCAGACCTTTCGACGACTAGCTTTATGGTTTCGGAGTTTTGGAGAAGGTTCTGTGCATCTACATGCCTCATGTCGCGCGTGTCATAATCGTCGATTTTCTTGATCACATCACCCCTCTGGAGCGCTTCGTTCTCCGACTGCAATCAGAAATATTGATTCGATATTATTGTTAGCAACAATTATATTATTATATTATAATTTGTTGAAATAATTATTATAATTTGTAAGATATATTATTATTATTATTAACAGAAAATAATCAGATATAATCTTAAGTACTGAAAATACGTGACAAGAAGCAAGATCTTAAAAAATTTATTTTTCGAAAAATTATAGAATATTCTCTAAATGGTTTAATACAATGGCATGTAAAATAATTTAAAGAAATAATTATTTACATTCGATGATGCTTCACTCAGATAAATTCGATGATAGATCTTAAAAGGAAAAATTAATATATCCATCAGGAAACTTGATAAATAATAAAGCTAAATATAAGGGAAGGAATGAATATATTATTAGAAATAAGACAAAATTATGGGAGGAAAAATAAATAAAAGATAAAAAGAGAATTAAATAAAAGCTGGCGAACTTCTATATCTTTAATTTATGCAATGTTACGTACTTATGCCCAAAATATACAAAAATTAAGACTGCCTGATTGGACGATGTTTTTGCGCAAGCAAATAGAATGCATTGGTACACATCGTGTATCAATGTCAACGGGCGCTAGATCGAATCGTTGATTTGAAAATTTCTTGGCAACCCTCTCCACTATTTCTCTCTATTTCAAATGTTCACGGTATTGTGTTACGTTCTACACTCATTGTTTGGTCGCGATTTGCAAATGCCAGCGCGAAATCGAAGCCAAGTAAGCAGACGCCGAAATCGAGACACGAAGCCTTATTAATGGGAGACTATTTGTTCTGTCGGATAAAAATTATTATCCGGCATGTTATCAAATTTTTCACATGATTAAATGACGTAAAAATATCTAATATATATATATATATATATATATATATATATATATTTTTTTTTTTTTTTTATTATCGCACATTGTTTTGGATTCGCTGATCAGTGACTCTATATTGTAATTCGGCAAACTTAGTTTAGAATATTTAAAAGAGAGCTTTAAGAGAATAGCTTTTCAACATTGCGAGTAAATCATAAATATCAAATCAAATTATATAATTTTCATATACTTATTGATTGTCATTTTAATATATTAATCATCAAATATCAATTATCAAATGTCAACAACAATAATATCGATAGAACATAATTCATTTTTATTTAAATAGTTGAAGAATGCATTATTTTTTATTGTTTCCTTAAATTTATCTTCCTATTTTATTATCACTTGTTGTCGTTTCTCTCAAAGATCATAATCATTTCTTTACGTTTTGGAGCCAGAATAAACTCCAATATATTGGAATACATTTGAAAAACGAATGCATTTCGTCAACTTGCTATTCTATATAGTCAATTTCATCCGAAAATGAAAGGAATAAGACAAGAAGGAATCGGAATTAAATCGAGAAGAAGAAGACTCACGCGGGTGACAATGATCGGTGTGTCCAGATCAGCTCCTCCAGCGATTCTTATACCCCAAGGCCTGCCTGTGCCGGGTCTCTTGAGCTTCACGATCACCGTGTGCCTTCTCGTCATACTCTAAACTCGGTCCAGTTAATTCACCACCACCAATAACAACAACAACAACAACCACCACGACAACAAGCACCTAATCAATCGATCGATCAATCACGAGATGCACTAGGTGAGCAGAATGAAGAGAGCCTCTCGCAAGTGAGAAGGGGATTTTCACAGAAGAAAATAAGACGTCGCGCGAATACGGCGCGAGCGATAGATCTCCCGGATCTCGTGGTCGCTCTCTGCTACACTACTGAGATAGTAGCTGCAGCTGTAGCACTTGCCGACTATATGCCGACTTTGACAGAGCCCTGAGCAGCGAGAGAGGAAAAGACAGATAAAGAGAGAGAGAGAAGGAGCCTTAGTTGCCTAACTCTAAAACAGAGACTATCGCAAAGTTTAATCTCTCTCTCTCTTTCCTTCTGTTTCTTCGCTATTCTGGCCCCATTTCGAATTGGCATACTGCGCCGATGTATTGTTCTGGTGATCCGACTTGCACTCATTTCTTTGGCATCCGTCGTGTGCGTGCGTGCGTGCGTAAATACATTATAGACACTTTTGGGAGAGAGATGCAATATTTGCATCCGCGAAGGACATCGCGAGAAGGATCTTTGAAGACATAGATGAGAGAGAGGATCTCTGAACTAATGAAGAAGTCTCCCGTTTTTCTTATTGCATTTCTATTTTCCTGTTTTCTGGAAATGTCAATCTCTTATAATTTTTTGAAGGATAAAAGTATAGAGACGTAAATTAACAAAAGATAAATCTTTTAATCGCAAAATTTATTTCTTGTTAATTTATGTGATTTTATACAAAAATTAATTTGTGCTCGGGTTATAGGATTTTTCTAGGAGAAGCGGTTTGTAAATGCATGCCAGCTTGTTAAAATTAAAAAAGAAAACTATAAAACAAAAAATATAGCTTGAACATCATATATGGTATTATGTTTAATCCAATCGTTTGCAGAAATTAACAGATGATAAGACAATAGAATTTATATGCAAATAAAATAATAAATGGTAAACATCAGGGAGAGACAAGATCAAAATTTTCTGATGAATAAAATTTATATTTTACAATAGTGTAATTTTACACTTTAACGATACAATTTAAAACACATTTCGAATATATGTTTTATAAACAATCTGTAAATGGGACAAACATATATAAAACAATACATGAAAAAGTTTATGAGTGAAAGAGAAAAAAAGAATATACATTACATATTTCATCACACCAAATTCCGATAGATTCTTCAACACATTTGATGCTTGATCATTATTTACATATTTGTTAATTTTTAGTATTAAACAAATAAGAGAAAGTACTTTATTTAAAATTAATCCAAGATTAGATAATTATTTTTATCTTTAGAAGATTTAATTTGCTAAGAGACCACTTGATTTCCAATACTAAAATTTCTGCGATTGCTGTCATCAAATTATTTAATTGAACATGTAATAAATTATGTATATTAAATGATTGTAATACTCAATTAAATATAGCTTTAATTTCATTCCTCACAAAGCAAAAATTTAAACCCGTCGAAGAAAATCTGTCAGAATTAATAAAGATGAAAGATCTTAAAAACAGATGTATAATTAAACTGTAATTCACAAAGAAATTAAGAGGCAACAGGGAATTCACAAGAAAATTAAGGGACGACTTCTTCCAGCTCGTACTCACATAGGTCTCATAAAAGTGGCCTATGGAGAACTTAAGAGCCATCCTAGATTCGTTAAAATCTGTTTATCCTATCGCTTTTCCCTCGTTTATTCCTGATGAAACACTCGCGCTTCTCTTCCGCCGTGCGACGTTCACGGACGGCGAGAAACTTCTCCCCTGTGGGGATCGATGTAATTAATTTGGCTGTGATTAACGAAGACTATAGATCCGGAGATGGGACAAAGAAAGAAAGAATGAAAGATGAAAAGAGAAGAGAACACGCGTATACGCGTTATACGACTTAAATTAGCAACCTATAGCGCTAAAGGTTAGTTAATCACGGTCTTCGTTCTAGTGACTCACTTTATCTTAATTTATACGATCATTAAAATTATGCGCGACATTGGCAAATTAGCGACAATTCATTATGAATCACCATTTAATTATAAGCTACGAGATGTAAAAAAAACCTGGACAATAATTCTTTAGCCTGCGAATTCGTGGCAATAAATTACTGGCATCAGAGAATATATATATTTATTATTATTATAAAATATAACATAGATATAAAAACATTAAAATATAATGCAATAGAAAATAATAACGTATAAAAATAGTGATATATTACCATTGATGAATTACATATATTCATAAAAATGATTATAAAATCCAGATCGATGCGGAATATAGATTTCTTTGTGTTACAGGTATTCCTGAGTGATTGCACGGCTGATGACCAATCGTCGTATTTCATTGGTACCCGCGCCAACGTCGTAAAGCTTCGCGTCTCGCAATAATCTTCCCGTCACATAATCATTGACGTATCCATTACCACCTGTTAAACGATTAAAAATTAGAAAGACAGATAAATATGTCGATCTAACTAAACTTCGGTAAATATTAAAAAATTTAGATATTTTTTATACTTATTGTTAGTATAAAATTCTTGTCTTATACTATTTTCTTTTTCCGTTTGATAAATAATTTACCAAGTATCTGCATGGCGTTTATGGCTGCTTTCACGGCATTCTCGGTACAAAATAACAACGCCGCGGCGCAATCCTTACGATTCGTGTGACCAGCATCGCAAGATCTCGCGACGGAGTACAAGTAACTTCTGCTCGCGGTTAAAGTCATGTACATGTCCGCAATCTTTGCCTGAAGCGTGATTATAGCGTCAGATAATATTAATAATTTTTTCAGCAAAAGTAGAGCATGTGATCTTACCTGTATCAATTGAAATTGCGCGAGATATTGGTCGAATTGCTTTCTCGTATGAGCGTATTCAAAAGCGATGTCGCAAGAAGCTTGTAGAATTCTAGAAGTTGCATTATTGCACATCTTCTTATAAACACTTGTTTATAATTAAAATAAACGTGTAAACACTTATCTATCGATATTCTTAAAACAAAAATAAATCTTTAAGAATAAAATTCCTAAGATCTATCATATCTTTTCGTGAAACACGCATACATATATATAATTATATGTATAATATGTAAGTTGCATATAAATATTAAAAAACTACAATTCTTATTTTTATAAAAAGCCGATTATAAAAAATGCGTCCATTTCAATAATCATTTCAAAGTTTATTTTAATAAAATATAAAGCATAAGTACTCGTGAAGAAAAAAACGAGAAGTAGATTTTAAAGATTTCAAATTTTGTATTATATCTTTCAACATTCTTTAAGTACTTACCCTAGAGGTCCAGCGGCCAATACTAATCGTTCCAAATCCAATCCGCTGAGCAGAACATAAACGCCCTTATTAACTTCTCCTAGAACGTTGGCGGCTGTAATTTTAACAATGATAATCGATAACACAATATAACATATATTGTATATATATATATATACATACATATATATATCGTATAACATTAAAATATCTATATCTGCGTCTCTCAGATGCTACACACCTGGAATTTTACAATCCTCGAAAATTAATTCGCAAGTGTTAGAACCGCGCATTCCTAGCTTGTCCAACTTTTGCGCCGTGCTAAATCCTTCTGTATCTTTCTCGACGATGAAGGTGGTGATACCGTGCTGCGGCTTGTCCGCGTTCGGGTCAGTTCTCGCGTAGACGACCAAGGTATCCGCGTCCGGGCCATTGGTGATCCAAAATTTATTACCATTCAATACGTAATAATCGTTTTTCTTTTCAGCTCGTAATTTCATGGAGGTCACATCAGATCCAGACCCCGGTTCCGACATCGCCAGTGCGCCAATGTGCTCACCGCTGCACAGCTGAAAAATTTCATGTAATTATTAATATAATATATATAAATATATATTATTATATAAATATATATTACAAATGATATGAATATGTCAATGATATATTCATATTATTATTAATTATATTATTATGTGAAATGAATTCGATGCGAATTTGACTCTATACAATAAAGATATTTGAACACTTTTTAATCTACGTGAAAGCGTTTTATTTGTAGTAACTGTTATAAGCTTATAAAATCTAGATTTTCTTATTAATTATAAGTATATATATTTGTTTTGTGAAATTTATTTATATTCCCAAGAAATTTATATATCGAAATATTTTTTTATGATATTATACAACATCAGATGTGTATATATATACATGAAAAAAATTTGTTAATTTGACTAAATCTTTCAATTAAATATTATTTTATTAATTGAACATATAAAAAAATATTTAAATTAAATATATTAAATCTAACAAGACCTATATTTGATTTAAATACTATATAATAGATAGGTTCAATATTAACAAAATAATTATTATATTTATAGTTGAAAGGTTTAGTCAAATTAACAATATTTTTTATACGCTGTGTATATGGAAACGAGTTTTACCTTAGGCAAGTATTTGTGTTTTTGTTCCTCTGTGCCATGTTTATGGATTTGATTAACGCAGAGATTCGAATGCGCACCATAACTGAGAGCAATAGCAGCTGATGCTCTACTCAATTCCTCGACGATAATTACATGATCGAGATAGGTGCCGCCTGTACCGCCATATTCCGGCTTCACCGTGATGCCCAGCAGGCCCAATTTCCCCAATTCTTTCCAGAATGTCTATATTGTATCATTTTTAAATAAAAATTACTATTTTGAGGGATTCGATTTGACACAAAAATTAATTAATTTAATTTGCGTTGCAATTTGCGATTTAGATTTTCTTAATTTTAAATGCGATTTTATTTTATTTTTTAAATTTCTTATACTTACTCTCAGTTCATCGAAATTATTTTTCTTGTCAATCTCGGCAGCTTTAGGCGCCAGGTTCTTCTGCGCAAAATTGAAAACGAGCGAGCGAAGCTGAAAAAAGAATAACGATATTAATATTAAATTAATTTAACATAATGCAGAAAATTTGAATAGTTTAAGAAAAAGGAAGGGTATATATATATATAAAAGAATATGTTGAATGGCAAAGAAAAGCTAATATTTTAAACGCAGTTATTTTTTCATTATGATTCATAACGTTATTAATAAAAATTAATAAAAAAAAGTTTTATACCTCAATTAGATATTATATATAATTTATATACAAAAATACTGAAACAAAAATTTCGTCGATCTTTTCTAATTTAATAAATAAAAAGAACCGATAAAAGAATATTGCATATAGATGCGACGCTATATATTTATTAAATAAAAAGAACCGATGAAAGAATATTGCATATAGATGCAACGCTATATATTCGCTCCAAAGCGCGAGATGTTCTTCATCCTAATTGGTTCACCATAGACATTTCGAAGTGAACATAGTGTTAAACGAAATGCATCCTATATCGGAACACACGTGCGATCACGTGATCATTGCACTCATGGTGCATTTCTGCATTCCATTTGACGATATTTTTGCTCCGAAGGGGAGCAGCCTTTCTATGACTGATAACGTCAATCACAAAAGCACAATAATATCAACATCCCTTATAGAAATTTATCACTATTAATGCCAATTTGTCACTTATTTTGAGTACTTAAATTACTGTATATCAGTATTTTATTAAGTACTCGAAATAAGTGATTAATTGGCGTTACTAGTGATAAATTTCTATAAGAGATGCTGATAAATAATAATGAATAATATATATTTTTATATGCACATGCATTTTTATAAGTATACAAATTTGCGATTATAATAATAAATGAGCAATGACTTCGCGCGATATAAATATATATATATATATATATGACAACTCACACACATGCAGGACATATGTATGATATAAAGCATGAAAGTCACTATAACCTCTCTCTGTTCATTGCTTAACCCGAAGATACTCTCGTCGATCTTGCAATAGCTGGACGCATAATTCACATTCACAATTTTATTAGCGCGATTCGCGAGACCGAAATTTATATGTTGCAAAACGACAAAACGACGTGTCGAGATCATTTTCCCTTCTTCGATCGATTAGGAATAATTTCGGATCAATATTACTTTTTATACGTGAAGTATGCCCTTTAAGGTCGATTAAGAATATCTCGATTGTAATCTATTCGTTAAAAAGTATTGCACTGATGTTTGTAGAGGTCGAATAAAAAAAGCGCCAAATATTGAATGTTGAATAATTTCAATAGAATGAACAAAAATCGAATGAGTCAGTGTAAACGCATGTTATGAGAATTTTGTACTAAAACTATATATATATATATATATGACGATAAAAGACTGACGACATATATATGATAATAAGTGAATGAATAAACTAATTATGCAATAACATTAAATTCTGATAACGCCGATATATTTATCAAAATCGATATAAAAAAATCATCGCTTATATATATATGTTTAAAATTGATATATATACCTTTTATTTTTTATCAGTAATCAGATAGGAGAAGAAATATCGACGTCCTTATCTGAAATAATTGATTAATTAATATTAGAAATAATTTAATAGAGGTATATGGTAATTATAATTTAAAGAAGTAATAATTTAAATTTTTATAGATTATATATATATATAATATAATATATACAAACTATTTATATTAAGATGCAAATTAAAACCTTATGTTAAATTGCAACTATATTTGTATAATAATTTAATATTTGTTTTTTTGCGTAATAAAAAAAACAAGCAGAGGTGTATGATCTCTTTAAACATGCTTCTCCTAACCTAACTTGACTTTCCATGATCTATATAGAAATAGAGAAAGGAGTGTCAAAAAAATCTTTTATATATTTAAATACAGGTTGACGGCACGGAAAATACCAAATTAAAAAAAAAACCATGGTCTATATATATTTTTTTTTTCTCGTACTAAATATACTAATATTACATATATCTAATAATAATATTTATTAATCTTTTGAAACAGTTTCTATTCATTTTTCATGTAATCTAATATATTATTTCGATATATACATGTATGTATATATGTATGTATGTACGTACACTCTTAGAATCAGCTGATTTTTACACTATCACGCATGTACGCAAATTTCGGCTTGTGTGCACTGACTGCGGTCACGCTTTCTTCTCTTTCTTTTGAACATTTAGGTATATATCTGTTTCCTTTTTAGTGTACACTATACAGTGTAGAAAGTTCAGAAGAACGAGCCTCCAATAATAATATTGGTTGTGTGTCCTTAGTGAAATCTAGAAGAAAAAAAAGAAAAAACGCGTATGGCCACGTGTTTAACACGTTGATATATGAACTTTTCGACAAATATTGATTTTTAACATTACGACACTTTTTAATTAACAAAAATGGAACAAACAAATGAAATTAAAGTAAGTACAGGGTTAAGTATTTTTTGTTTTTGAAATTCATTTAATTGCATTGTAAAATAAAAGTTGAATTCATTTAAATAAAAATTTTATTTTTAACTTGTATTTTTTTCTTCCTTTTAATGCATGCATTTTTATGAAAAATATAAAATAATTAAATTTACTTGAAACATTTTTTTTTAATTATTGTCACATGTTGCTGAATTATAAATAAATTTTAATAAATTATATACTTTTATAGAACAAACTAAAGCTAGTAGAAGCTTCTCTGAAAGGCAAAGGTTTGGTGAAACAGCATATAGATTCTTATAATTATTTTATCAACAAAGAAATAAAAAATATTGTTAAGGCAAATGAAAAAGTTTTGTCTGATGAGGATCCACATTTTTATGTAAAGTAAGAACATTTTTATGTAAAGTAACATTTATATTTTTATATAGAAAATGCAACTGTAAAATTATTAATTTAACATTATTTTTTTATCTTGCAGATATTTAAATATAAAAGTAGGTTCACCTGAGATTGAGGATGGCTCAAATGTAATGCGGCCAACTACACCGCACGAATGTCGTTTAAGAGATCTAAATTATTCTGCACCAATCATAGTAGATATTGAACACATAAGAAATAATCAACGGATAAGAAATACAAACATGGTAATTGGAAGGTATGAATAAAAAATAAAGAATAGAATAACATGTGATAATGTGAAAAATATTATATGATTATAAACTCTCTTGCAGGATGCCAGTAATGTTGCGCAGTTCAAATTGTGTATTAACTAATAAATCTCATTATGAGCTAGCTAAACTGAATGAATGTCCATATGATACTGGTGGTTATTTTATTATAAATGGTCAAGAGAAAGTTATATTAATGCAGGAACAAATGGTCAGAAACAGAATTATTGTGGAAGAAGATGGTAAAGACATTATTGCAACATGCAATAGTTTTACACATGAAAAAAAGACTAAGACAACTGTTGTGGGGAAAGGAGGCAGATATTATATAAGAAACAATATGTTTCAAGACGATATATTGATTACTGTAGTTTTCAAAGCTATGGGAATAGTAAGCGATATAGATATCTTACAAATGGTTGGAGAAAAAGGAAAATATATGAACAAATTTATAGCCAGTGTAGAAGATTGTCAAGAATTGGGTGTTTTTTCTGAGAAACAAGCATTAAAATACCTCTATAATAAACGCAGACAGATGAGATTTCATGTTGCAAAGTCTACTAAAATTACTGACGAGATGAAAGATTTGTTAGCAGCAAATGTATTGTCTCATGTGCCTGTCATAGATTTCAACTTCAGAACAAAAGCTTTGCATCTCGCTTTGATGATTAGAAGAGTTATTGATGCACAAAGTGATCGCAAACTGGTTGACGACAAGGATTATTATGGTAATAAACGTCTGGAACTAGCTGGATCTCTTCTGGCTCTAATGTTTGAGGATTTGTTCAAAAGATTTAACTCGGAGCTCAAGCAAATTGCCGATAAGAATATTCCTAAGATAAAAGCGGCACCATTTGATATAACAAAATATATAAGAAAGGATCTGATTACCAATGGGCTAGCTTTTGCTATATCTTCAGGCAATTGGACAATCAAGAGATTTAGGATGGAAAGACATGGCGTTACACAAGTGTTGTCACGATTATCATACATTTCAGCACTTGGCATGATGACTCGAGTTCATTCTCAATTTGAAAAGACGAGAAAAATCTCTGGTCCGCGAGCGTTGCATGGTTCACAATGGGGAATGTTGTGTCCAAATGACACACCAGAAGGTGAATCGTGCGGCTTAGTGAAGAACTTAGCATTGCTGGCTCATATTACCACGGAAATGCCAGAGGAACCGTTTGTAAGATTGATGCGTAATCTTGGCGTGCAAATTATTTATACTTGTGTCGGAGGAGAGCTAATTAAAAAGGGCATATATGTGGTTTTCGTCAATGGTAATATGGCAGGTATCATAAAAGAATCTATGGTCTCAAGGTTGGTGCACCAGTTTAGATTGTTACGCAGAAAAGGATACATAGATTGTTTTGTGTCAATATTTGTGCAACGTCGCCATAAATGCGTTCAAGTCAGTTGTGATGGTGGTCGATTGTGTAGGCCGCTCATCATTGTTAAGGACGGGAAGCCTCTTATTGAACAAAAACACATGAACAATCTTGAGATAAATCTTTGGACTTTCAATGATTTTGTTCGTGCTGGTAATAAATATTGAAAATACAATATATATTTAATTTTTATTTTATGTATTATTCAATTAATTGTAATACATTGTTTATTGTGTTATTTAGGATTGATAGAGTATTTAGACGTAAACGAAGAAAACGACAGTTTGATTGCTTGCAAGGAGTCAGAAATTATTCCTCAAACAACACATTTAGAAATCGCAGAGTTTACAATCTTGGGTGTGTGTGCAGGCTTAATACCATATCCAAATCATAATCAAAGTCCAAGAAATACTTATCAATGTGCTATGGGCAAGCAAGCTATGGGAGTTATAGGATATAATCAACGTAATCGCATCGATACAGTGATGTATAATCTGGTATATCCGCAAAGGCCGATAGTAAAAACACGACAGATAGAGTTAATCAATTTCGATAAATTGCCAGCTGGTGAAAACGCTATCGTAGCAGTAATGTCATTCAGCGGATATGATATAGAAGATGCGCTCATATTGAATAAAGCTTCTGTCGATAGAGGATATGGAAGATGTTTGGTATACCGGAACTCGAAATGTTTAATAAAAAACCATCCCAATCAACCGAGTGATATAATTTTAGGACAACTTTTAGACCCAACTAGTAAAAAACCTATATGGAAACATGATATTCTTGAGAACGATGGGATTGCAGCGACTGGTGAAAAGGTGGAAAATAAGAAAGTATGTATTTGAATGACAGCGTGATTTTTTTGTTTGTTTCTACTATGATTAATCTTGTACCATGTTATAGGTATTGGTAAATAAATCTGTGTCGACACGTGGAAATATCGGCCCATCGAGGGCTGACAATTTTCAAGCGAAACCGGAGTATCGCAGCGCGGAAGTTTCGTACAAAGGTTCCGTCCCGGCATATGTAGAGAAAGTTATGGTATCTAGTAATGCGGAAAATGCTTTCTTAATAAAACTATTATTAAGACAAACTCGAAGACCTGAGATTGGTGATAAATTTAGTAGTCGCCATGGACAGAAGGGTGTTGTAGGTAAAATTATTTTGTTATAAATATATATTTTCATGTTAAGATATATCATGCGTTGTAAAAGAGGTATTTCTGATAATATATTTTTTCAGGCTTAATTGTAGATCAAGAAGATATGCCATTTAATGACCATGGTATATGTCCTGATGTGATTATGAATCCACATGGTTTCCCATCTAGAATGACAGTTGGGAAACTGATAGAGGTATTAGCTGGCAAAGCAGGCGTTGTAAATGGGAAATTTCACGATGCAACAGGTACATTTTATAAGAAGATAATACGATAGAGCTGTATGCGATATAATATTTAATCTCTACTAATCTTTGCTTGTAGCATTCGAGGGCGCTAAAGTAGAGGATCTCTGTGAAGAATTAGCAAAACATGGTTATAATTACTTAGGGAAAGATTTATTCTATAGCGGCATGACTGGACAGCCAATAACAGGATATCTCTTTTCTGGAACAGTAAGTTTTTCTTTTAAAAATAAATAAATCAGTGCAATTTAATTCAGTTATTTTAGATAGAAAAAAGTTATTCCAAATATGTGAAACTAATATAATGCATGCATTTTTTTATATGTATAATAATTTTATTATTTACTATTTTAACTAAGATGATAATGACTTGATATAGTTCATTAAAATTTCTAAAGTATTTTTCACTTTCCAATAAAAATATTGAGTTAGATAATTAACTCCAATTAATTATCGATAAGAGGTTTTGATCAATATCTTGTTTAAAATACAAATTTAATTGTATTATAGGTTTATTACCAGAAATTGAAACATATGGTGCAAGACAAAATACATGCTCGTGCCAAAGGTCCAAGAGTAATTCTAACTCGCCAACCGACAGAAGGACGTTCCAAAGACGGTGGTCTACGTCTGGGTGAAATGGAACGCGATTGCTTGATCGGTTATGGGGCCAGCATGTTGTTAGTAGAGAGACTCATGTTATCGAGTGACGCATTTCAAATCGACATTTGTAATGAGTGTGGTCTGATGGGATATAACGGTTGGTGCCAAAGGTGTAGCTCCAGTTCCTCCATGTCTACAATCACAATGCCTTATGCTTGTAAATTATTGTTCCAAGAATTACAATGCATGAACATATTACCCCGTTTAACATTGAAAGATTATTGTGACTAATTATTTATTATCAGAGTATATTCAGGTAATTTTCAACCTCTATCTATTTCATTAGCAGAGCTTAGATATCGAATTTTCAAAATTAAATTCATTTAATACATAAAAATACTTGTCTATTATATGATTTGTATGTTTTTATTTGAATAAATTACATATTTTCTCTTTGGAAGACATATATTGGTCTTTGGAATTTCATTTTACATTATATTCATTATACATATATAGCAAAAATTTTATATTATAAATGCAATATCTTTTGTGATATTATGCGTTGCAATTTAACAAATTGGTAACTTAAAATATCATTATATACATTATATAAACATTATATATGTACAATTTTTTTTTGTTTATAATATATATTTTTCTCTGGCAACTCGCACATAAACATTCAAGCTTTCCTCATAATGTGTGTTATAAGGATTCCGCAAACAGAGAAATTTCTGGATTTTCAATATTCTTCTTACTTTGTATAAGTTGTAATTCGATTTTTCTAGCATTTTGATCTTCAGTGTTTGCATATACTGCAAGTAATTATTTGTGTAACAATATTAAGATATGTGCCATATTGTATGTTCTGCTATAAATATTATTATAGGTATTTACCTTTAGAATATTCATAAGTATTAAGTAATACGCTGTATAGAGAATTTATAGTTTTCTCCATGGTGATCTTCATATTGTTTTGCAAATACAAGTGAGCAAGAAATAATGCAGCAAAGAGATCTCCAGACCCCGTAAAAGTGGCTGGTATTTTTGGAATGTCTAATTTTAACAATATATTATCTAAGAAAAAAAATTCATTAATGTAATGTAGTTTTATAATAATCTGAGAGTTTAAGTGTTATCTTATAGTGCAATAATACTTTTTTCAGCGCTAACTACTGCTGTCAATTTGTTGTTAAGCTCAGTTGATGATACAGCTACAATTTTGGGTCCAATTTGATGCAATTTTTTAACTGCATTTTGCAATTCAGCAATATTGGTAATTTTTTCATCTGTCAGTAATCTGAGAAAGCAAATATATGATTATGAAAAAAAATTATAAAAATATATAATTTCTAAGAACTTTTAACAATGTATCATATTGTGATAGGTATTGAAATTAACGAGGTAGCAATATAGTGTATCAATATCATATATACTCTAATTCAAACTGATTAGGAGTAAGCACATCTGCTAATGGAACTATCTCCTTCTTGTAAATTTCCTTCAGTGCTTCTGGGACATACATCTTCCCATTATCACCCATAACAGGATCACAAACGTAAATAAGATTTGGATTTTTACTTTTCAATGTCGTGACCAATAATGCTACTCTTTTTAAAAAAGAAGCTGAACCAATATATCCAGTCAGTAAATGCGTATAATTATCCAAGTTATTTTGCGCCAAACCATCAACTAGGTCGTCTAAAATAATTATTACTGAGAAATATTTTCTTGCTCTTTCTAAATAATCATTGTTATCTGTCTTTGATCTTACCTAGATCTTTATCATTGAGTATCTGACCTTTAAATGCTTTATAACCAGTATGATTAGATAATTGTACAGAGTTAATTGCGTCGACTTCAAAGCCTAATAGCTGATGAAAAATTAATTTCTCAATTTATTTATATTTTATCAAAGTATGGAAAATCGGTTTTTATTGCATATTAAAAAAAACATTCAGTGTCAATCAAAGATCAACATAAGGACGTATATCTTTTTAATTTTTCTACAATATTTACCTGTAACGGGAAAGTTGCGCTTTTATTGCCAACATATCCTGATACAACATGACTCTGAATTGAAAGTATGCGTGGTGTTTTTGCGGAACACATAGTTTCGATCAGCTGATACTATATAATTTTTCAATGAACTCGGATACACTTGTCGATTATTCAAGATCCTGACGCTTACATAACTCGCTGTTATCACAGTACAGTAATCTGCTGATAGTGGGCCCTAAACATTCTAAAATACATGAAATGGTTATGATTTCCTTTCTTATATTTTTTTAAAAACCTCTTTTTTTCTTCATTTCTCTATTAAAAAAATATTTAATTTAAAATTATTTTAAATATAATTATATAAATTTATGTAACATAATTTATTTTATTTATCTTACAATATTTCGCTGCATATTAAATCGATTAAATTTTGCATTGCATAATATTTTCAAAATAAATTTTGGCGATGCATGCATTGCAAACTTTTTGCCTTGAGCTGCATCAAAATGTGTTCGATATTCGGCTCTAATCTTTTTCATGTTCTATGGTCGGGAACATGGTGATCATCTAACCTAAATATGCACCTGCTGCACCGGAGATAGTTAACAATAATTTTTGACTTTGGAGGTAATATTATTTTTTTATGCAAAAAAAGAAAAAAAATATATGCTTGTAATGTAAGTTAAGATTGTTTCGCCGACGAATTAATAAGAAAAAACACATATAAACATTTTTTTTCTGAAATTCTCTAATTGACAATTATATAAACAATCATTTTGCAGGATAATGACAATGCTGCAGTTTAGTGCGACACTTTATACCGCGACTGCAAGACTCACACCTCGTTCGTCCTGGCGTTTTACTGCACTCATAGCTAATAACTCCAGCACAGCAGTGACCAGCGAACACTCTGCTGTTTCTGCGAAGGTAAAGACACAACTCATATTTACATTATATACCTGCTTTAATTCAATTTTACTGACAGAAAAGCTTCTCAATGTATGTTTATGTTTAGGAAGATGATGCTACTAAATTCGCAGAAATACAGGATATCTCACAGAATGAAGAGAAGCAGCAATCTAAAAAAAACAGGAATCCATACAAAATTTTATCCATCGGAAAAGAAATGGTCCAGTGAAAGTGACACAATATTTTCCAAAAAATTTCAAGCTGCTAAGTCTATAAATGATTTGCTAGATTTGGCACTGCTGCAAAATCTGTCCATAAATAATGCATTAAAGCTTATTTCAAGTATAATAATCAGATAAACAGTGGCAAATCGCAAATAGCCAATATTGAAGCTGATGAAAGATTTATTCTCTCAGAAAGATTGTTAAAAGTGGTAGCGAGATTAGAACATCAGAAGATTCTTCACAGTACTCTGACTTATCTACACCTGCAATGATTGAGGTAAATGCAATGTTTATATTAGTATTAAATATATATGTGCCTTGACATATTCTTTTTATAAAGGTGATGGCAACATTGAGAGAACAAGGAAATAGACATACACCACTATTAAGGATGCTATCATACAATATTGTCAAGTATAACATAACATTAACCATGAAACAAAGTGCAACTTTGTTGTATAGCATGGCTATATTAAATTTTCCAGATAAGGTATACATATATTTATCTATTATGTATAAAAAATATACTAATTTTTCATCATGTATAATCATTTTGTATCATTTATAGATTTTGTTGGAAAAAATTACATCTGATTTATTGAAATGTATACCAAAAAGTACCAATGTTAATACAAATAAATCCATAATAACATCACTTGGATTTCTCCGTTACAAAAATGAGGAAATACTTAAGGCATTCTGCAACACATTCTTCAAGGAATCAATCAATTATAAATTTCATGATTATTCGTCGATATTGCAAACGTTTGCAGCTCTACAGTATAAATCAGAGTGCGCAAGCTCGCTTATCAAGGTATATGAAAAAATTTCATAGTGTTTTCACTCTTATATATGTTCTTTAGCTATAAGAAGAGCTATATTTTATTTTTTCAATATAGATATGCATTTATATTATTTTTATGATCAGAATTTCACGGAACAATCAGATCCATTTTACACATCTGTGGTGGAATGGTTGGATATTGTTTGGGCCTTAGCGGTTTTAGATGCAGTACGGCCGCGACATATAGAATTCGTACTAGATCCTACATTTATGGAAAGGTTAAGCGGTTTGTATCTATTATATTGAATCACATAATTAAATTGTTATCATTTGAATATATTAATATTTGTTATTATGACTTCTGTACAGGTTCTTCCAAACTAAATATTTCAAAGAAATAAAATTATTAAACATTAATGCCATTGCACAGTTTATACTGAAAGATTATAAAGGTAAATGTTTGGAAATGTGTGTATTAATATACTTTTACAATTCCATAAATAATCATTATTCTAAATTACAGGACCACTTTTGGATAAAGATTCAGAAGTTTTTAATGTACCTTTAATTAGAGCAAAGAGAAAAACAAGCGTATATAGATGCGTTATCGGAAACACTAACAAAGCTGCTGCCTTCTCAGTCTTATTTCAAAACAGATATTAATACGAACATGGGTTTTTTACTAGGTAAACTTTTTAATACAGTAGTAAACAGAAATGAATGAATTATAATGAATTTATTTTGTTAATCTTGTTACTAAAATAATTTTAAAAAATTTGTTTTTTTATTATTTTTAGATGCAGAATTTCGTATAAATGATCAACATAAATTTATAAAGGTGGAAGATTGGAATAAACAATCTAAAAATGTAAAAAGGTATATCATATTTTTATATCACAATTTGCTAATAAAAATTAATTATTAATTTTAAACATAATCACATTTTTTAAATAATAGAAAATATAAATAACTGAACAATGACAATTATATTTAATAATTTAATAATAGCTTCAAAATTAATTTTTTTCAAAGAGCATAGAAATAAATTAATTTTAATTACACAATTATAAATTTACAACAATAACGAATATAATCATTTAGGATAGCAATAATGATGCACGATTACCACGATTATTGTCGAGGACAGAAAGATCTCGTAGGATCGGTGTATTTATACACTCAATTACTAAAGCCAGAGGTTACAACCTTATAACAATTTCCTATGAAAATTTCAGTGTACAGGACAAAATTGACAAACGAATTAATTACTTGAAGCAATGTATGAGTAATGTACAGGAAATTAAATCTATATAGTGCAGTATTGGTTCTAGTCCAATAAAATCTAAATACATATAAAAAATGTACATATTATCACCTTTATAATTTTATGTTTCACAATTTAATGTTTTCTAAAATTAGAAATTGATATTAAATGCCACTGTTTATTGTTGCTATATCAAGTTTTATCTCTAGTATCATAATGCTGAATTCAAAGAAACATTATTTGATTCAAAATTAAAAACAGCTTGTAAATATTTTTTAAATATTTATAATTTCTTTGTTATATTTACACATTAAATATTTTATTTCAATATTTATTACGTTATTATAATAAACTACCTTTATTTTTCATTTTTTGTTCATTAAACTTTTTACTGTGGCGGCTGCCAAGGTTCAATCTTTGGTCTCGTAGTGCTGTAGGGCATATAAGCTTTATTGGTGCCACTCAAATTTGGTTCATGCTCTAACATCCATTTGTATTCGGTCGAGATGGATCTTTATGTGGTGGCAAATCTGTTTTGTAATGTAACCAACCAAACCACTCTGGTGGGACTTGCGAGCCATCATAATTGAGTCCAACTTTATCAGCATACATCACCCATCTATTACGACCTATAAAAAAATATCCAATAAATAATAATATATAAAATTATACAAATTTAATCTTTATGTGCAAGAATTTAGAATCTTATGAAATGCCTTAATATTGTGTATTATTCTGTGTAAAAATTTATTTCAACATTGTGCGATGTGGTTAAGAATGTATCTATAATAACTCACCTACAAAATATGCATTATTCTCATAATATCGATTTCCAAATTTATCTTCCCCGATTAAAGTGCCAACCTTGAGCTCATCCGTCCTATTCACACAAATCAGTTTGAAATAATCACACTTAATTGCTAAAAGTATTAAATTACCATATCGTGCAATTCTCTATGTAGTAAAAAATAATTTATATAGTAAAATATATTGTAAATGTAGTAAGAAATATTGTTTCTGCAAATGAAATTAGGAGATGCAACGTTAAAACTTGAATAAGTTAGAATTGTGTACAAAGTAGATTATACAATATTATATGTATGTAATCCAATGTGTTAGCAGACAATATTGTAAAATGTTTATTGTATTGTTGAAATAATATAACGTATAATTATATAATAATAACCTGAATAATGTCTTTACGGAACCGAAAGGTCCACCGTTTGCGCGAATAATGCGAAAAAACGTGGCAATTTTATCTAATCCTAATAATTTTGCCATATTTATTTCTGTAAATAAACCTCTGAAGTGAAGAGTGAAGTCGGTCAAATGTCAATTCAACAGTGTCGCCAATGTATTTAGCCAAAGAAATCTAGGGAATTATGTATAATTTTTATAATTTACTAGTGTGGATATCTATCTATATTACACACAATCCGTGGTTTAAAGAACCTACCTTCATACGGTTATTCTATCGTGCATTTTGTAAAAAAAATTGTTCTTGTATAACAAATTACAACACGTATCGCAATATTTGTCGTAATAGGAAATTTTATTATTCGATGCTGTCAATATAATCTCAAATATCAACTTTAATAAAATTCTTCAACTATAACTATGAATAAATTGTCGTCGATTATTGAACGAAATGTGCGATTGCAATTAAGACGCCTAAATACAGCAGTTACAAAAGAAAGACAAACGCAGCCGAATATTGTTTGCAATTAGTTAGGTATTTATTTTTATGCTAAACTTTGTCGTATATACATAATAACAAATATAAAATTTAAATAGTAATATTTTAGTAGAATATTGTTGAGATTATGTAATGTTTTGTCACAGTTTTCAAAAAAAATTTGGGTTTATCAAATTCGTAAAAAATAGATGAATATATACTTTTTTTTAAAATGAAGCTCTTGTATCCTCTATATTTTTTTATTTTTTAAATAAAACAGTTTTTTACAAAACTTAGTAAAATAGTTATATTTATATGAAACATCCACAATCTAATTTGCAATCATGTTTACATGTATTATCTTTTTAGGAGAAATGATTACGAGAACTTTCTGTGCACATTGTTACTTCCACATAGTGTTAAATCAGTGGCATTTGCTATACGAGCATTTAATGTCGAAGTGGCTCAAGTGGAGGATCAAGTGAGCGACAATAAGATAGGAGCTATGCGACTGCAATTTTGGACAGATGCTTTGAACAATATTTATAACGATCACCCTCCCAGAAATCCTGTATCACTGGAATTACACAGGGTAGATGACTGAAAATTAACATTCGAATACATTTCTGAGATTATATTGAAGATCGAAGCTGTGAATTTTTTTTTAGAGACTTCTCGCATCTCTTGCAGATCCTCCAACGACATAAGCTCTCTAAGCGTTATTTCAAGCGTTTGATCGACGCTCGCTTGAATAAATTAAGTAACTCGATATTCGTGGACTTGGAATCACTCGAGAGGTACTGTGATTATACCGCATCGTCGATATATTATTTGCTGTTGGAGGCGAATGGTACAGCAAATGTCAACGCAGATCATGCGGCCAGTCATTTCGGCAAAGCACACGGTTTAATCACCTCGATACGGTCCGTACCGTATAACGCTAGAAAACGAGTTATTGTACTGCCGCAGGACGTTTTGCTGAGGAACAGCGTCTCCTCGGAATCCATTTTCCAGGGACAATCGAGCGCTGGACTTCGAGACGCGATGTTTGAAGTCGCGTCTTGCGCCAAACAACATTTAAAAGTGGTACCTATCATTGTTCGATAATTAAAATATTAAATTTTATAAATTAAATATAAATAATAGATTAAATAGGCTAAATTTATAGATTAAATATAAATAATGAATACAATTGTGTGGAACAAAATTTAAGTTTGATCTTTCTATTTTTTAAAATATTGTATTTTTATGCGTGTAAAAGAATAAGGACATTTTTGACGTGTACAAAAACTTTTCTGTTTTAGGCAACGTCAATTAAAAAGACAATGGGAAAGGATTTTAACGCGATATTTTTGCCGGCAGTTTGCGTGGAAAATTATTTAGAGGAATTACGAAAAGTAGACTTTGATGTTTTCCATCCAACATTACAAAGAAGAAATGGTTTTCTTCCGTTACAATTATTTTGGAGAAAGATATGGTTTAGTAATTAAATATTGAGATACACTTAATGTGTTCATTCATTTTTACCTTCAAAAGTAATTGTTTTAAAAAGTTGTGAATTATAGGAAAAAAAGAAAATAAAGAATTCAAAAATCTGCATCAGAATGGCTAATTTTTTGTCCAATTTTTAAAATTAATATATAGTAATAGAGTTTCTAGTTGCCCCTCTACACTTTATATACTCTACGTTTGATGGATTGCGTCCGTTTGATATATTTTGATTTGATCGAATTCATGAATCATCATCACGTACCGGTTTTCGATTAAATTTCGTAGAAAAGTAAATATTCAAGCGATTTGAAATTCAGCATAATTTAATAATAAATTTGATTTATTCGTACTGAAACAGTTGCAGACAACAGAAGACAATAGAATACTTCGGTTAACTGCCACAGGTAAATCATTCTTCACCTTTGTACATTGTTATGAAATCTTTGTCTAGTTTATGTTTTATATTTAATTCGCATCTTTCTAACTTGTTTTATTTGTTTCTGATGCGTTATTTTTGCAAAATCTCGATAATTATCCCTGTTTGAACAATGAAATATCTCATTATTTGAAGGTTATAAAGTTCTTTTACGATGAAGTAATTTTTTATTTATTTAATATCGTTTAGCTCTTTTAACTTATAATAACGGATTTTAAAACAGAAAGTAAAATCTTTTATTTTTGCAGATCAAAATGTCTACGACATCACAAAAGCACCGGAATTTTGTGGCAGAACCAATGGGAGAGAAACCTGTGACCGAGCTTGCTGGCGTTGGGGAAGTCTTAGGGAAAAGATTAGAAGCTGCAGGTTTTGATAAAGTAATATTTGTATATAAAATCTAATTATTAATATTTTACATTGAATACTTGTTTCAATTTATATATACAACAGTCTATTTGCAACTATAAAAATATAAAATTATTTTGATCTACTAAAATCTACTTGCATATAAATTGAAAGAAAATTGAAAGTTTGTGATACTTAATGAATTTTACAATAATTACTAAATTTTACAAGTTTTTTGATTAGATTTGAGCTCATAATTGAATTCTTTGTACAGGCATATGTAGTACTAGGTCAATACTTAGTGCTAAAGAAGAATAAGGAATTATTTCAAGAATGGATGAAGGATGCTTGTTCAGCAAATGCAAAGCAGTCAACAGATTGTTATCAGTGTTTAACTGACTGGTGCGAAGAATTTTTGTAAAGTAATTGTGACATAAATTTGACAGGAGTGTATGTGTTTCTTAAAAACAGAATATTAAGTACAGTTTTATAATACTAACTAAATAAAATTTACATTTGACTGAATTGTATATTCTTTTAAGAGCAGAGTATTTAAATATTTACAGTATTATAACATTAATAAAATGTAAAATTTGCATTTTGTTTATGTTATAAAACTGTAAAACTAAATATTCTGTTTTCAGAAGAATATATTTAGTCAAATTTACCAATAATATCTATTTTAATTTTAAACGTAAACATTAAGCAAAATTGTTGCTCTGTAATTAGTACAAAAATTATAAGAACTACAATGTGCAGTCTAGATATAAGAACATTGATAAATCTAAATCTAATTTTACGAATATGAAAAAAATAAAAGCAAATTATTCTTTATAACTAAATCATAGTTGTTGTTTATGTTTATAAAAATTAAATAATAATAAATATCAACTATTTTCATATAAAATATCTGAAATACATTTTATATATTTAAAATTGAAAAGATAATATAATTTAATACATATTTTAAAAATTAAATGTATATTTTAAATTATTTCAAATTTTATTGTTATATATATTTACTATTAATTTATCTCATCAATAATATTGCATTATATTATGCCTGATTTAAGAATTTAATGACACCTCCTAATTTATGCTTTTCAAAAATTGAAACCTTCAAAAACCGTTAATAATAATAATTTTTTTCCGAAGCTTCTTTCGTATCGTGATTGGTCAATCAAATGCGCCGATAGGTTGTTTATCTTAGTACTTTTCTCAGTCTATGCCGTATTATATTTTAGGTTATAGGTTTTGTCTAATTGTCAGATAAACTGTTTACAAGGGTTATAAATTTGATAATTAAGAGATTCATATATACGTTTAGAGAGAACATATGACATTAATTATCAAATTACGAGATTGTAATTTTAGAATTTAATTCAATATAATTTTAATAATGAGGATCGCTGTAGAAGGTTGTGCTCACGGCGAATTAGATATCATTTATGAGACTATACAGGAGATTGAAAAGATAGATGGAAAGAAGATAGATTTGCTTATTTGTTGCGGCGATTTTCAAGCTACCAGAAATTTAAGCGACTTACAATGTATGGCAGTGCCAGATAAATATAAAAATATATGTACCTTTTACAAGTAAGAATTATCTTAGCAAAGACTCGTTGAAATTGTTTAATATAATTTACACACACACTTTATGTTTAATATTATTTATATATCTAAGCTTATTGTATATAGATATTATTCGGGTGAGAAAAAAGCCCCAGTATTAACTATTTTCATTGGAGGCAATCACGAAGCGTCAAATTATCTTCAGGAATTGCCATATGGAGGATGGGTTGCACCTAACATTTATTACCTTGGATATGCAGGTGTCGTACAAGTAGCTGGAGTAAGAATTGCAGGACTTTCAGGTATCTATAAGAGTCAACATTGGATGCAGGGACGTTATGAAAAACCTCCATATAATGATAGCACTATACGAAGCATATATCATATTAGGAATTTGGAAGTCTTTAGGTTAAAACAGGTAAATATTTATTATGACACAGAAAAAGATAGAAAGAAATAGTTGATGACAGAAAAGACACAGAAAGAAATAGTTGATAGAATTACATAAACTGTAAAAGATTGATCGAATTGTATAAATAACTATATAATTTTAGATGATTTAAAATAAGGAATATCTCCAATAGGGTATATATATTTTTTTTTTTCAGCTTTCTGGCAAAATTGATATTTTTCTATCACATGATTGGCCAGCAGGAGTGACAAAATATGGAGATGAAGACACGTTGTTAAGACAAAAACCTTTCTTTAAGTAAGAAACTTCTATTTCTATATCAAAACTTTATGAATGTTGGCACAAAATTATGTTTGAAATAATAGATAAATTTTAACATATATATTAAGAGTTCTAATATTCAATCATTAATTTTTATGTTTTAGAGATGATATAGAAAACAATACCCTTGGTAGTCCTCCAGGTATGGAATTGTTAGAACGTCTATATCCTTCTTACTGGTTCTCAGCACATTTACATTGTAAATTCGCGGCGCTCATTCCCGAAAAGGAAGGAGCACGAGTGACAAAATTTCTAGCGCTGGACAAGTGTCTACCAAAACGAAAATTCCTTCAAGTACTGGAAATAAATTCGCAAAAGGATGGTTTGATAAAATTGGACTATGATCTTGAATGGCTAACAATATTATATTTAACGAATCACTTATTAAGTGTCAAGAACAATTATCACTACATGCCTGGTCAGTATGGCGTTGGCAGGTGGATGTACACACCCACTACGAAAGAGAAACAAACTGTATATGAGAAATTTAAATCTAATTTACAAATTCCTTGCAACTTCACTCAAACTATGAAACCATACGATCCACAAGATACAACACACGTTCGAGTCGAACAGCCACGATTACTGATAAATGATCAGACTACTCAATTCTGCCAAATGCTGGGCATCGACGATCCCTCCACCTTGCTGCAAATTATTACGAGCACTACTTCAACTTCGAAGGATAAGTCGAGCGAAATGGAGACGTCCGGCGAGTACATGTCGGAATCCATGGAGGTCTCATTTGAGGAGGAGAGCGTGCTTAGTTCTACTTTTCAGGAAAATTCGACGAATAAATATTTTGTTGATAGTTCACCGACGAATCTATCCTCAAAAACGATAATGATGATGAATATCATAATTCTGATTATACAGACACGAGTAAAAGCACCTTAGAGGATGTTCATAATTCCACTACGTTTGTAGAACCTGCTTCGACAAAAGATAGTAAGTAATGTTTTTAATCAAATACTCGAGAGAATAAAGAACGTTGAGAAAAAGAATAATTTCGAGATAAATTAAATATGTTACAGGTGTACAAACTGAGCCAAACTGCAAGAAATTTAAACGTCGGAATTATTCTATATACTCTAACACATTCTAACTGTGATTAGTGTTTTTTTTTAGTTAGATATTTATATCAAATTACATTTATATCTATTATATTTATATCAAATATATTATTTCCATCATTGTATCACTGAATTCTTTTCATTATTATATATCTAATTAGTATGTAAATAATAAACTTTTATTACAGAAAGAGAAAAAGAAGAGAAAAAAAGAGATTTAATAAATTAACAAAAATTTTTGTAAATTTATTAAATTTTATTACTTTTATCAAAATTTTTATTATAATGATATCAATCATTAGATTATAAATACTGTGTATGTACATGTCCTTTCCTATTAAATTTATTATTTTATAAATATATTATTCGTATTTTAAAACTTATAATTAACTTATATATAATTTACATGTTTATTATATATCTCAATCAATCTTTCTTTTATAATTTATTTATACAATCTGTCCAAGTTGACGACAATTTTCTGTTTATTTTTTTATTCCGTTAGATTTTGTGTGCCTACTTTTTGATTAAAAAGTATATTTATATCTATAAAATAAATAAATATTTCAGTAAATAATTTAATAAAAAAATAAGGACAAAAATAATCACGTTTTCAAACTTATATTCAAAAAATAAACGCGATTGTTTGATTAATCGATCGAGTTATCGAGTATCGTCCATCCCTACCCGAGCGCAATTGCCTCGATTAGTAAGCACGCTGTATGTCCGCGTGATACATGCTGGCTTGTTTATTTCTGATTCTTTTTGATTTATTTCACTGCGTATAAATTGTCGATGTATAAATAATGACAATTGTGTATATTCGTACACGGATAACATCTCCTCGATCAGTCGAGGATACTTGTGTTGCCCGAAATGATTGACAGCTGAAATGTCATCACGATGCTTGTAAATATGGTGGCAAAACAAATGTGACAGTGTCAGTTCTTCCCAATTGTTGACTACTTTGAACGCAAAAATGGACAAATTGACTATCATTTCGGGGATACTGTTTCTGCTGGCGGATATCTCTGCCATAATTAGCATCGCTATGCCGGATTGGATCATTACCGATGTCGGCGGTACTTGTAAACTTGTGGATTTTATTTTTATTTTCAAACGAGCACAACTTTTTCTCTATTTATCATAAAAGATATATTTTTTCTCACATTTTTACATTTATTTTTATTTTATTTTACAATTATGTGCTATGTGAGAATTTGTACATGTCATAATTTTCATTCTTTCGGTTTAAACAGGTGATACAAGACTAGGTCTCATGTGGTCATGCATGACCTTGTACAACAGACCACAGGTCTGTTACAAGTCAGATCTGCAATCGGAATGGTTGATGGCACTGGTCTGCATATTTGTAGGATGCATTTTAATAACAGCAACCATAATATTACTGGTCATTTCACATTGGGATCGTAGTGTCATTCCTTATGCACGTTGGGTAGGATTTGGTGCAAGTAAGTGTCAGAAGAGTATATAATATTTAGTATAATAAAATGTACATAAATGATACATTTATAATGTAATACATGAAAATATATAAAATGTACATAAATGATACATTTATAATGTAATACATGAAAATAAGTTATACTGTATAATACAATTATATATATATATACATATATATATATATATATATATATATATATACACATAAAATTTACTTTTAAACAAAAACAGTGCAACTAAAATTACATTATACATAATAACTAATATTTAAATTCTCCAGTGGTGCTATTTTGTGCTGCGGCAGTTATATTTCCCATGGGATTCCATATTGACGAAATTGGTGGGCAACCATATCAATTGCCTAATTCACATCAAGTTGGAATTGCATATATTTTATTTGTCCTAGCATTATGGATTACAGTAATTTCTGAACTTTTTGCTGGCAAAGTTTGTCTGCCACATTTTTAGCATTATTCCATAAAAAAATATTTGTTAATTATATTATCTTTACATTAACAATTGTATTATTTATATATGACTATTATTGATCCTTTAAATTTAAATATACTCTATACTCGGAAACATACGTGAAACAACCCCGTCATAAAGTCAAAAATATGATACTTGTACTAGTTTTTTGCGCGTTGTAACTTTGCTACAATGTAACATACAAAAGAATTTAATTAGCTTCCTTTCGCATTTTTTGTAGTTTTATGGTTAATAGTTATAAAAATTAATTGAAATAAACATATATCTTCTTTTTAATATATAAAATTAAATTTAACACGAAATGTTCTATCACCAAAATTTGGCTGTTATGTGATAGTAACATGGCAATTACGTTTCGAATACCGTTGAGACGTCGTAACGTAACGTGTAACTAGTAGCACGTTGTAATGACATATTTACCACGTGACAGTGCTGGCAGGGTAATGATATATAGAATTTATCTTGTAAGGAACAATGCTATATATATATATGCCCAGATAGCTACAGTAATTATTGACATCATTTTGATGGCAAATGATGCATTTTGACATCAAAATTATGTCATAATAATTACTGTGGCTATCTGGGTGTATGTATGTATATATATATACTTTAAAAGGATTAAAATTTTGCTACAATTTTTATGCCGTATGCCAAATAGATTTATTATAAATATAGTAGACATTAATTGTAGATATTAGGGAAAGAGAGGATTTCTTTATATCATTTTATAAATCTTCTATAAAATTATATCATATAATGCTAAAATCTGTTATATATAATTATTATGTATCGCATTTATCTCTTCCTGAACTTAAAGATTAATGCATGAAAATTTCGTAAATAATATATATATATTGTTTATGATATATATATACATATTCAAATTCTACTTAGTCTAGAATTTTTTGTGATTAGTAACATAACGATAAGATTTTAGATAAAAGGAAATTTAAAGGAAACTTAAAGATAATTTGAGTAAATATATGTATCTTAATTATAACTAATTTTGATATAACATGTACAATTTTATTTTTTGTTATAAACTTCAAATATTTATTTACAAAACCCAAAATAAATGAGAGTTACGTTTAATGCATAGGATTACAATTAGATTCAAAACTTAGAATATTTCTTAATCTTATCTATATTATACAAACATATATACTAGATATAGTAAATGTATATATTACGAAGTTTAATATAAGGGAACTAAAACTTATATAATTCTTATTTATTTTAATGTTATTTAACACAAAAGATTTGCATCGCAAATAAATGGCGTTTTATTCGCATACAAAGCAAACAATCGGATTATAGTTACAAACTATAATATATCAATACATAATATTCAAACATAATAGATAAACAAGCTTTGTTGAACACCTCAGTTTTAAGAATTAATATGTGACATATAGAGTATCACATGCTTAGGAAAGATTAAATATACAAAATGTTCAATAATTTTACATATAATCTTCCTGATAAGTCTTTCATTTTTGTTTTGCCAGTTTTCTTTAAAATTATTGAGATGATTTAAGTGACTTAATGAGCAAGAAATCTATAGAAAGATCTAGTCAAATAAGATACATGCATATGACTTGTGTTATACATGATTTGAAAATATAAAAATAGTAATGTGTATATTAGAAAATGACTGGCAAGTTGGAATTGATTTTTGCTGTACAGGAGGATCATATAAAAAAATAATCTACATATAACGATTTGCATTTCTCTCTCTATATTTTATACACACATTGTCATAAATTTCAAAAATCTCGCACTTTTGGTTTCCTCTAAGAAATTGGAAACCAGTAACATTTACAGTCATCTTATTCAGAAAAAAGAATATATATATTTATTTATATATATACACAAGACACTCTTCTAGTATCTCACAAACTGCAACGTATAAAGCATTTAGTATATATATAACGCTCTTTATATAGATCCACTAAAAAAATGTGAACCCAGATTGGAACACTCGACGAATCTTAACTTCGCCTGGCTATATTTATCGCATGATTTTAGGGAAACTATATATGTATAGAACTTGTAACAACGATCGTAATAGGAATATTTCATGGAAGTACTATAAGAGTTCAATGTATGTTTACTCTTTCCATGCTATTACGGATAATATATAAAAACTTTCTGTATTTTTTTTGTAGATTTCTATTTAAATACAAATATCAACAAGAACTTTGAAGTTATAAAAACAGGTTTATGTCATTCCATTTCAAAAATTTTGCACGAAAATTAAGCAAATTATATTCCATTCCAAATGAAATATAATTTCGCTTATGTAAATTCTCGCTAAATTTTTTAATGGGTTTTAGTACTATTCGGTTGGTTACCGATAGTGTCACATCTTCGATAGTAAAGTAAGTAAGGTACTCGAGGTGATGTGGGCCTCAACACATTACTTTCTGGAACGCTTTTCACTGCACTATCATCATACCTCACCCAAGATCCATATCCTATGTGAAAGGCATCTGTGAAGTAATGACCTTTGGTAGCTTCTTTTCCATCATGATACGTAACTGCGAATAATTTGTACTGTTTTTGTTTCGGCCCTAATTTTTTCACAGTATTTGGTGATAAAAATTCTGCAAAAAAATTTCCATTGTATTTGTCTTGTTGAATATTGGAGATTAAAGTAGAATAAATTAGATTTATATTTGGTATACTTACTGCCATCAATTTTTAGATCTATAGGAAATTCCATACTCTTTAGTATTTTTGAGCATCCATTGGAATATTTGTCAAATTTATAAATAAACCATTTTAAATGTAATATAAGAATGACAGGTAATTCTTCCAAGGTAACTTGTTTCCATGCTTCTATCTGTTGTCTTGTTTTACTACATGTCATTCCTTCCACTTGATCTTTCCCAACGAGAATTTCAAGAGCATTTTTTACAGACTCAGCTTTCTATAATAAATAATATCATATCAGATATCGCATATAAATCTTACATAGCATAAGTAAATTCAGTGAAAATTCTTAATATACTAACTTGCACATCAAGTTGCAATGTGAAGAAGGGTTGCACGTTATCTGTCGGTTGTTCTCCTGCTCTCGATACTCTAGATCGCAATTGTCCCCGAAATATATCTGACAATGGCGTTCTTCCAAACTCCGTACACCGTGTGACAGCACCTTTATTTTTTGGTCCCATTACCTACATTGACATAAGAATGAATATATGTTTCATTATACATACATACATACATACATATATATATATATATATATATATATATATATATATATATATATGTATGTGTATTAAGAGTAATATCTAGATATATACTCTACTGAGCATCTTACCTGCCACTCTTCTTCATCATGAGCACAACCGACATTATTCTCCGAGTTGGCGATTGCATTTTGATCATTACTGACCAATTTTATCAACTAGAATTAATTATAATTATTACAAATTATAAATATTTTATAATAGTTCATATTTTTTTTAACGAATAGAGTATATATAAATTCATACTTCCAACATCTCGTCGTTGATGCCGTTTAGAAGACATGATAGGAACTCTTCCGCATCTTCCTGCCGCCCTTCCACAGAAAAAGCACCAGCAGCAGAGGTGTGCTTTAACATTGTATATACATATGATGGCTCAAAAGCAACACCACTATGTATATCTATGACTGTATCTTCTCCTCGTTTGTTGTGAACTCTATCTTTTCTGGGCATGCGAGCGGCCTCTGTCAAAGGTGTAAACTCGCGAACAAACTTGACCCTTTTTTTTAACAAGATAAATTAACTTTTACATTTCTTGTTATTATTATACACCTATATCGTTTTTGTAAAATTGCAATAGAAGTATTAAAAGAGTATTGAAATTATGGTGATTACTTACATGTTATCAATCAAAGGTGTAGCAGAATTCTTGCCCCTATTTTTAGGAAGTGGCAAAGCTTTGAGTAGATTATAAAATGGTGGACAGGCTAGTAAAGCTTGCAAGATACTATTGATATAACAATAGTTACTACGATTGGTTAATCCTCTTGGTAATAAGCTCACAGTCTGTTTGTCCATTTGATAACTGGACAAAAATTCTGAAAAAGAATATTAATTTGCATTAAAATATATTTGCATATAAAAATTTTATCATTCCAAAACATTATATGCACTTTTGTACTTACCACCTATTCTATATGAATTTGGATCATCGTAACAATTCTGTAATACACCATTCTGCAAAGTCGTGTCATCGTTTATTGTGCTTGTATCGTTTGGTGTGCTGGATGAATCGTTTTGATTCTTTAGTGTGGAATCAAGGTTCGTTGATTCTTTTTGAGTTGGTATTTCTGGTGGGTCATTCTGATTAATATGTATCGTCGGTTTACAAGATGCGAGTGTTTGTGTTTCGGTGTTATCTTTTTTCAAAAGGCTCGCGTAAGATCTAGTTGTAGTTGCAGATGATGTGGCAGATACAGATGCGGGCGATGGAGCTTTTGGCATGACTGACGAATCATTTGATGTGGTTGAAGAGCCATTTGGTATTTTATCTTCAACGGTATTATCTTGGGTATCCTTCAGCACAACATTCTCCTCAGTATGCATTTCACTTTTGTCTGCATTGGCAGGGACAGATTTAGGCGAAGTTTTTGTAACAATCAGTGCAATGTTTGATGTAGTTTCATTCTTTAACATCTTGTCCATTTCACAATTTTGATTTATTTCGACGTCATTGTTAGTATTTATGCATGATACGTCAATTTTCTCTGTACCATTGCAATTTTCAGCCCATACTATATTGTGTTGAATTTTTGGGTCTCTCTCACTGCTAGCTATGGTTTTTTTATTGGCAGTGTTTTCGTCAAAATTCTTGACAGATTCCGGTGTAGAATTATTTACAACGGTGGCAATGGCATTACTAATGACATTAGTTTGCATAGAGTCGTGGTTGTCTTGGTTTACTTGATGACATACTGATTTATCGATATATGTATTTTGTACATGTTTATCATGTACCTTGACAATTGGTTGTTTTGTGGTTTCTTGGTTCGATTGTTCCAATGGCACAGGTTGTGATTGTCGCACGCATCTGTCCATCTGCGGCGGATTCGGAGGATAAGTCGGTTGTGCATGCGAATTAGATGAAATTGGTTGTGCATTCGGATGTGGATGAGGTATCGATGAATACATCGGCGGTGCGTAATAGATTTGTCCGGCAGCTACCTGATGTTGTTGCGTAGAGACGGAATGATGATCAGGGTAAATGTACATGATTGGATGTATTTGTGGGTGAAATTGCGCCTGATCGCCCATGTATCCTGATTGCACTTCGTTAGTGGAATTAATTGCTCGATTATAGTTGTCTCTTCTCATACCTCTGCCCCGATTGTTGCGGCGTCCGTTCTCTCTACCATAATTCACGTCTTGAATCTCGGCACCGAGATTGTATCCAGGATGATATGTCAGTCCTGACATAAATGGCATATGACCATTTGTAGAAACATTGTACATTGATGCCTGCCAGTCATTACACAATGACACCATCTGTTGCGAGTAGGTCTGTGTTGGTGGCATGGCTAAATGAAACATTTGTAAGGATTATTATATTTTACAAAGCCTTCCAAATATGCCATTATAGGACTTTGATATAAGTGACTATGTATATACATCTATATGTATTTTTAATATTTAGTGCTATATTATTATTAAAAAATCATATCTAAAAAAAAACAGAACAGAATTATTGATAAAATAATTTCATTCAAAAAGTTTTCTTATACTTTTTATTTTATGAAAAAAGGATCAGAACATAAAGCAATTCGAGATAGGTAACATATTTACCATTATACCAATGTTGTTGGTGAAGTGCTGGAACTTCTGTCATTGTAACAGAATTAACATTATTATTATTATTTTCTGTAGCATCCCATGGTAGTTTTAAGGTATCGGTAGTGTCAGATCTGAGGATTGTTAATATTTCATGTTTATCTTTGTCAGTTAAATCATGTAAATCTAAAAATTGAAGATCCATCTGAAAAAAGCAAAATAAAAATAAAAATTATGTATGGCGAAATAATATATATATATATATACACACACACTGGAATATATATATATATATATATATATACATTAATCTTTGCTATATATATATATATATATATATACATTAATCTTTGCTATATATATATATATATATATATATATATATAATAAATATTACTAAATTATTTTTAAATATCTTGTAAATATTTTATAAGAAATTCATTTTTGTTATTTTATTTTTGTTTGTCACAACTGTAAATTAATCATATATTTTTTTTATTTTAATGTATTCATTTTATATTATAACGAAGAAATATGCTCATTATGATAAAAGTATAAAAATTAAAATAAAAAATATATAATGAATACATTATACTTACATATAATACAAGTGTTTTGTAATTGTACAATTTTCTACTAAGAAAAATTCCTTTTAATACTATTTTCAATAAACTGGACTAAAACAAATGACTAAAACAAACTATTTTTCCCAGTATGTTAAAAGTGCGTTTAATAAATTAAGATAAAAAATAATAAACGTTAGGACTTAGAAACCTGGGATTAGCTTTGAATTACAATCTCAAAATTAATTTTACACTGATATCACGTAAAATGAGGAAGCGTTTCAAGCGAGTTTCGTGAAAGTTTGTTTATAGCCAGGGCCAACGCGAATTCGCGTATCGAGTGCCTCGAAAGATATCTCGGAGAAATGTGACAAAACATTGAGAAACTAAGGAAAAATCCTCGCCGAATCGGCCCGGGCGACGCAACGACCTAACCTTGACAGCACACCTGATCGCGCGAGGAGAATTTTTGCGGGCGAACGCGTTCGCGGATTAGGGAGGACTTACCTCGCTTCGAGTGACCATTCTCACGTCCACAATCGGTACAAAACATTAAAATAGCACGGACCGTGGAGCTCGGGGGGTGATCCGGTGATCGGCAGAATCACGGGGTCGTCGATGCGTGCTTCGTGATAATTTTCACCGTTTTTCCCGATGGCGGTGTGCCTCGATCGCGCGAATATTAACGATTGTACGAAACTAACTAAATCACACCATCGAGAGCGTGTCTCGTCGTGGAGATTTAAAAAAAAAAAATCGTTTCAAGTCGATTACGAGGCGCGAGCGATCATGCTTTCCGGCATTCGCACGCTGATCGCATGCAGTGAACAGCAGTGAAAACGATCGAGATACTTGCGCTACGATGCTGCTACCGTTTGCGATGGCGCGACTGGCATCCTCGTTAAGGCCCGTTCACATGTCCCGCATACATGAAAACGCGCACTGTGGTCAAAAGATTCATTTCGATAGAGTCTGGTAATTTTTATCCCTCAGAAATTGACCAATCACAATCAAGAACAAGAAGGATACTCGACTGTGATTGGTCAATTTCTTACGGATTTAAATTATATATTGTGAATTCGGCCTTAGCTTGCTGTTTTTCAAATACTATTAAATAATTGGCTACAACGTTCCATCTTGAATGAAACTTATTTATTGTCTCTCTTTTTATTAACGCTTTATCGTTATATATTGAACAATTCAATAATAGGTAATTATATGCTGCTCTTATATATTCTGTTATTAGATACAGGAATTTGATTATTAATATGAAAATAATTAATATATTAGTATTTTTTATATAGCTTATATATAATACCTTTTGCAAAATTCTTCATTTTCAGATATTCCAAAAATTGTTAAATAGCTTTTTAAAGATATTGCATTGAGCGCAATTATGTATATTTGTTATGTCTTATATAAAAATAGCTGATATATATTCGCTTTTCTTCTAGAAGAATGAATTTCGCTTTTACGACGATAAAAGGGCGGAGAGAGAGGAAGAAAGAGGCAGATGAGGAGTTGTGTATGCATTTTTGGTAACCTTTCCTCGGATATATATAAAAAGCAGCTCCATTACATATGCAATGTATGTATGTATTTTCGCGAGCCCCGTTTCTAATCTTACAACGCATGCATTATGTATTGGCTGACCCAATGTATTGTGTCCGTTTGACCATATCGCGAGGCGATGAAAAGTGTTTTTCTTACATAACATAGTAGTAGGATGTGTAGGAGTCATTACATTACGAGCAGTTTATATTAAAGAAGAGGGTCGCTCCCTTGACAAGAAGGCGGCTCTCTTATTTCCTTTTATCTTGTAAATTTTCGTAAATAAGTAGGATATATATATATATATATATATATATATATAGGAAAGTAATGCAAATATAAGTATTGAATATAAAGCATAAGACAAACTTCAAATTTTGTGATATATAAGAATTAAATGAGTTAAAATTTAAACATCTTTTTTTATATACAGTTTTTTTAAACTTTATTTAAAATCAATTTTTTCTCGAGTTTCTATTATTAATGTTTTTATATTATTCTATTTATTATTATTATATTTTTCTATTATTTCATTTTGTTCATAAATGTTCATAAGTACATATACCTTGGTACATACGTAGTAATTTCTATTATTCATTGAGCAAGCATTCAAATAAATCTTACCCTTCGAGTTAACTGCACTTACCTTTTGATGGCGCAGCTTTCCGTCTTGATCAGCTGATCGATAGGTGGCGGTACGCGTCAGATAGTTTCCCGCGCGAAATCGGGAAGACATGGCGCTCTCTCGGTTTCTCTTCGGCACAAAGCATTCCTCGGGTCTTCCGAATCAGCGACGTTTAAACTGCGGATGTGTGGGAAGTGCCGCCTGTTGCGTTCATTCACGCGGAATTGCAAAAACTAAATTCAGCGGAATCGCATGCCTGCGGCAATTTCTACGTATAATGCCACTGGTATAATTTTGTACAATAGGAGATGAGAGAAGCGATTAGCGATTTATTGATAGGTATAAGATCGATTTTTACTCCAATTTTTATCTATTATTGATTTTAGTAACGAAAACTTGTTGTTTCTATGTTATTATTAATTGTGATATATATTATATTATATTAGGTTATGTGTTTACAATTAAAAGCACACATTATTAGAATAAGTACTGTTTATTTACAAAATTATATTTGCTATTTATTGAATTTATTGCATAAAATGCATTTGATGCATTTTATTTGAATTTTAGTAGCTAATAATATGTAATTTTATTTTTAGATAATGAACACAGTTAACAAAATTCTGTGTTGAAAGTTTCCTTGCTCTCATCCTGTAAATGACAATCAGATTTATAATCTGCAATGATATTTTACATATGTTACATATGGCATGATATTTTATGTAAGTTAATATAACTGCTTTAAATGAAAGTATAAATGTTCTCTATGTATAGAATGAAAATATATCTTTTATTTAACAATAAAATAATATAAAATATTGTGTTTTTAGGTAGATTTTTTCTATTAAAAAAAGAAGGAAGCAAGAAATGCCATTAAATGGTATAAATTTCTGATTGAATGTTAAAGAGTAATCTATTATGTTAAGTGTTTCCTTCCTCACTTCTTGTAAATGACAACAATCTGCAGTCTATCTTACAATTAGGTAAGTTAGTAGGTACTTTAAATAAAAATATAAATGTTCTTAATACGTAAAATAAAAATATTAACAAAAATTAATATAAAACATACTGTTTTTAGGTTAAAAAATCTATTAAGAAAAGAAGGAAGTAAAAAGTGCATTAAATGGTCATTTTTTGATCACATGTTAAAGAAGTGATTTATTATGTTGGGTGTTTCCCTTCTCTCTCCTTGTAAATGACAATCTACAATGTGTATCTTAGGTAAGTTGATAGCTACTTTACATAAAAATATAAATGTTTTTAATACATAAAATAAAAAATATTAACAGAAAATAATATAAAATATTGTGTTTTTAGGCTAAAGACTTTCTATTAAGGGAAGAAGAAAGTAAAAAATACATATCATTAAATGGTCATAAATTTCTGATTGAATGTTAAAGACTGATCTACAGTTTAATCTGTAATAATCACAGGTGAGTCAATTATAACAACTATTATAGTTATGATGCAAATAAAAATTTGCAGTATGATATATATGAGGTCAGTCCAGAAACTGTGTTAAATAATAATTTCAAATCCGACATGTCTCGTGCTCATTAAATCTCGAATTGTTAATATCGTGGACGAGCTGTTACGTGTCCTTTTTGCTGGCAGTTTGACTTGCGTCATTTACCGCAGCAACCGATAAGCATCCCGCGTGTTGTACGACTCGCCTCGCATGTCTCGTTACCTGCGTTTTACCCCTATGTCCTACATGCAAACGCTTTTATACGTCATTTATGGTACTTATAATGGTGAGCGTATACACGGTCACTTTACCTGCCGGACACTGTGCAACGCGAATAAAAAATAATTTTTTAATTGTCAGATCTCGTATCGTGGCCTTGCGACACGCATTAGGAATCGTAATTTGACATGAGTAGTTTTGAAAAGATCTCATTCTGACACTTTTGCATTTCTTGATAATCATTGATACAGTATCGCACATATAGTGTGATAGTGTACTCATTTTAATTCCATAAAATTTTGTAAAATTTACAATTAAAAAAAGTATAACATTACATATAAAATTTTATCTTACAGTTATGTTACTTTTAATAAAATTATATTTGTTTTTTGAGTGAAATATTGCTATTAACTTAATTGTAATAATTTTAATTTATATTTGCATACAGTATCATTTATTATTTAATTTATATATTAAAAATATGTTTATATATATATGTATATATATTTAATATATACAGTACAATACAATATAATACACATATAGTTTTAAAAAACCTAATTATATAATAGTACAGTAACAGAGTATATTCATGTACAATGCAAAATTTCATTAAACGCAAAAAACAATTTTATATATTATATATATATTACAATTTTATATTATAATATTATAATATTATAATAATTATAATTCAATTATAATATAATATAATGTTATTTATATTATATTATAATTGTTATTACAATATAATATAATATTATAAATAATATTATAGTATGTATATATTACAAATTTATATATATTAACACTTATATCTAACTACAAATATTATTTAATCTGTAAAGAACTGGCTTAGATTGCTTTTTTCGTTCCGATTTATGCCAATTCTTTGTAAGTGTTCCAATTAATCAATACTATCGATTAATATACAATAGATATCGATTTATCTAAATTTAATTATTTTATACATACATTGGTACACATTTGACAAAGAGAATTCAGTTGAATATATTAAGATAAATCTTTATTCAATATTGTCTTTTTGGTTGGTACATACTAAGAACATATAGAACATTAGAAAAGCGCGCCAACTCGCATTTAGTCAAATTTGAAATAATATTACTAGAGTAAGTAACACATAGAGGGCGCGCATATTTGATAGGTAGAGAGCAATTACTATAGATTTTACTGTTGTTATGTTTAACAGATTGTCTCGATATGAAGTTGCCGCGTGCATAGTGAAGAAAACCGAGAAGAAAGAACGCGTCGTTGCATCGGTGTCGCATAGTGTTTTAAAGTTCGTTCCGCGTTTAAATACACGTCGCGTTTAAGTTCATCGTCGAGCGACAAATAAATATGATAATAAGCACTCGGCGAACTTCAAATGCCGCGCATCTTGGCTTTTGCGCGCCGCATTGAAGGAAGAAAGTTTAAGCGGACCTTTCCGGCTACATCGAAGCAGCATCATGGCAGGAAAGAAGTGTATAGATGGGCCGCACAGGGCAGATGCCGGGGCAGCATATATATATATAAGGGTAAGTACCTTCTTAAATAATATAAAATTCAGAGGAAGTTGATAAGCCGGGGGTGCGCGTTCGAACTTTTCACTCGGCGCCTTCCATTTCTTATTATAATGAATGCATATCGGCTTAGCCGTGGCTAAGAAGGCGTGGCCGAAGAAGGACGACTGTGAGAACTCTTTTTTTGGCGCTTGCGAACCAGATATTCTCGCGCTGAAAATAGCGCCCAAGAATTCGCGTATTTATTTCATAAATTGACAATGAGATTCAGCAGAGTTCTTATTTTAAAACAACAAGCGCGCGCATTTTTTTCCGAAATTATTATAAAGGATAAATATATATATTCAATATGATTAACAATTATATCATATATTAACAATTATATCAAGAATAGGGAGAGATGTGCTACATCTATGGAAAATTGATTGATATATATTTTGTCCGCTAATATTTAAATTGCAATATTCTCAAGTATTTAATTTACAAAATAGAATTAACAATTTTAGGTTGCGTTCCAAAATCCGAATGCATTTCCTTTCTTTTTTTTCTATATCACTCTATATCAGAGAGAAGTGATATAGAAAAAGAAAGCATTAGTGTTGTTTTTGAACGCAGCTTTAAAAACATATCGTAATATAATTATTTTTTAATTTTTATATGATTAAAAAAGTGCCCAAAGAATTCGCGTATTTATTTAATAAATTGAGATTTAGCAGAGTTCTTATTTTAAAACAACAAGCGCGCGCATCTTTTTGCAGAATTATTATAAAGAATAAACAAATATATTTAATATTTACGATTAACAATTATATAATTAAAATTTGGACATTTTTAACGAAATAAGAAATGTTTAATATGTATCGATTGCGAAAAACATTGATGGGAAAATTTTGTCGGTCAATCTCGGTGTGTTGGTTTCACATAAATTTCACATTTGGCGACCAATTCTCTCTTTTTTTTGTTTTTTTTTTCATCTGGTGGAAGTTACAGGAGAGGGCTGGTCTTCAACAAGTTTAATTCGAAATGTCAGTGCCAGATTGCGTTCGTCGAACCACATGTTGCCAACTGACTTCTCGCAAAGCCGCGCACACCCACGCGTAACATACCGTCGAATATTCCCGCTACTATTATTACTATCTGCGGCTACCGCGCTACTCGAAAAGGGGATTGTTCGTTTTTATCCGTGTGCTGCGGTCTCGATATTTAGAATTCTAGATATGAAGAATTCAAACAAAAATATTGCAGATATCACGCTGCGTCGAAATGATGGGGCATCCAATATCCGAAAAGAGAAAACATGCAAAAATTTGCAATCGGTCTTCTTATTGTTAGTCTTCGATAAAAATATGACTAAATTTTTTTTGCATATGAAATAGAGTCACATAAAAAAAAATTATTTAATTTTTTACATACACAGTTGGAAAATTTGTGTTTTCTTGTTAAAAATGGTCCTTATTAAAATTTTTGTGTTAAATATTTAACATATTTATGTGTTAATTTAACATATTACTGTTGTGTTAACTGAACTTAATAAATATGTTCTGTTTTATTAGTGACAAGATTTATGTGTTAAAATTTATAGAAAAAATGTTGAATTATTTTATAGTATAAATGGGAATGATAAAATCTACAATTAACGTATTTTTTAGTTAATTTTTACTTTAAAACTATGTTAATTTTACACAAAATTTACTTTAAATTACTTGAAGGTTTGCATTGATTCTGTGTTAAAATATTAACATAGTATTCGTGTCTCCACTTAACATATCCATATTATATCAAATTAACATAAAAATTTCTGTGGATTGTTTGGGATATGTGAGATATCTGTTAAAAATACAAATTTTTTAAACTGTGATATATATAATATAAAACTATAACATATAATACGTAATGTTTGTATAATATATAATTGTTATGATATATATTATTTCTCCTTAAAAAGTTTTTCCTAAGAAAAGTTTTTTTAATTAGTATATTTACTTATCTATATTTTTTAAAAAAATTGTACATTAGTTTACTCTTGAAATTTTCGTAACAAAGGTTTGAAAAAAATAAAATTTAAAATATATAATTTATTTTTAAAGTCAATTTGATATGGATTTCAATTTGTACAAAGAATTTGTATATTTCTGTGTTTAAAAGTACTTGCCGAAAAAATGTGCGTTAAAATTACGTGAATTCGTTTAACGGAGTAAGGAGGAGAGAGAGAAAGAAAGAGGAAGAGAGAGAAAAAAGCCAAAGTAGGGAATTATGAACGTAAAGTTTCACGCGCGGACGTAAAGCCTAACCACATCGCTTTATTAACGGGGAAAGGAGAAAATAAAAGCTGAGGAGACAAATGGCCTTTGGTATCATTAAATCATCCCGAAAAACTTAGTAATTTAATAAGCAATTTCATGTAAATTTTGAGGTCGTTACGGTAATGGCTTGCTGCTGGCTAAGATTTTCGGAAATTTTAAAATCCACGCAATATTGATAAATATCGCGATATACGCGATTTTATGATTAAAAATACATAGGATGTTAATTTAATAATAATCGTCAATTTTTATTTTTTAGATGAATAATCGTAGTAAAAGTATTCTTATTTAATTTGGGTAATTTCTGATATAAAAATATTGATAAATATCGCGATATAGGTATACAATTTTATTATTAAAAATACAGGATGTAATTTAATCATAATCGTCAATTTTGATTTTTTCGATGAATAATTGTAGTAAAAGTATTCTCATTTAATTTCTGATAAAAAATGATATTTCTTACGTTTATATATTTTTTAAAAAATAATAAGAAATACATCTATTTTATAAAACGCACATTTTATATTCCACTTATATGGCTCGTGACATTATCTGCTTCTTATACGCTATTTTTCGTGACCAACGGCGTTTCTCGAGATGATGACGAGAATAGGGGAGCTTAAGGACATCTCGATGAAGCGATATGAAGCCACGTTGATTCCACGTTTTATCCCGAGAAATCGTCGATCGATCATCTGTCGCTCTTCCCTAAAGACGCGTCTTTCGTGTACACGCGTGCACGTGCAGTGGATATATTACGCATTGATCCACACGTATATTGTGTGAATTGCCGTTGACACGTTTCGTTTACACGATCGGAATATCTTAAAGCGCGCCTCGACTGAATGAGCGATATTGTCATATTTCGTCGTTAAAATGAGATCTTTCGATTGAGCTCGCGAATCCATTAAAATATCACATCAGCTGTTAGTCATATCAGCTATTATTTATTTGCATTTATATAATAAAAAAAAATATATATATTTAAATTATATTTCGAATTATTTATAAAATATTTTAGAACAGGAGGGATGCATCTCTATCTTAAGAATATTTTAAGCATATTTATCAAATATTTAAATTGTATTACAGATATGGAATTATGTTGTATTAGAAGCGCATAGCGGTCGAAATAACGGCTTAAGGTGTTAACGCACATTTTCGCGGGATTTATCTCAAAATCGGCAGCGTCTTCCTTCGCGAAGGAAGGTCCGCGGATATTTATTCGTCTCACGGCAACGCGATGTCGCCGCGGTGCTTTTAAAAGCTCAGAAAGCGTCGATACGTTCGGGACTACGGTATTATATGCGCCTCATGTTATGTACGGTATACTCTCGTATTCGTGCGCAAAAGAGGGAAAGAAAGAGACGTATATCCACCGTATATACGTATGCATATATGTATACGGGGAGGACAGAGAGCGCGCGGCTCTTTGCGCAACCCCGAAAGCAATATATCGATGTTTAGCAACCAATAAATGGATCACTCAAAGAGGGCTTTTACCGTAAAGCGCTGGGTGCTTCGTCGACGTTCCCGTTCCTTCCTGCATCGTGCACAAATACACACACACTGTATATACAGGCGTCCGTTTGTATGTGTGTGCCCGTCAATATATATACGTATATATATATATATATATATATATATATATATATATATATATATATATATATATATCCGTTTAACGGCGCTAGCCGAAGTACGGCGCTTTTATGGCGCAAAGTAAACGCATTTATAGAGCCATTCGCCAGTAGCGGCGCGTCGCGTCGACGTAACTTCGCGGCTGACCATTTAACGTCACTTTTATGATAATGTTATCAATAGCCGGATTCTCTTTCTCTTCTCCTTTCGTACATTTCGCCTTTTTCTTTCTCCCCCTTTCTCTCGCTACGCTTATCGCTTATTCACAGTCCGCGTTTATCGTTCACCTGTATCGCGCGCTGAGAGTACTGCGCTTGAAGAGATCTTTGACATTAATTGGACACGCCAGGGATCGCATCGTAAAGGTGGATCACTCTGTAGAAAAATGCACCTGGCGCGAGGATCACTTAATCAACTAATAACTCAAAAGAGACGAATACATGGAATGATACGGGGGATATGTTGATAACTCGAAAATCGCGATAATAAAATTATTTTATTACCGTAAAAGACAGGTGAGGCATTAAAAAAATGGTAGGACTACGTAAAAGTATGATAGGATTATGTGGAAATATATATATGGAAAATGTTTATAGTCAAGAAATTTGCTACAGTTTAAAGGAATAGGATTTTTTTATTTTGAAGATTGAATATTGCAGGAACAATTTCAAATCGATTCAGTTTAATCAATCTGCTTTTTTCAAAGTATTCTGTTCATTCTGAAATGATTCTGTAACATGATTTTGAAATAGTAGCATTTGTTCTCGCTAGCAATGTGATTAAAAATATTTCTATTGTGATATGTTCGATTAAAACGTGTGCTTTTAATCATTCGATTCATTAAAGAAAGTTCTGTTTTATTTTGCGTTTTTGATAAATGTGGCTAGTTAAAGAAATCGAGAAAAATATTAAGGAGCGCTAAAAGAATAGGTGCTCTTAAAGATGCTCTTATATTGTCGTTGACATCATGATGTCACTCGCAGCGCCTTCATAATTCTTTTCACGAGTGGAGAAACAGTTGTGGCGGCTGGCGGAAAGTGCTTTGAAGTGGAAGCTGCAATTTTGGCCTCATCTTTCGTTCGTCTTTTATATCTCCGCGTCCAACTTCTTTTCTTTAGACGACCACATAATTTTGTCTCTTTTATATATGTTTTTTATTATATAGAAAATTGCTTGTGTGTTCTGATCTTACCAAAAAAGATATTCAATCTTTCGATATATTCTCTTTGATAATTAAACGATTATTTTATCATCTGATATATTACAATGATATATTATCATGTTTCTTATTTTGTATTATCAAATATCAGTATTTTTACAATATAGCTATTAGTTATTAGTATTGTTAGTATGAAACTTAAAGAGAAAAAGCTCACACTTTTATTATGATAATGCGCAGCATCCGCGTCCTATTCCTTTAAACTGTAGCCATTTTCTTGACTATAAACATTTTCCATATATATATTTTTACAGAAGTCCTATCATTTTTTAAAACTCGCCTGTCTTTTATGGAGTAAAATAATAAAAGTATTTTATTAATTTATTAGAAAAGATACATTAATTTTCCTTGGATTTACACGACGGTATTTTTAGAAACTTGGAAGCATTTTTGTACGCGAAAGTAGTTAATAAAAACTCGCAGATTCTATTCGCATCGCGTTGTCGTCAAAATGGGAGTTACACGAGTCGCGTATGTCCTCTCTTCCCCCGTAATACCTCACCACCATTGTCAGTCCTACGTGAGCTCCCTCGGAATCCCAGAAAGAGCGGAGAAAAAGCTGGACCATTGTGGTGCGAATCGGAGATGTTTCTCGGAGAGATACTTCCGAGGAGAAGGAGGACGAATCGGATGGGGTGCGGCGAACGAGATCGTTCGACGGGGGGTTGTAGTAGAGGGTGGAATATACGAAATAGCCGGACATCCACCGTCAGCGACGACGGTGAACTCCGGTGACCGGTGGGCAGTGGCCTTGACGTATGTATACGTGTGCAAGGGATGGAAAAGTCGGAGTCTCGGGTACATCGAGGACGCCTTGCGCGCGCGCGCCCCTGTGTACGTCGTGCCCAGGACACCCCGGATTTCGGGGGGGAGGGGGGTGGCGAGGGGTTAGGGGAGACAGAATCCTTGAAAAGCCGAGACCAGAACGCCATTGGCCGTCGACGGAGCCCTGCATCCCCTTGCTAGACCAATCCTGCCGCGAGCTGATAACGGTGGCGGTTCTTTTCTCCGCCTTCCGTCTCCTCAAGACGCTAGGATTTCGCGCACTATATCAAAGAGGGGTATGTATGTATGTATATATATATATATATATATATATATATATATATATATATATATATATATATATATATATATATATACACATACCCATCGGCGAGTATATCGCGTCTACATTCCGTTGCTTTCCTCCAGAGATCGACCATCTTCTTTTTCCCGGGGTTGAGAAAATTTCCCGGCTCGTTCCCTCCCGGTGAATGTTGGAGATCGTCCGTTTTCCATCGTTCGTTTTTGATATCGGTCACCGATAGCTCGGAATTATTCGCGTCGCACCCAGTAACTCGAAAATTCGGCCGGATGAATTTATTCTAGGGCGAGAAGAGAAAGAGAGAGAAATAGAAAGAAATCTAAGATGAAATATATTTGCGGGTCATTGCAGCTTTTCGATGCCCCTTGGTTGCGACCCTGACATAGCAAGAATGCTTGAATTAGCATATTTCTGGGAAAAGTTTGGATTAGCATATGTCTGGGAAAACCAAAGCAGGAAAAAATCACAAAATCTGTGGACTACAAAGAAAAGTTGGCGCAAAGTATAAAATTGTTATCCTTTCTCTTGATCATATATTTTGATTCATAAGTCGTCAAAGAATTTAGGAATTTTTATGAAATATTATTCTTATTACATGTTAAATATTATTCTATCTAAAATATTTTGTTTAAAATACTATGAAACAATTATTTCACTCCTTTCCTATTTTCTATTTTAAAGTATTCTTAATTTCTAAATAAAATTTAAAAAACAAAACTTAAGAAAGGAAATTTAAAAAATTTGCTTAGATTATAATAAGACTTGAAGTCAATTCTATAAAGTATTCTCCTTTATTTCTAAACATTCAAAATAAGTTAAAAATATAAAATAATTTTTATAATTAAGAATATGATCATTTTTAATTTTTCTCGAATTATAAGCGGATATATTTTTCTTGATAAGAGTAATATGAAAAGAAATCTTGTTCGAATAAATAAAGATTTCTATCTTGTCAAACGTACGAGGTAACGCATGCAGGTGCAAATCTTAATGCGGTCTTAATTTTTTTGCTTGTGCGCAAATAATAGGGAGGAGCCCTATGAACGGAGGGTTATTTTACGGAAGTGCACGGTTATTTCTCTCGATAAGCGTAAACAAAATATAATGATGATATTTCATCTAATCTTTTCTATCTATTTCTTTGTACCTAATTATTCCACTATTCTTTTGCATCAGTTGTAATTTTTCACAAAAATTATTCGTATTATTATCTAAAAAAGAAACATTTTTTATATATGAAAGGAAATTATATTACTATGCTTGTATGTACACAGAGAGAATTTTCTATTAGAATTCACCCTGAAAATCGTGTAAAACTAATAGAAAATATTTTATATCTTGTGATAGATATTAATATTTTTATTGTGGTAAATATTAATCAGAGAAATTCATAAAATTTTTTATTGTCCCACCATGGATTACCATGATTTTGAGGGTAAATTCTAAGAGAAAATTCTTTCCACGTAGGAAATATTATTTCAGGATGATATTGATAGGATTTCTATAAAAATACTTTATTATATATCTCATATATAAAAAATGTTTAATTACAGATTTTATTTTACGATTTCACTCAAGAAAAATGAAAGCTCAGTTGCATCGCGCAAATTTATATTTTCGCGTGTATATACATATATATAGATTCTGTTTTCCGGAACAGACGACGGCGGCTCTTTTCACTCGTGGTTCGTGTGTTAGGTACATCGTAAGTGGCTTAATGGGGCTGCGTTTGTCTGACAAGATAGAGGGTGACGATAAGGGTTCCTCCTCATCGGGGGCTTCCTAAGGAAGGAGAAGGAGGGTGCGTGACCGTACGGAACGCCGCGTGACGCGTGTAATAACCGTAGCCGCGGCCTCTCCGCACGCAGCCTGCACACGGGGACTAAGTGTATACTTACTTGCGTATATACTTACATGCTGCTCCAGGTTGCACGGCAGGTGCCGCCGAGGATTCTAAAACGATCACATCGGCGAAAGGGGAGCCGACCAGGCACGTAGCTACCGGGAAATAAATAATGACAAGCGAGAATAAACGGAGCGATGTATTTTAAATAACTTTCCCTTCATCTAGAGAGAGACGAGAACATTTTTAAAGGGTTAAGATCCTTGAAACATTAATTTTATTTGCATACATATTTAGCCAATTGGTCGTACTAGATGTGTTATAGTGTAGAGTTGTAATAAGGCATATTCATTTTTTTTTAATTTACAAGCTGAAGTTTCGTGTTGTGACATTTTGTCTGTAAAGTATATTATAATCAATATTTTATACAATCTATATTATACACTAATATTTTTATTGGCTGCTATTAATATATGAGATTATATAGAAATCTGGAAAATTTATAAAAATAATAAGAATAAAATATTGAATTTATCCTAGAGTCGAAAAAAATTTTAAATATACGCTGTAGAAAGGAGGAAGGAAGGGGAGGTTCTTTGATGCCGGCCACCGTTGCCGACTTAGCGTTAATATTACCTTTTTATCCTCTTCTTGATTAATGTTCCGAAGCTGACTTGTTTTTGGCGGCATTTTTCATCAGCGCGCGGAAGTACGCAGTCCAATTAATTTGATTGGCGGATTAGCGAGTCCGCTGTGGTTATCGCTTAAGGATCATGGGTTTTTTGTTGAAAGATAAAAGCTCTCAGTGAGTTGGAACATTTATTTCTTGCTCGAGCGCGAAGCGCGAGATATTTCGCTAAACTCGATCGTGGAACAGAAGTTGCGCGAAGAATAAATTCATTTCTCGAAGTTAAGAATATTCTTCCCAAGTTAAGAATATTTGCAGTTCCCTCCTGATTATCGTCTTTCCGGCTTCCCTCCGTTTCATGGCCGTTATATCTCCTGAAACAAAAATTTAAGCGATCACGTTTAAATACGAAGCATTCTATGAAAATTTCGAAAAAGCTCCATTTATAATGACTTAATTGCATTTTTATGAAATATATATAGAGATATATTCGCGAATGTTCGTTTATGTTATTTGAGAAAAGGAAAAATAGAAAAATATCAATATAATTTTGTTATTTTTTTTAGATTTTTCTTATATCTTAGAGTTTCAATTCAAGCCATATATCCTTTTTTTATTTTGGAGCAAAACTTCGTGGTTTCGAGAACGGAAACGGTAGGACGACAGCAGCAACGATAACGTATTGTTGTCGCATTCGGTTCCGCGTAAATCGGCATGGATATTTTACGGCAGCGCGAGCAGATTACAGGCTCAATTAGCATGAGGACTACATAATTAATAACTTGATTAATGCGCCGAAGCGGAACGTCTGTCCATTCGTGCCCGTTCAGGTTTAGCCTGCCGCGAACCGCCGAGTCGTGGATATTACCTCGCGTTTGCGTCAGCAGTCGATTGCCGCGTCGTATAATATCGTTGGCGATCGCTTATGCTTACCGCTCATCGCATCGGCACGGCTCGTTTACGTTTATGTGTGTTTAGGCCTGTCGCCGCGGGGCAAAACTAATTAACGCGACATTTCATATTCCGGAATGGGAAGTTGAAACCTGGCGGTTGGCCTCGCGCATCGGCTAGCCATTAATTCCGGTCAATTGTCAGGTGTCCTATCGAGAATCTGGCAATATTGAATGGCACAATCGGTCATAGATATCTATCCATCGTACATCGAGCGTTTCAAATTCTCGAAATGAGATTGCGAGAGATGGATCGCCGGCAAGCGCGCGTTTTTCCAGATTTCAGGAACTTGTTTGAGATATCAATTTAATTATCTCATTTTAACAAATAAAATATTTCCAACAAAAGATATGTAAAAGATGTTCTCTAAGAGATTTTATATTTTTTAGAAATTTAATCTGCAATCTGCGTGATATACGAAGTACAAAATTTCTGCTGTAATCTCATCTGAATATTAATTATACCCTCTTGGAATCTCGTAATCTCCCTTTTATAAGATCGTAGTTCGAATCAAACATCACCGTGTCTTTAAGCTCTTTTCCAAACATTGTTTTTTCCTAATGTACTCGCGGCGAATTAGAAAAAACGAGCTACTTTCGTATACAGGTAGTCGATGGTGTATATCGAACATTTATCAGCGGAAAAGACGGGGAGGTTGATTTCGAAAGACAAGCGCGATTGAGTTACGTTGATTTTATTCCGCATTATTCCACCCGGGCATCGCTTCTTAGCCGAATCAGTTTTATTTTCCGGATTGCCGATATATACGTGCGTCGAACGGCAGCTCGCTGGCTGACTGGTTGGTTGGTTGGCTGACTGGCTGGCTTGGTTGGTTGGTTGGTTGGTTGGTTAGTTGGTTGGTTGGTTGGTTGGTTGGTTGGTTGGTTGGTTGGTTGGTTGGTTGGTTGGCTGGCTTGCTGGCACGCCGGGATTAACGTCATTGCGGTTTTTAAGCAGGCAATTTCCTAATTCGGTGCCCGGGGATCCCTGATTTATCGCGCTTTTGCCAGTTATTCCGTACTGCCAGTGATTTACGACAGAGTTCCGTTCCCGCCCCGCTACTTCTTCGCCGCGGTCTCTTCTTCCTCTTCCGCTTCTTCTGCTGCTGCGACCGACAACCGACGGCGGCGTGTCCTCTTCTTCTCGCTCGTCCTTCGTATACTCGATCGAGTTCAGAGGGTGTATCTCGAATACCATGTAGAGTTCGACTACAAAATCTTTATTTTTCCGCGAAAAAGTTATACATAAGAGCGGATTTTTAATTTGAAGGGGATGAATTGCAAGAAAGTCGATTTAGAGAACACTTTATTTTCAAAATTGTAATTTTGTATAGGTAATAAAACTAATCGTAGTTTTCTTATACTGAACGATTTTTTAATCATTTATTATAATTGCTCTTAAATTTATTTTATGATACGTAATATATAATGCGTATATGTGCAAATAGAAAATAATTTTGATATTCTACGTAAACACTTCAATTTTCAATTGATCTCTAAATGTTCTCTCTTTCTGTCCTTCTTTCTCTTTCTTACAGGAAATACACTAAAGATTATTTATTTTTATGATATTGGATCGAGTGTCAGGTTTTTAATTACGAATAACCTTAATTAATTACTACAACAATAAAAATTCCTTTAACCACTCTTTTTCCACTCGTTTTATTAATAGACGCATTTATATGTAAAAAACCGTGAATTTTTCCGTACGCGCGATGCATCGCGTTTACGTGTTAGGACAAACAACATTACCGTTACTCATGAGCTAATTGGATAAGTAATTGGAGGTAGAGAATTACGAGAAGGCGCCACGTCGTCCGTGCGCGGTCGTGCGAAATTTCTGATAAATCATAGGAAGAGTAACGTTTCGGAAGAATGCAATTTATCTAGCGATTAGACGATGCAAACGTGTAACAACGTGGCGATAAGAATGCAACTCGTCTTTCCACAACATTCAGTTATATAGCGTGCTCTCCTCGATCCTCTCTGTCTCGGTCCCTTCTCGTGCATCCATTTTTAATCAGAGGTTCAGAAGGTTACCAGAGAGAAAGAGAGATAGACTTGCTGACGCGATATAGCCTCCGCGGGGTTTTTGCCCCCTTCGTCGTCCGCGAATACGACGTTCGACGAGTTCAACGTACGACGTGTGCGTTTACCGAACGCGCGCGGACTTTCCAGTGCGTGTCTACGCGCTCGTCTGCACGTGGAATCCTGAAGCGAATCCGTATGGGAAGTCTTCTCTCCTTTCGAGAGGGGAATTATAAACGGCGGATCTTGTAAGAGAGTGCGCGCCCGCTCGATAATTAGTCGTAATCAGCGTTTAATCGCCGTCCGCCGCGGCGAAGCGCGGCGCAATCAATGCTTTCTCATCAAAACGCCATGTGTAGTCTTCTTACATCGCATCGCCGATATGTAACACGCGAGACTAACACAATTATGCCTATTTTTGCAATGCCGCCTGTTTTTTTCTCTTTATAGAAAAGATATATGTATCAGACCATGCGATGCTGGAGTCGTCGATCTTTAATTTTTCCAAATGAGATATAATTAATAGTATATGAAGCTGGTGTCTGATTTTCTCATAAATAATTAAGAGCTTTTATAATTTCTAGCTTTATTTTTAATAATTCTGGAATTCTAGAAAAATTATATATGTATGTATTTTATTTATTGTTACAGGTAACATTACTGATAAGCTGCGCGCGAGTTTGACCGCGAGAATCTCGAGTGCCGAATCGTTGTTTCGTGTTGATTATCGTTTTTTCTCATTGTGCAACGTACGTGAAATACGCGAGCGATTTATGCATCGCGTCGGGAGTGCCGTGTTAAGTGTCGCGCGTCGGGAGTGCCGTGTAAAGTGTCGGGCGATCGTAATTTTTCATGTTTTCGCGAGTGCTACTACCAAGAGAGGAGGAGGAGGCCTAGGGAGGCATCGGGCGACAGCGGGACAACTATGAGGTATGCAAAATAAAATAAAAAAAATATATTGTATACACACACACACACATGTATATATTTATAATTTGAATGTTTTGTTTTCAGATCGATGTGCTGTGTACTACAATTTTGCTTTTGCGCGTATTGGTGAGTGAGGAATTGTTTATTTTTTAACATTTCTATAGCGGCAATGAGGGTGTATGAAACTGGTTTCATTTTGTGGAAACTTATAAATAATTAAGAGTTCTGGTTTTATTTTTAATAATTATAGAGTTCTCGAGTTTTCGAGCGAAATAATTATTAAAAAATTTTTTAATGATTTTAATTATCGAAACTCTGAAACGACAATAATAATGTATATATGTATACTCAGAACTGTACGAGTACTACTCCAGAATAAGCAGAACTCTTGATGCAAATCGATTAGTATCTCATCTCGATATTTATAGATACAAATATCTGGTTATCTTCATTTTAACTGAATTAATGCTTTTCTCTTTTGAAAGATAAAATTCTTCTTCGAATTCATATAGAATAAATCTTTTTAATCTTGTTAATTACTGATAAGGAAAATACTTTAGGACAAAGGCTGGAACTATTTGTTTAAATGATCAAGAACTCTAGAATTATTAAAGCTAAAGGCAGAACTCGTAATTATTTATGAGTTTCCATGAAATGAAACGCCAACTTCACATACACGATAGTATTTTGCCAGTAGTAATAAAAAAATAGCGCGCTTTAGTTAAAAGTGGGGTAAAATAACACGCGTTGTGCGAGTCAGTAGGATTTGAAGTCACCGCATGCGATTTTTGTGACTTTGCGGCTGTTTTTTTCGAGTAAACATCCCGAACTCCCAATGTATGGACCGAATGCCTGTAAACTGTGTTTCACACGCCTCAGATATTTCACGTCGCTCTTGTCCTCGGCGAAAAGATACATATATTTTTTCGCGACTCGGTAAAATCGACGGGGCCCGACCCGTTCATCGTTCCTTTGTTATCGTTGAGAGAACGTCGAAACTGTTGTTTCTCTGCGCGCAAAAACAGGGAGAGATGCGGGAGATGGAGGCGATTCACGGTGGACTGATCATCGCGCGAAAACAAGAGCGGCTTGTTTTCGCGGCAGGCAAACTTGATCGGTTTGCGTGCCGCGGAATACCGTGTGCGAGTTAAAAAAAAAGAAAATATGTCTGAAAAAAATAGTCCATCCCGCAACTTTATATGCAATGAAAAATGCAATCAATGATAACGAACATTGAAAAGGAGATCACCGAGCTGTGTTAAAAATATGTAATCTTAACAAATTTGTTCATTTAATTCATGCTTTCATTCATATTTCTATTTAATTACGAATTTTATTGTGTTTCTTTATATGTCTCTCTTCTCTCTCTCTCTGTTTGATTTAAAAAAGTGTATTGTTTATTTAATGGAGTACAATTTAATATATTTGTTTGAAATAAATATTTCTATGACATACATATCATAATAGAATAGAGCCACTAGAATAGAGTAATTTCTCGGATGTTTCCTAACAAAATAGATAGTCGCATGTATTTACACAAATCAGACAAGCTCGCGCTCATTAGGATACTCTCGGGAGGCCACCCTCTTTCTGTGGGTTCTCCCACGTTGACGTTACTAAATGTATTTGTGCGTTATAGGGGAGGGTGGGTGAGGGTGGAGCAAAACGCAAGAGCTGGTAGAAGGGCTTGGTAGAAAAGGTTAGAGGGAGAAAGAGAGAGGAGGGAGAGAGAGAGAGAGAGCCCTCGATCGTTTCGAGGTTAACGAGGAGGGCCGTGATTCGGAGGGATGGGATGATCAGAGGGTGGATGTAGCTAGCGGGATGCTGTAGTCGTGGATAATGGCGGAGACGACCAAGTCAACGATAATGGCAGCCCCAGGGACATCGTCCGGATCGGTCTCTGCGAGGAAACACTCGTTAGCGACCTCCTAACTGTCCCGAATCATCGCGGTAGCGCTTATGAATTCTGTCAGGAAGTCCCATATCATCTTTGCCAACCGTTCTGCTTCTTTCATGACTAATTATATATATCCTCGCGTTAATTGACTGCTCGCTGGATGGCTTTATTTATGAGTTTTGCGGTCGGTTATGCGTGAAGAAAATTAGAGGCGACTTATTAGAGTAAATATTAAATATATAGTTTGGAAATAACAATTCAAAAGTGATATGATGAAAATTAAAATATCAGGCGCAAAATATTTTTTCTTAAAAAAAAAAAAAAAGATCAATAATATATTTTATTTGCTTCATGTTATTTCTTTACATTAATTTAACATATATTAATATACATAAAATATATAATTAATTTAATATATATTAATTGTTATGATAATAATCAATGTTAAGTGTTTGACATGCCGTATATATATTGGACGATTGCAAATGCCGCAAAGTTACAATAATGAATATTGCATTTCTGGAAAATTAATTCTCACAATTATACCGGGGTATCTGTTAAAGAATCCCTTCATTTAACATAAGCATAATATATTCTCATCACGCGACTTTCGATTAATTGCGTTCGTCAGTGATATTTCCGCTCGTGGCACGCATAAGCAGCGCAAATGAACTATTTTTGAGAAATGTCATCGATCCGTAAATGTCACAGCGATGAAGGATTGAGTATGTAACATCGAGATGTAATTATTTCTTCGTTTCCCCTTTCTCTGCTCGTTGCTATATCGCGCACGGCTGCCTCTTTATCTATAGACCTGTACCTACCGATCGACGTTATCAGCGTCGCCATTAGTTACTCCACGCATTATAACAATTTTATAGAGAACCCTCGTGGGTCCGCAAACCACCTCGGTGGCGGCCTTGCGTGTCGGAAGACGATAGTCGTCACAGTGACTGTTATATCAAACGGGGTCGAGATTGCGATAACGACTGGAACATACGTCGGATACACGGTTTACATACGTACAGTACGTACATAGCACCGTACTTAGCGTGAACGTATCTTTCCATTACGCAGACTCGGAGACACATTACCGTTTCTTTATGTACTCGCTTTTTTCCTTTCAAAGTCGTTGGTCATACTGCTGCAATGCCGTTAAAATCTTGGCCAATATTACGCAACTTTTGTTATTATCTTCGCTTTGCAGAGATAAATTTTGTTACGTTACACTTTTCATTACACTTATGATTTTTTGAAATCATTTATATCGAAGTATTTTCTTAATAACATAAAAATTATATATTAAATAAAATTATAATTTTATTATAACTCAAAAGTTTACAACACATATATTTTGGGAAGTGTATTAAAGCTTTTTGTTTTCCAATTTTTTAAACAGATATCTATTTTACGTTTACAATATGGAATTTCAAAATGAGCGAATTCTTTAAAATAAAAATTCTATCCATGGAACAAATATTTCCTGTCAGGAAAACGTCTACACTTTAACCCTCGTAATATTAAATGCGGAAATGACATATTTTTCAAAAGACGTGGATATCGACTTGATTTGCCTACGAGGCGCGATACGTCTGTCAACGTACGTGTTGCAGGCTTTCCATCATCAGCAACAATATGCAACAATTTTGATCGCCCGTACGTATACCGTGTGTACATAAGATCTGCGTAAACGGCCCTAAACTTTCCACACATGCGTGATTCTACGACGTCGACACGAAAGCGTCGAGGAAGTCCTGATTTCGTGTATACCTGTGCGTGGTCTGAGCTAATCTCAGTCCAACGCTAGCCACTTGGCGTTTCCTACTTCGTGCATACTCGTGTAGATTGGCCTTTTATTCCCTTCCTAGAGATGGACTCGATCCGAACATTCACAGCTCCGGATTCGGTCAATTATGATAGAACTATTGAGTATTTAATTTAGCAATTAATTAAAAAAAATTAAACTTTTACTACATTTTGCACTTTTTAAAACTGTATAGCGTGATGCTGCAATTAACTATAATTAAATACATATTTTTTACGTTATTCATTTATATGATGAAAAATTAAATAATAATTATTATCGTTATATTTTATGCACACAGTGTGCAGTAAATGCACCGAGATTTTCGATTCTCGAGTTTGAAAATCGCACGCGAAAAGGTTCGCGCCATTCCTAGCCTTAGTATGGCAGCGTCCATCCCCTACCTACGTTTCCCCCAAGACCGGCGTTCTAAATGATTAATTACCGATCCCCATCGCGCGGAGAGATCCCACGTACTTGCGTATATACGTACGAAGGAGGGTTGTCGGGCGGCCTTAAAGTAAGCTCATTTCTAAAACGGATATTCCGTGTTCCGCGTGCCACGGAACGGTATTCGGTGCCCTCGACGTCGCGCTGCCACTTCGCCGCTCGCCTCTATCGCGCACGGGGGTTGCGTAAGTGCAGCTATGAGGGATAACGGGGGGGAGGGAGAGGGTGAAGGGTCGTCGCTTGCAGGCCCGGGTTGTTTCAGCTCGCGTGGCTCTACGGTTGGCGCAGCGCCGTTTCGCAGGAGAGAGATCGCGAGATACCGTCGCTGGCCGGCGTAAATGAAATGTGGTACGTGCCAGAAAAAAAAGTTTGTACTTTGCTACCCCTTCGCCTCTCCCTCTCTTTCTCTACCCCCCCGCTGATTGATGGGGCGCAAAGTTTCCGTGCGCGTCGGGGAAAGAGAGAGAAACGCATCGTTTCTTTGCGGAGAGCGAGGAAATTCGCGAAAGCGGAATCTTAATAACGATCTCATATAATTTATTATATATTTCATATATTAAATATGAATTAAATGTGATGAAAACGATGTATTCTTATTATGAAAAAAAATGAAAAGTATAGACTTGGGGATATTAAATAATGAAATATGTATATATTGCAAAGCTGCTCTTTTTATCTTCTCTCTTACATTGTTATATTAAAATTAAAAAAAAGCTGAAGAGCCTTTTGTTAAGTCTAACTGGATGTACCTGTTACATAAAAATATTCATTCGCACGTCGATAATCACGGCGAGTAAGAACGAGGATTTTTTTGAAGGCGGCGCCGATAAAAATATGTTAATCGACGACGATAAAACGCAGCGGCATCCCTTTCGGGTAATGACGCGATACAATATGCGCCATCACGACTACGTGAAATAATCCCGATAAAACGAGCCGTGAAATCTCCTAACCGAGACAAATCCGGGCAGATTA